GCGCTAGAAAGTGGTGAATATATGTGAAAGTAAAATCTAGAACAGTTAAAGATTGGGCGAAAGCAATGGATTTAAAACACTTCTCAAGAGATAAACGGGTTGAAAGCTTGGAATTATGGGGAAAGCAGCAGTTGTAAGATCCCGGAAGCAGTTGGCACAATGAGCAATAACCACAAAAAAAGCCGTATATATATATACACTTGTAAATATGACATATACATAATTATACATATCTGTATGAAACTAAACAAATACAATTAATTATATATATATAGATATTGGTGATGCATCGGCAAACTACCATTGCATGTGGAATCCAGTTGGAGAAACGGGATTCCACATGGAATATCACCAGCTATATCAGCGAGGTAGGTGAGAAAGAGGTAACATTATCAAAAAACAAATGGGGATAGAATGGGTGTTTTAATGAATCTAACCAGCAAAACCAACTTGGTGGAAAAAATAAAGCCAATGAGGGGATGTAAGATGAGGTATGCTTGGAACAAATTGGGATTTTACCACAAAATTGATTTTTTTTTTTAATAAGACTTGGCGAAACATGCTTGATATATGCACAACCTGAACCAATCTATGTGGGTTTGTCTAGATACCGAGCTACACTACTGATTCTACAACTATGTCACTATGTTTATGGTGAACCATTTTTTCCTTACCGAAAAACAGTCCTTTCAACCGAAAAACTGAATGAACACAGCTGGGTTTAGCCAAGAACAGTAAGGATTTCACCCCCAATTTTATGACCAACATATCCCAACCCTAAATTTATGACTCGCGGAGGTCCGACATTTTAAACTAGGACAGGCTGGCCCTTGACATTTACAAGAAACCATCGTGTCTTCCATCCAAGGCTTTTACGGGATGGAATCATCATGTTGGAATCATCCATTTCTTGTTGGGCAATCACGTGCTCCATCAAAACGTCTTGAAAAGTAGACATGTTCACAGCCGTTTCATCAGGTTGTAAAACAACCATTTCCCTAAGTGACCGACTCTTTTTACCATCAAAGCAACAAGTTCCCGGTCTTTTCCCATCAAAATTAAAAGAACCATTTTCACCATGAAAATCATCGGTTTTCCCCCCATGAAAATCAACAGAATCCAAGGCGCATCATGTCATGTCTGGGATGGTTGGTGAGCAGCACATGACCGGGCTCCACTTGAAGCGAGCTGTAAAGTGCGTCCAGCGATGAAGGGACACGGAGCCGTTTCTTTTGAGCCTCCTGGAGATTACTTGGGGGTGCCATTGGAGTTATTATTAGCTATAACGGTATAAATAGGAAGAAAGGCCATACTTGGAGGATCACCAACGAGATTGTGCTCTTGCGTGATGCGTGACTGACTTAGAGGACCAAAAAAAACAGGGATATGAGTTAGTAATTGGGATGATGACTCACGTGTAAAACGGGCCACGATTTTTGTGAACTACTTTGTTTGGGTGAAAGCATGGATGATAAATTCATGTGCCAAAACATACATACATGTACATATGCGTATGCATATACGCATGTCTAACTGTATGCGCACCTAGACTTACACATACTGATACATTACATTTTCAGGTGCATATATGACATCTAATACGTCTACATATTTACATACATATATAATATATACATACACCAGCTACGTGCACATATGTACAAACATATACTTTCCGAATGTACAGCAAAAAAGGCTCTAGATCAGCGGGTACATTATGTATCAATTGCTGAATTGCTGGTCAATAGCAATAGCAATTTTTTTAACCCCATTGCTGTAGGATTTGAATTGCTGGGGATGGCTTTGTAAGCTGGGAGCTCAGAAATAACCTCAGGGAATTGATGCCACCATGGAGGGCCCCCTTGGACCACATGAAGTAATGAGTCGAATACATGCCTCCATGAAGGCATCACGAGACTTCAATCAAGTAAGGGTTGGTCGTTGACCTACAACATCTACAACTTTGTCAAAGTACTGCCCCAACCCAGAAACACAAGCATCGGTAGCAGCCAACTGTTGTCTTCTAAAGTAGGAGTGGAAACACGAAAAATTACTTTACTTCGAGTGATCCCCACCATGACATTTATACGTTTTGTTACTGGCAAATCTTCTAACATATCTTCTGTCATATCTTCATGGTGAAAATCACCTAGATACCAGCCACTCCCTTTGCAAGCAAGCCATTGTGTTTTTTTTGGTCTGTGATGTTGCTAGCCGGACTGGCATATCTCCTGGCACTCTACCTGGCATATCTTCTTGCATATCTTCTGGCATTCTATCTGGCAAATCTTCTGGCAAACATTCTGGCATACCTACTGGCATTCTATCTGACATTCTATCTGGCATATCTTCTGGCATTTTATATGGCATATCTTCTGGCATTCTATCGGGCATATCTTCTGGCATTCTCCCTGGCATATCTTCTGGCATATGTTCTGGCATATCTTCTGGCACTCTATCTGGCATATCTTCTGGCATATCTTCTGACATTCTATCTGGCAAATCTTCTGGCGTTCTATCTGGCAAACATTCTGGCACTTTACCTTCTGGCATTCTATCTGACATTCTATCTGGCATACCTTCTGGCATTCTATCTGGCATATCTTCTGGCATTCTATCTGGCAAACATTCTGGCACTTTATCTGGCATATCTTCTGGCATTCTTTCTGACATTCTATCTGGCGTTCTATCTGGCATATCTTCTGGCATTCTATCTGGCCGTTGAGGTCCAGCGGTGCTCACTGAGCTCGGAGGGTCCCAGGTTCAGCGGTGCCCACTGCGCTCAGACCCTTGCGGTTGAGGTCCAGCCGTGCCCACTCAGATCGGAAGCCGGCAGTTGAGGTCCAGCAGTGCCCACTGCGCGCAGAAGTTGGCGAAGAGCTTGGCGAAGAGTTGGCAAGGCGGAAGTGGACATGGAAGTGGCGGAAGTGGACCTGGAAGTGGATGCAGAGGTGGTGGAGGAGAAGGAAGAGAAGGAGAAGAATGAGGAGAAGAACAAGAACAACTCTGATAAAATCTAACAACCCTCACCTGGCAGGTGGGGAAAAATCTTTGAAACCACCTAGGAGAAAACACAGTTCCAACATGTTACTGACGTTACATTCTGTTGCAATCTGTTACATTGCAAATTTCCAGACCAGCTGTGGCATCGACTTCCCTGGTCCTGATTGGGCAGGAGTAAAGTCAATTGCCAGGTCTCTCCTTAGGTAGCCATCAGAGCTAAACAACAATCAATTGAATTTCAAGGGCACACGTGTCCCAGGTATGGATGCAGTAAAGAGCAGAAACCAACAAGCTTCAACGATGCAATTGTACCAAGTCCTCACAATGAAGTCTGCTGCAGCTTCGATTTTCTTGAGGCGAGTCCTTTCCAAACAATGGATGTTATATGTGAATTTCCCAGACGTTCAGATTGGAGTGCCCAAATTCCTTCCCGATTCCTGTCGCTATGGGTCAAAGGCTTGCAACCTGATTTTCCTATCATTAAAACAGCTCTTGCATGAAAGGTTCACCTTCCACATTCCGTGGGTAAAATTGGGGTTGACACACTGCCATGTTGAGGCCTGCAGCTAATCGCGCACTCACACACCTTTTTTGGCAAGCAACTCTTAAAGCTCAACGACTTCAGCAGGTCCTGGTCTCAATTTCTTGAATCTGGCGGTCGGATTTGCTGATCCATACCCTGGCAAATCACTGACTAACTTCAACTCCTTCGGGCCCAAATTCTTTCCGGCTTCCATTGCCAACTTTTTGGACCTTGAAACCGTGTTCACGTCGCTTTCTGTTTGTCTTTCCCTCGCCTGACTTGTCTGAGCCTTCCTTTCCTCACCCTTCTTAGCGCAGTTTTGCTCCTCAGTCTCTGCAGAGTCTTTGCCCTTGCTTTTCTGCCTCTCTTCTTTCCTCTCTGCCGCTTCTGGCGCTTTGTCCTCTGGTGGCTTCTTTCTCTTCAGGGACTGTTCCTTCTCAGTCTCTGCAATCTTTTCTCTCCTCTCTTTTGCCACTTTGGGCGCTTGGTTCTCTGAAGTCATCTTTTTCTTCAAAGACTCTGCAGTCTCTTCTTTTCTCTCTTTTGCCGCTTCTGGCGCTTTGTCCTCTGGTGGCTTCTTTCTCTTCATGGGCTTTGACTCCTCAATCTCTGCAGAGTCTTTACCCTTGCTTTTCTGCCTCTCTTCTTTCCTCTCTTTTGCCGCTTCTGGCGCTTTGTCCTCTGGCGGCTTCTTTCTCTTCAGAGGCTTTGGCTCATCAATCTCTGCAGGATCTTTGCCCTTGCTTTTCTGACTCTCTTCTTTCCTCTCTTTTGCCGCTTCTGGCGCTTTGTCCTCTGGCGGCTTCTTTTTCTTCACGGGCTTTGGCTCCTCAATCTCTGCAGAGTCTTTACCCTTGCTTTTCTGCCTCTCTTCCTTCCTCTCTTTTGCCGCTTCTGGCGCTTTGTCCTCTGGCGGCTTCTTTCTCTTCAGGGACTGTTCCTTCTCAGTCTCTGCAGTCTCTTCTTTCCTCTCTTTTGCCGTTTCTGGCGCTTTGTCCTCTAGCGACTTCTTTCTCTTCAGGGACCGTTCCTTCTCAGTCTCTGCAATCTCTTCTCTCCTCTCTTTTGCCACTTTGGGCGCTTGGTTCTCTGAAGTCATCTTTTTCTTCAAAGACTCTGCAGTCTCTTCTTTTCTCTCTTTTGCCGCTTCTGGCGCTTTGTCCTCTGGTGGCTTCTTCTTCTTCATAGGCTTTGGCTCCTCAGTCTCTGCAGGATCTTTGTCCTTGCTTTTCTGCCTCTCTTCTTTTCTCTCTTTTGCCGCTTCTGGCGCTTTGTCCTCTGGCGGCTTTTTTCTCTTCAGGGACTGTTCGTTCTCAGTCTCTGCAGGATCTTTGCCCTTGCTTTTCTGCCTCTCTTCTTTCCTCTCTTTTGCTGTTTCAGGCGCTTTGTCCTCTGGTGGCTTTTTTTTCTTCATAGGCTTCGGCTCGTCAGTCTCTGCAGGATCTTTGCCCTTGCTTTTGTGACTCTCTTCTTTCCTCTCTTTTGCCGCTTCTGGCGCTTTGTCCTCTGGCGGCTCCTTCTTCTTCATGGGCTTTGGCTCCTCATTCTCTGCAGGATCTTTGCCCTTGCTTTTCTGCCTCTCTTCTTTTCTCTCTTTTGCCGCTTCTGGTGCTTTGTCCTCTGGTGGCTTCCTTTTCTTAATGGGCTTTGGCTCCACAGTCTCTGCAGGATCTTTGCCCTTGCTTTTGTGACTCTCTTCTTTCCTCTCTTTTGCCGCTTCTGGCGCTTTGTCCTCTGGTGGCTTCTTTTTCTTCAGAGGCTTTGGCTCCTCAGTCTCTGCAGTGTCTTTGCCCTTGCTTTTCTGCCTTTCTTCCTTCTGGTCTTTTGTTGCTTCTGGCGCTTTGTCCTCTGGCTTCTTTTGTCTCAAGCCCAAGCCCTTTTGCTCCTCAGTCTCTGGTCTCCTCTCTTTTGCCACTTTGGGCGCTTTGTTCTCTGAAGCCATCTTTTTCTTCAACGACTCTGCAGTCTCTTCTTTTCTCTCTTTTGCCGCTTCTGGCGCTTTGTCCTCTGGTGGCTTCTTCTTCTTCATAGGCTTTGGCTCCTCAGTCTCTGCAGGATCTTTGTCCTTGCTTTTCTGCCTCTCTTCCTTCTGGTCTTTTGCCGCTTCTGGCGCTTTGTCCTCTGGTGGCTTCTTCTTCTTCCTAGGCTTTGGCTCCTCAGTCTCTGCAGGATCTTCGTCCTTGCTTTTCTGCCTCTCTTCCTTCTGGTCTTTTGCCGCTTCTGGCGCTTTGTCCTCTGGTGGCTTCTTCTTCATAGGCTTTGGCTCCTCAGTCTCTGCAGGATCTTTGTCCTTGCTTTTCTGCCTCTCTTCCTTCTGGTCTTTTGCCGCTTCTGGCGCTTTGTCCTCTGGTGGCTTCTTCTGCTTCTTCTTCCTAGGCTTTGGCTCTTCAGTCTCTGCAGGATCTTCGTCCTTGCTTTTCTGCCTCTCTTCCTTCTGGTCTTTTGCCGCTTCTGGCGCTTTGTCCTCTGGTGGCTTCTTCTTCTTCATAGGCTTTGGCTCCTCAGTCTCTGCAGGATCTTTGTCCTTGCTTTTCTGCCTCTCTTCTTTTCTCTCTTTTGCCGCTTCTGGCGCTTTTTCCTCTGGTGGCTTCTTTTTCTTCATGGGCTTTGGCTCCTCAGTCTCTGCAGGATCTTTGTCCTTGCTTTTCTGCCTCTCTTCCTTTCTCCTTTTTGCAGCTTTGCACTCTTTTTCCTCTGGCGCCCTCTTTTCCTCTGCATTCTCGTCATCACTGCAACCAAAAATCTCATCTTCCAGCGGATCCCTCTTCCTTTTCCTTTGGTCCTCAACTTGTGGCTGCAATTCGTCCAGCAGCTGCTGCTGGAGCTCCTGGGGCAAATCTGCCAACGTCTTCTTCACCGTCTCCAAGGCCTGCCTCTGCCGATAAGACTCCTTGTTCTTTTCCAGCACCTGTCCTTTGAACTCCTTCATCTGCGCACGATACCTTGGATTTGCATCGGCAAGGGGCAAAGAAATTTTCACACATTTGTGCAGCGAACTGATAGAGATATGACTAGATATTATATTGAATTTCCAATCATACCCCCAGAAATATAAATCTCAAATGGTTGATCGTCCACATCTATGTTCGTTCACCCGAAGATATTTTCTATAGATTCACTAACTGTCTTTTCCATCCCATCGGGAAAATCATCAAAACCCACTCAGCAAACCCAAGATGCCTCTCTTCACTTTCCTTCATCTCCTCTGTCATGCTTTCCTCTCGCAGCACCTTGGAAAGGGGGAGGTGTCCCAAGAACAAAATCTTAGCCTGGTGCGTTCCAGAACTGCTGGATTCCCGAATCGATTCCACTCAGGGAACTAATAGCTTACTTTCCGCTCAAAGATTTTCCATCGGTATAGGAAAACACCAACAAATCCATCAATTTGGGTGTAAAGGCTACTAGGCTAGCCCCAAATCCACATCTATCATGATATGTCACAATATTTTCCCAAGTAAACTGACCATCCACAACTTGGGGAAGCTCACAGGCATCAAGCCGGTAGCCGCCAGGAAACGTGATAGCTCTGCGGCAGCGGGCCCGCCTTGACCCCCAGAACTGCTGCAATGCGGTGCTGGATGGTCCGTTCCGATAGGTCCTGATGCCGTGCAGTCAGCGAAAACAAGGTGAAAACTGGTGCAGCCCAAGCATGACCATGTGAAAACACAGTTGCATGTGGGATATTGATCAACCCAACACACACACACAGATATATATATATATATGCACATATTATATTATATGTATATTTTTGTTGTTAATTTTAAATAAAACTCATTAACCATCCATCAGATTCATCCCCACCGTTTTCGCAAATGGTTCCTCTGGTTAGTGTGCTTTTTGCTACATGAGAACACCCACGAATCGGGGGTGTTCAAATGATCACCAAATATCACCACATCGTCAACGTGGCTGGAAAATCGGAGGTTTTTGGCTTTCGCAGCTCCAAAAAATCATCAAACTGGTGAATGTTCCAATAATTTTGATGACCTTAGAGATCCTCCAAGGCTTCCAAGGGTTCCCTTCAAACCTTTCCGGCTCGCGCCTCCCAACAGCCTTGAAAAAACGTTTGAATCAACGTCTCGAAGGGGCCAGGGATGGAGACCTCAGGGATGTCCAACATAAAGTTGCAAGAAATACCCAACCTGGTTATGACATTCACAGTTCGCCATGGTTAAGCCATGGCCCATAGAAATCGATGGTTTACCGAACTAAAATATGTGTGGTTTTACCTATTAAAAATGGGTTTTACCTATTATTGTCTACGCCCATAGAAATAGATGGGTTTACCTATTAAAAATGGGTGGAACTTTCCATGGCAAACCATTAGTCATAACCAGAGGGTAATTGTTATGTTATTGTAACTATAGTCCCTCTGGTAAATAATCAGTTTGACCCTGAGAATCGCCAATTTGTAATGGAAACTAATCTTCCAACCCCGATGACTGGCAGGGTCGAACTGTTAATTTACCAGAGGGTATCATCTGTTATCATAACTTAACACCAAACTATTGATAATTATAACAACTTAAACTATTGATAACAATAACTCCACCATATTTTGTAAACAACCATGGATAAATGGGTTATAAGGGTGGATAATAATAGTTTATTGATAATAATAGGGTTGTAATTGTCACTTATACTATGGAATATTATATTATGATCATGGGTAATTTTTTGGGCAACGGTCTCTCCACCATATTCCATTTGATTCATAGTCCATTTTTCCATATTTTTCCCAACAAAAATCGTATCCATTTCTGGTGGTGTTTGTCTTTTTTTTGCCTCGTCTCAACAAGAATCACGCAAAAAAACAGCAACATCTCAAAAAATGGAGTTGCAATAACTGGTTCGACGAATTCTTCTCTCCCATTCATGGCCCTCAAAGAAACAACACTTTACAAAGTGGTGCCCCGCAGTTGGCTAGGTTGGTTTATAATTAAGTAGGTTGACTAATTGTAGTTCATGAGTGTTCACGAATATTATAAATATTGTCAATACTAATCCAACTTAACCCTCCGGTAAACAACATGGCTGGCTGGAAAATCCGTCATTTATAGATTCATTTCCTGTCTATAAACCTCCATTGATCAGTGATTTTCCCATTAAATACCTGAATTTCCAGATGATTTTAATACCCATAGGATCCATGTATGCTATATATGGTGTGCCATGGATCCCATCAATATACCCCCAACTCAATGTTAGCATTTTTCTCCCAGCACCAGCCGGATCCGTCATGGGATATGGATCCTCTCCATTTTTCCTTGGGATTTCCCATGTTTGACACAGGCACTGCTCGGCTCCTAGGACACTGCGGGGGCCAATTTGGGACCGTCTTTCTGGGAACCGCCGAAACGGCGGGTCCGTCGACGTCGTCGACGTGGACGTGGACGTCGTCGTCCTCCGCCGGGACCAGTTGAAGCTGATCCGACTCCGCGACTGCCGGAGCTTCTGCCTGGGAAAGTTGGAAAAAACATCGCTTTTCTTTTCTGGAGATCTTTGGATAATATGGAAATCTATAGTTTTAATTCAAAAAATGATATATATATATATGTGTGTATATATAATTATAGATATATAATTATATATATATAATGGAGTACCATTGGGTTTCATGGGGGTTAATGGGATTTAGTGGGATTTGATGGTCCAATCCCGCTAAGTTCAGGGTGAACTTGGCAAATCCGCAACTTTTCATCCCAGGTATCGGCATCGTAAGCTTCATATGGAGCGCATAAGAAGCCAAACACCAGGTGGGTGAGGAGTTAGCCTCTGGTAAATTAACATATGTAGACCCTGGCAGGTACGGGTTGGAAGATTCGTTTCCATTAAAACTATATGCTATTTTCAGGGTCCAACTGTTAATTTACCCTCAAACCTTTTTTGCTTCAAATTTAGGATGCTTTCCAAACCCTGCCAGGGAAAAAAGCGTATCTTCCCACGTCAAAAAGGTAAGACCTATGGGTTGATCACCTCCCATGGGGCCTTGCGGCCCAAGGGCCATGGCCGACCTCGAAGGTTAAATGGTAACTGAGATGACCCTCTGGAGAAATGCCACGTCTAAACATGTGTAAAACAAAACCATGCATCAACATATAACTCATTGGATTGGTTTAAGGGAAAATCTACAGGAAACCATGTTTTTTTTACCGTCAAATATAGGGCTTTCCTGTAAATTTTCCCATCATCCAATTCTATGAATAAAACAAAACCACACGTCATATCAAATCAATTTCATGCAATTATTGAACATATTGAACAAGACACCGGAGGAAAATGGAACATATTATAACATATTCCATCTCTGCATTTGTCACAGGTAATCTCCCCCGAAAAAAAAGTCCAACGAGACCAGCCCTTTCCAAGCTCATTGTCCTCGTCTCGGCTTTCATCGTCACTTTTTCCTTGATAATTGGTGTTGGTTCTTTACAAGTTGATTTTCCGTAAAAAAAGGGTGAAGAGGCCGAAGAACTTCCCGATTTTGATGCTGCGTACTATGTTATTTGTTGGTGGGGAGCCAGAAAGACTCACGTTGGAATCCGGATGCTGATAGTTTTTAAACTTCCCCCATGCTTGCGCATGCTTGGAACCTACCAGATTAAACACACTTGACTATAGATTGGTGGCTCACCATTTGGAATTAACATGTGTCCCTATTGTGGCTTCGACCCATCCATATGTGCTTTTCCCTTGAGATCATCGTCCCCATTGTCTAGATGAATGGAATCAACATCCCAAAATATGGTTTTTCAATAGTAAACAACTGGGTGGTGCGTAAATATGACCACGTCGTAGTCGGGTAAATCATGTTAAATCACTCTCCCCAAGCATTTCCCAGCAAATTTGGCAAGGTTTTCCCATGCTTTTCTGGGTTTGCCCCATGGTTTGCCACGCTTGGCCCTGCCTTTCGCGACTTTCGCCTTCCTCGCTGCCTTGGCCGCGGCTTCCGTCGGCAGGGTGTTCCAGGAGGCCTTGTCCACGGTGCGTGTGACTTCGCTGAAGGCCCACAGCGCCAGGGACCACCAAAAAGCTGGGCACCGGGCCTTAGTGATCTTTTCATGGTTTATGATGGGTTTATGATGGGTTTATGATGGGTTTATGATGGGTTTATGATGGGTTAATGGATGTTAATGGATGTTGATGGTTGATTTGATGATATCATGATGTGTGATGATATTTATCCTTCTGGTATATAGTAGGCATGATGGTTTTGACGGTTTTCTCGTTTATAATGATTTCCGAATTGGTTACATCCTGGAAAAGAGTCTCAAACCCATGAGGTGGACCATAGATGAACCACTTTGATGTATCTACCTTAAAGCCAACAAATACTGAAGTTATGTCAGTTACCTTTGCCAACTTTACGATTTGGAGTACCACCTGGGACTGTCTTTGTTATCATGGCAATTGAAAATCCTTGGAGGTTCTAGTGGGGTATCGTCGAACGAAATGGGTGATTTTGTAAAGGGCCAGTTTTTTGCAGTGATTGGGGATTCAATTAATGCAACCCAACCACAATGAGGATTACGATGAAACCTACTGAAATAGGGGCTCCAACATGGTTACATAGATGTCAGCTGATCATTGATTCAGCTGAAAAATATAGTGGCCGGTTCTTAGCCGCATCCCGTTGAGTAGGGATCACAATAATCTCCCATAGCCAGCAAAGGGGTATTTTCAATGGCTCGACTCTTTCAACCCTTTCATTGTTTTGTGGCGACAATGTGAGGTGAGACACCTACCCGCAAATGTGTGATGCTTCGGTGAGAAAAACATGAGACTTACTCAAAATGAGGTCGACACCTACTAAAATGAGGGTAGATATGATGAAATACATCAGGTTTTTTTCCTGAAAGTTGTTCTGGACACTTTTCTTTTAACCATCACTTCAAAATGATGTAATTATTTAATGGATGGAGTTCTTCCCATATATCAATAGACTCACCACATGGTAGATTAACTAATGGGAAAAAAACCTCATCATGTTCGGCAAATCCTGGTTCTTGTATGCCAAGAACCAAACTTCAACTATCCCAATGATTTCAAGATTTCACTAGATGCAGGAAGGAATCACGAACATGAGATGCGATCATTTCAATGTTGAAAAACGTGTGCGGGTATGCCTTCTGCAATGTTCAGTTATGGGTTGATTTGAAGGACCTTTTTCACCAGAATTGTTTGAAGTACAACCTGGGCAGTACAGTTGTAATTCTCGGGGGGTTCTACAAAATTGGCAATGCATCTGCTTGATCTACAGGATGTTTCAAGTAAAATAACATCAGAGGATTAAACTGTTTAAACGAACAAAATTGCGATGCGAGTTTAAGCAACCAGAATTGGGACCATCTGCCCTATGTCTTCAACCCGATTGGACATGCATGGATAGAATCCGATCTGGATAAATTTCTATGAGCTATAGATATCTCACCAGCCTGAAATGTTTGCTCGTACCAGTTGGAACTGACACAATTTCTTGGAGTTAGACTCTGCTGATCTAATCTGGCTGGAAAATCCGGCTGTTCCAAAAGTCATCGAACATAGCAATCAGATCCTCGTCTGCTGGATTTGAAACTGGACAAAGACCACCTCGAACAACTTCGCTGAACAGAAGTCCTCGAACAGTTGATATCTCCAATGGATTCCCATTGGGAATCCATGGTTTTCGCTAAGCCCCAGGATTTAAGTTCATCCATGTTCATCCCCAACGTCCAAGTATGTCCAAGTATGTCCAAGTATGTCCAAGTGGCACACAATTCCGCCGCATGGGGAATTTTCGCCGTTCTCTTTGTTCCAATCTGTTTCAAGGCTTTTCCGAAGGACACCAATTCCCACAGGCTCCACAAAGGCACCATATCTTCCTTATCGCCGCTCTCACAACTGCTCAGATTTCAAAAGGGGAAAAAAACACAGAATTTCCCAAACAATTTCAGATTCAAGAAAAGCAAATCCCAAACATGTCTGGTTGGAAATATCCTGAAAATTGGCAAAAACACCCACAAAATCCATATGCAAATCTCAGTTTCATAGGGTGCGCCACTTTGATGTAGGCAATTGTACCTGACCTTGGCCGAAAGGGCCCAAAGTTCATGCACTGGTCCCAAGCCCCAAGAAATTCATGATTTCTGGTGGCTTCACCCAGAAAAAAATCAAAAAAAAGGATAGGCATCAAAGAAGACACTTAAAACATTACAAAGTTCAAAATCAGATTTCAGAATTCCAGATAATTCATGATACTTCCAGGTGACAGTCACATTGATGGCAGATTTTCTCCGATCCGTCTGTGAGTTCACTTTCCAGCCCAGCACCCGTGGGAATGGATCCATCACAGCCTTCATGCGCGCTTCGGTGACCAGCGCAGGACTGACCTGTTCACCGAAGCGAAAACGTCGGGCCATTTGCTCAGCGTCAAAGGTCTCGTGGGCCCAGAGCATGTGTCCTGATGCATCAAGTGATCGAGGATGACTATCAAGATAGATGCACCTTGCGCATGTAGATGTAACAATTTATGTTGACATTAAAAGTTTATATGATCCTTAAACATAAAATTTGTGGTCAAGGATATATATATTTATTTATTTATTTATTTATTATTCAATTTGTTTATTTGTATATACAACTATAATTATACGTCTGTCTACTGTATATATGTAAAATATTTGCATTGTCAAGCTATCATCTGCATTTTCTGGATGGAGCTTGGTTGCTGCTTGAGCATCCTTTCCGCAAAAAACACTAGGCATTGTCACAGTAGACGAATCATCATCATGATGACAATAATAATAACGGTAACAACAGTAGTGGCAACAAAACCAATACAACTAATAAACATAATAAGAACAATAACAATAATAATAATCATCGCCGTCATCGTCATCGTCATGGTCATCACCATCACCATCACCATCACCATCATCACCACCACCACCATCACCATCACCATCACCATCAGCATCATCATCATCATCATCATCATCACCACATGTGTTTTCTCATATTTAATTTCTCAATGGTTTTCCATCGTTTTCAACATGGTTTCCAACGAAATCTAGGCTGTCCTGCAGATTTTATTATGGACTTGACCTGAGAAGCTGCAGATCTTCCACCGACTCACTGATATCAAGAGAACACCCATGAAATCGACACTACCCATGCCCGATCTCCACAAAACAAAAATGGCTAAAAAACCCTGATGAATGCTGAAGCACTGAGCTGCGTCCTTGTGCAACAACCCAAAAAAGATGCCGAAAAGTGGTTCCAGGATGTTATAGATATTTATAGATGATGTTTCCTCCAGATTTTCCATGTGTTTTTAGCTTTTGTATATATTTGGGGGTGCTACGATATGAAACAAATACCCCTTGAAAACACCCCCGTGAACAATATTGGATCAAGTTAGTCTAAGGGACCATGTAGAAGTTGATTTCGGGGTATGTGACATCAGTCCGGACCGGACCGTAGCAAAATGAATGAAGCATATGGCATTTTTGGCCCCTAAGCCAGTTACAGCCACATCACCCGAGTAAAAAACTTTAATGCCAACTTTAATAAGAGTTCACCAACCTGAACAAATCGTTGAAACAGGTTGCATCATCTTGAGATAGCTACCCTTACATATCCTTACATTTAGCATGTTTCACCATCATTTCCAGTAATGTCGTGTTGTGACATCGTTGTCATTTAGCCAGTGCTCCATCATTTCGTCTCAATCTCCAGGGAGATTCCCTAGATTTTTCGACGCATTTCCTGCCCCGATTTTTCAACAAAAAAGGTCTCCTTTTGGTGATGTTCGAGTGCTTGTTTTCTTCTGATACTTGGCGAGGATTTTTTCTTTCGCCTCTGAGCCTTGCTTGTTCAACTTTTGCGTGCGCTTGTCGACCTGGAGTCAGCGAATCCAGCATTTCAAGTCAGAACAACCCACATGCAGATCATCTATTGGGAAAGAAAACGGCATCCTCGGGTTTGACTATTTTAGTGCATCTCTGCTGTCGTAAAGTCATGAAGTTGGAAGTGGACCCAAACAATTGCCCATCAGCCCTTAAATATAACGTGAAAAAGTCATATACTACCCATTTTAGGTACCAATCAGCAAACCATCTAATCATTATTAAGAATACCGAAGTGCGGTCAAACGAAATAATCTGGAATCAACAACGGTAGGTTTCCGAAATGATAATCTTTCGCAGTGGAGAGAGGACGAAATATGGTTACAAAAATCAAGGTTTACCTAACAAACATGTGCCGGATATTCACCAACCAAAATCTGGTAGACATTGAAAATCATTGGCAGGACCAATACCAAGTGACCCTGGGTCCCATAATGTCAGCATTTGTTACTTCTTCCTAAATGAAATGCAGAATACATAAAAGTTACACATTGAAAACAAAACATTGACCATCAACCAGACCCAAGTAACCAAAATGTGAACTCAGAGAGCAAAACCAATGGATTCCTCCGAGTTTAGCATAGTTTAGCTCACCTTTTTGGGGACCAATTTATGCTTCAGATTCGCCCTTAATGGCCAAAACTATTACCATTTGTTGTTGTTTGTTATTGTTGTTGGGATCTTATGGATATATTAGGATCTTATTGGGGTACTATGATATTATGGTATATTATGGTATTATGACATCTTTTCCATTCGGTTTCCCAATCTAAGATAGACACAAGACAGATGCATCCGAGTGACCACTGGAAACAGTGCCACTTTCGCTGGCTTCTTTGGCGGCTGCTGGTCTTTCGGTATCCAATGACGGCCATACGTGGCCCGCTTAGGCTCGACCATGTCCGACATGTTTCTATCCCGCTGTCAATGGAAGGATTTATGGAAAAAACCTGCAGGAAACCAGAGTTTTTACCATTAAATATAAGGAACCTTTTAATCCAAACATGGGCCTGCAAATAAACTGAAAAACAGCTAACAGCCAACAATGATACCAAATCAGTTTTTCTTTTAAGAAAATGATTTGGATATTTTGGTTGAAATCTACCTTTGTCCGGCGCTCAAGGCCTATGATTCTGCTGAGGTGTTCACATGATTTGGTTTCGGCCCGAAACTTGCGACATTTTTTGGCGATTCACATGGCGCATGAATGTAGAGAAGTGCTTCCAGGAGGATGGTGATGATATTTTCTCATATTTTTCGAGGTGTCCTATCTTTCTATTTTGTTGGAGGGTTGCTATAAGGCCCGTTTTCCCTATCCACTATTTTAGCGACCATCTGAATCGCCCATTTGATGGTGGTCAAAACCCTGGCACCCTTCTCACACAAAAACAGCTGGCAGATGTTCATTCCCCCATACCATCCAGTAATTTTGACAAAACTACATGGATGCTATGCAAACCCAGTTTGATGATTTACCTATCACAAATGGTGGTTTTCCATAGCAAACTGTGACAGATTACCAGACGGTCTGGTTTGTCTTAGATCCTGCGAATTGTTCAATTTGGCAGGAACATCTTTCTACGCGAGTTGACCCGTTTCAAAAATGAAGGTATGTGGGAGATACGGGGCCTCCAGCCCCCATTGTATGGTGTGGGTTGTCATTTATTTCTCCATTAAAACTGTCACAAGACGCAACACATGCAGCATTTCTTCACAGAGAACACACACGTCTTTAAAAATCTGCAAGCAAACAAATCCGATGAGTATTATATGGATGAAAAATATCAGCAATATTGTCAGGACTGTCAGGAAATGCCAAGAAAACACATCTCCACAAAGAAACAAATAAAACCTGATCAACAACTACCCTCTGTTAGTCAAACATGGTCGGAAAATCCCCTAGTATAACTCAATGATTTTCCCGTTTCAATGATTTAAATATCTATTTAGTTGGGGGATTGCCCGTTGCTATCCCGCCCAGTTTCGAATGTCGCCGCTCATGTCCAGTGAGGACAGGGGAAATGACTCAGGACTCGCCCGAAATAAATCTGTTCTCTAGGTGGAAATTAACATTTTTTGCAAATAAATTGGTAAATCATCGAACTAAATGGGCCATAGTTTCTATGACTATATTGTACTTACAATTATGTTATCAGAAGGCAATGAATTTTGTGGAGCATCATGCTAGAATTGGAATTTTGTGGCCAAATTTGTTTGTCATGAAATGTTGATGCCAATGGTTTCTTGCCACCTCGTGGTCATCTTGCCATGTTATCAGCTGAGCCGGAGATTTACAAGGCCCCTGATGTGGCTTGACAGGTTGGCTGGTGGTGAGTGATCAAATGCACCCGTTGCTCAATTTTTTCTTCCCCATTAAATCGTGCTCATCATATCCTATTGAACCCCTTTGGGTCCAATTTTGTTGGTTGCTCAGGGATGTTTAAGGACCCATGAAATTCACATGTTTAGACTCAATTTACCTTAGCATGGGGTAATACCTCATCATTGAAACAACCCAAATCATATATGTGGATTTTGTATCCTCATTATACCATAGCCTTTTGGTTCGTTTTACACCAAAAAATCTTTGTAAAACCGTGGAAAAACCTACCCTCTGGTAAACTAACATAGCGAACTGGAAAATCACTATTTGAATAGGTAAATCACCATTTAAAATGGTCCATTTTCAATAGCAAACTGTTAGTTTACCATAGGGTAACAGTTTTTTCCAATTCACCAAGTCTCCAAGGACTTCACCCATTTGTCCCAGGTTTTGACCCCGAAAAAATCCAACGGAAACGGTTGGCAACGTCCAAACCTCACTGAGGACCACGTTGCCCAGGTCTTGTCGCAAAGTCTGGGCATGGCAGGGGACGGGTTCCAGGAAAATCTTTGGAGTTCTGGATTCATTATACATATATATATATAGATAGATAAGATAAGATAAGATTAGATTAGATTAGATTAGATAGATAGATAGGTAGATAGATAGATAGATAGAGCGATAGTTAAATAGCTATGTATATATGTATATATATATATATATGTGTGTGTGTATATCATAGATATAGCAAATAGATGATAGAGAGAGATATATATATAATATGGGTTGATCCTTGATATACTATAAATACACTGGAAATGATGGAGACTGGCTCAATAATTTAATCGGTACAATATAGTATTACTCAATATAGTAGATATAGCATCACTGGATTAATGATGCCTATCAATTACATAGATATTTACTATTTAACTTGCAAAAACACTATATAGATTCATGCTTGTATAACATTTAACTATAGATATTAGATATAAAAGAAACATAGTGGAAATAATTTCGACTGAATAGAAGTAAAATGGGCAAATACTGGACACATCCATATATTGACGAATATAATCTTTGACTACCAGAGGATACAGCTTGAGTATTGTATAAGAATTCACTGTATAAGAATTTGAGTGGCTCGAATCCAAGGCGGGCTACATATTTTCAGATATATTGAGAGGCCCTGGAATAGGATTGCCAAATTCTTGAATTACTGCTTATACGTGAGGTTTGCAATTCCCCTTTGCGGTTCATTTTTGTTTGTGGAGTGACCCCTTGTGGTCTTATGGGATGAAATCGGGCTTTGCTGAAAAACATTTTGTCAAGCTCCGATTTTTTTCGCACATGCTTGGACTGCTTTCAATCCAAGCAAAATCTATATCTGGATAAACTTGGAGACCTGAAACATTGTTTTCCCCAATAACTTGAAGAAAACATAGGCTTCGCAGAAAAACAATTTTTTCCAGCTCCGATTTTTTTTTCGCACATGCTTGGACTGCTTGCAATCCATGCAAAATCTACATGTGGATCGGATAGACTTGGGGACCTGAAACATTGTGTTCCCCAATAACTTGAAGAAAACTTAGGCTTTGCAGAAAAAAATCAAGCTCCGAAATAACTTTGTAGGCTTCAGCCAACGGCTAACTTCAAGCAGCGTGAGCTCCTTTTGCAGTGGCAGATCTTGAGCCAAACACAGCGGTTTGGCTAGGTAAGTTCAACACCTGAAGTTGTGCTGGATAAAACGACCCCCCGCAGTTGGATCGACCGTGTCAAAAACGAAGGATTCAAGGCCGCAAATGCGTTCCCCCCGGCCAGGAACGCGTTTGAAGCCGTCGGCAGCATACACAGCACGGTGATCGCAACAGGACAGGTCTCCAGACCAAACAGTGCCGCTTGAGATCAGAAGATCCAAGCTATTCCGCTGTGCGTGGGCATGGCCATCCGCATCAAGTGCAGGTATGGTCGTATGGTCCATAGAACCCAAAAGAGTCAAAAGAACTCGGATTATAGCACATGAAAGGTCTTGTAAAAAAAATTGAGGAATCCGGGTGCCCACTATCACTATCGTCCGAATGAATTTCTTCAATTTCTTCTGGGACAATTGGTGGTACCCCTTTAGATTCCAACCATTCCTTATACCTCCTTTCGGACAGCTCCTTCTGTTTACGAGCCTTCTTGCCTCCCCTACGAGGTTTCCAGTTTGGATCGAACTTATCCCTTGGAGGGTGCTGAACGTGATACCCAGACGATCCCTGACCACCCCGCTTTCCCATGTGACCCGCCACGAAGGCTGGTGACACACGGGTTGCAGCAAAGAGACAGATAGGCCTAAGAGCCAAGCAACGAGCAACCAGTCGGCAAACAGCGATGGAAGGCGAAGCAAAGCGACAATGGCAAACAGCACGGGAGAGCGACTACGGCTGACAACCTAACTTTGTAGGTCAACCAGCAGCTAACTTCAAGCAGCGTGAGCTCCTTTTGCAGTGGCAGATCTTGAGCCAAACACAGCGGTTTGGCTAGGTAAGTTCAACACCTGAAGTTGTGCTGGATAAAACGACGAACAATTGCTTTTTCTGCACTGCTCTTATGAAACTCAGAGAAGCCCGGCTTTGCAAAAAAACAATTTTTCGGGCTCTAAAAAAATGTTTTTCCCGCACTGCTTTTTTGAAACTTGGACAAGCCCGGCTTTGCAAAAAAAACAACTTTTCAGGCTTTATTTTTTTTTCGTATGTCTCTTGTCAAATCTGCCAACTCCACCTCGTTACCTCGCTTTAGCTCGCTCCAAATTGCGCAGATGCATACCATACATAACTAAGAATGCTCTAAGAATTTGAGGGACCCTCGACCTACTGTGGTGGAAATTTGCCTGCATTTAAAAATCAGATTTTGAGGGAGCCTGGGCCTCAAGCTTTCGGATTCTTAACCAAATCTCGGGCGGTATTGATATACGTGTGACATAACCATTTGGAAATCTCACCATATATCTAAAGAAAATGCTGTATGTATGGGGACTGCCAGGCCCCATGCTTACAGCGGTGATTATCTTAGATGCACTTAGCCAAAACACATGAACACATTTTTTTCAACTTTTGTCTTTGAACTTTTTCTTTTTAACGAAACCCCTTCTGAAGGTTTCAATGACGAAGCGGGAATTTGTGTATACGTGTTATATAATATATATATATATATGTGTGTGTGTGTGTGCTCAGAGTATTACTTTGATGAATCTTCATGCGATGCCTATACAACCTAGTTTAATCAGAATTTGACAGTGATATCATCAAAAAACATAAGGTCATAAAATGGAATGCTGCTACCCACCCATTCCTATACACGCATGGCCAAGATGACATCGCACAACGCTGCAAAAAGCAGCGCCCATCGCCCACGATGCGGATCGTGCTTTGGGTGCACTGGGATTGGTACCATTCCAACAACAGTGGTTCGGAGAACTTGATGCTTGGCAGACTGCAAGCATCATGTGCATCCACTTGGAAGATCTTTTTCCTGCCACCCCAGTACTACCATTTGGACACCCATCTTCTTAATCCCTTCTTCCTAATTATTACTAAACACCCCCCCAAAATAATAAAAACTACCCCAGAGTATTTGTTTTGGGAAATTTCAGATTGGTCAATTTGACTTTTATTTGATCCCCTTTGGAAAACAATTCAAAAATCAAGGTCCATTTGAAGGTTCTGCCCCCGTAATAATAAAAACTCGTTAGCGCCGGGCGGTTTTTTACTAGGGTCCGTTTGTTAAAATCAAATCAGTTACTTTGATTAAGGTTTTAAATTTGATATTAAGGGGAAAGCTTCGAAATCCAATTTTTGGCAATATGTTAATTAGATTTCAAAACTGAATTTAATCGATTTTGAAATCGAACATTTTAGTTTTTCAATCAATATTAGGGGAAAGCTTCGAAATCCAATTTTTGGCAATATCTTTATTAGATTGTAAAAGGGCATCTATAAAATTGATTTTGAAATCGACAATTTTAGTGTTTCTTTTTAAATTAAGATGTATTAAGAGTATTAATTTAATATTAGGAGCCTTCTCCCCCCAATTTTAAAGACTCCCTACCAATAAAAACTACCCCTAGGTTCATTATTTTGGGGGGCGACCTTTAATATTAGTGTGAAGAGTTTACATTTTCACTTCTCGATGGACTCCCCAAGCGTGCATCATCTTCACACATGGGAAGGAGTGTTGCCATGAACAAATCCTTGTGCTGATCAAACCAGTGCCTGAACTTGTGAAGTTCGTATCCATCGTTGATTGGCCTTTTTCTGCCAGCATTTTTTCGGCAGAGGAGTCTCATCACAAACCATCCATCTCCAGGCCTCTGGGTAGCCATCCACCAAGTCTCCAGGCTTAACGGCCTGCAAATGGCAAGGAAATTGGTGGGTTTTTGGAGGTGAAAAATCCATGGTGACTGCAGTGATAGGAAAAACATCGCGACATCGCCCCTGCAACCAAATCGCATCATCAACTTTAACGAAAACGACATATCCACCTTAAGGACTGCCGAAATTATTTGATCAAATACCAAACCTGGGGTTTGAGGAGTATTTCATATCAACGGGATGGGATATGTCAATTTTTGGTGGAGTATCTCCCAAACCACCACGTTTCACAATAAAATAAAATATCATAGGCAATGGACATTATAGATCATACGCCTGGCACCCTGGTGTTCACATCAAAACCATTGGCGAATGGATTTTCATCCATTCATCAACATGAAGTGTGGACCTATATATCACTCAAAAAGATGGAGAAACTCGCACTTTTTGAGTATACTTGTTGCTGTTCTATTTGTTCGATGAATTTGGGTGATTTTTTTTTGGTGGGTTGCCATATGTTTCACCATGTTTCACCATGTTTCAGCACCAAAAAGATGAAAGATCTCGCCTCAATCATGTCTGCCGGCATTCCCACAAAGGTCAAGATTTCTGGAGGCGTCATATCCGGCTCATCTGGAGCCCGATCCTGAGAATGTTGGGGGATCAAAAGAGAATCATGATCTGATTGCGTCGCCATTTTCGTCCATTTCCCACCCAAGAAACGGGAGATGAACCAGGTTATTAGGCAATAACCCATCTTGAAAATGATGGAAAAATCCAGGTTATTGTCTATGAGTTTTTTTCCCAGGTCATCTTCAGCAAATCCAGGTTATTGCCGAATGACCTGGATCTCTGATGGAACCAATCTGTGATATGACATGACGCCTTTCGACCCTGCCAGGTATTGGGGGTTCCAAAACTACTTTCTTAAAAAATAAGGTACGTTCTATGTTGAGGGGGTGGCAAATTTTGGAGAACATGTTGATAACATGTTGATGTGTATAGATTCACTTTTCTTAGGAAGATCCTGCAAAATACCCCGGTCAAATTTGAGGTGACTAGGTTTCAAATAAACCACATGGCACTCCGATTTGCAGGTGTATGACTTTCCCAAAGGTAGTCTTGCTTCAGAACTACAGGAAACCAGCCACGCTTTTCAAAACATGCAAATTCTGAGGCATAGTCTGCAGCACCCCTCCAGGAAACTCAAACCTCACCCCATCAAAACATTGGCCGGGTACGCATCACGTATGCGGGCCGAGCATCTGGATTCACTACCTGTGAAACAACGCAAAAAAAGCAAGGAAAGCAGGCGATGGGTCGTGACAAGTGCGAGGGTTTAGCTCATTTTGACAGTGAGAAACTCGACTTGTAGCTCCTTGGCTTTTCATGTGAAAGGGAATATGCATATCAGGATATCCATGTCCTTAGCTAAAATGAAACACCGGAGAGTTCATTCATGTGGAATATATGGAAATGATGTTTCAACATGTTTTAAACCAATGGGATACAATTGCATGAAAAAAAGCTTTAAAACTTGCAGAGGTTTGATGCTGTTGCTGGTTGTTGGCTCTGAAAAAACCTGGATGGAACCACCAGCTCTAAGATAGCCAAGCAAAATGACATTGAATCATGTAGGTCATAGACGGTCATAAGCCAATCTTCAATCAAAAAGCATCGCTAGGCAGTACCCTCTGGTAAACTAACATAGCTATTGAAAATGGTCATTTATAGTGGATTTACCCATTAAACATGATGATTTTCCATAGATATGTTAGTTTACCAAAGGGTAGATATACGATTTTTTTACATTGACTTTATTGTTTCATTGCCAAAACACGCCGGATCACCGGTAGGTCTGAGTAGGTTTTCACAAAATTCAGATTTTAACCCTCAACAAACGTGGATTTAACTTATCAACACCCTCATCTATCGTAGCTGAGAAAATCATGGCGTTTCATAGGTAATAGATTGGTAAATTTCTATAGCTCTGTAAAATACTGTAAAATCACCCATGAGTTTTCCAGTCAGCTCCTAGTCACTAGCAGAAAATGCTATCCACATGAGGTCATCTAACGATTGTCCCAAACATCCTTGATGATCTAATGATCTGAATGGATTTTCCCATGAAATAAACATCGAGTTACACATTTGGGAAGCATGGTCCCACTATTTTTGTTGCCGCTTCTCAGAGGGTTTGCCACAGCCCAGCATGGTCCCACTATGTCTGGTGGATGATTAGGACATATTGGGACTTCCGGAGTCCGGGCACCTCAGGTTCGCCACCACCCCAAGCACCATAGTCTAAGACCTTCTCGATGCCTTCACTTAGAGGACCTGCCAAATCTGCCAAATCTCCCGTGGACTTTGGTGAGATTTTTGGCTCAATGGGATTGATTGGATTAATGTGGATTTATGTGGATTTATGTGGTTAGATGATCTTAAGGTAAAGCAAAAAAATGGATCCATGATGGCCCCAAAGTTTCCATTTTTATGCATATAAACCACATATAAACCATCAAACTGTGGATGGTTTATTGCTTTACGAACATTATTGATGTTTTAATGGTGAGAAGGAATTGATTTCAATCAATGGAGTTAAATTAAAATGATCGGCGTGTGAAACTCTATTGACAAAAGGGTACCAATAAATCCTCTCATTTAAAATTCATCATCAGTTTTTTTCAATAAGCATATAATATAAGTATAGTAACCATTTTGGGGTACACCCCATTTATGTTGGAGATATACCCCATTTCCGCACACACATTTTTGTTTCCAAGGTTTCCAGTTTCGGTGAAAAAATCAACTGATGCCCCTACCGGGATGGTAAGAACCAATTGATGTGTTTATCTTGTCCTATTTTTCGCCAATGTCAATATGTCATGATAGATACTAATGTTAGAAGTATGTAGGTAAAAATGATGATCAACCAATTTTGGAGGCACCCAAAAATTGTCGCAGAAACCAATATTTGGGATCATAAGACCTACAACGTTGTGCCCCATGTGCCGCCCAGTTGCAAATTGGGTTACAAATCCCAATTAACTACATAATGTCAACCCTGGATTAATAAACCCCAAACGGCTGTTTAATTGGGAGGGTACCATTAAAAAAGTATCAGATTATGACTATTGGAGGAGTACCCCCCTAATTTTCATAAACCATGGTTTAGTCTCATCCGGGGTTGACATTATTGGGATAAATTATCTACATACATCTGGGTAAATTATAATATTTCACTAACCTGAATCTTGCGGCCATTTGGGGATGATTTCCCTTATTAACTATGATTCCAGGGCTCGGTCGCAGTGAGGTCGTGATCAAATTTACCCAGATATACACATTTATATCGCTAGGGGTCTGACGTTGGCCCTGAAACCCACGGAAATTCATAGAACAACTGCAATCTGCGGGACTGTTGTGTCCGGTTCGCGTGTTTTTCGCACACTGCGAGCATGCAACATATTGATATTACCTGCGTCTCATGGCGTTTTTGCGCTTACCTAAGACGGGGCCAAAATCACCATTTGAAGCGTCTCTTAAAGATATCCTCAGTAATTTGCAGTGTTTCGAGCTGTTAACTGAGACCTCAACAAACCGCAAAAATTTGAAAGACATAAGTAGACCCTAAAACAACCCTAAATAGCACGAAAATTAAGTAAACAAACCCTAAAGAAAATCAAAACAAACCCTAAGTAAACGCTAAAACAATCTGAAATATATCCTGAACAAACCAGAACGTAACTAAACCATACTAAACCCCCAATGATGGGCGAACGTCCGCCCCGGAGGGATTTATATATATATATATATATATAAATAATAGAATAAACAAATATATATATATATATTACTATAGCATGAACCCCAGTTACCCCAAGTTATTGTAGTGAAAAACCAACTTCGCTACCTCAGGGGCACCACCTTGGAAGAGCTATCCCGCCTGTCCACTTGCCAGTCTGGAGGTACTTAGCCTGTAGCATCGAAATCACGATTTGTTGATTCAAATGGGTCGGTTTATAGAGAATCCTTGGCTCATTGGATATCATTTCACCTACAGTTTCACTGTGAAAAATGTGTATCTCAGGATGTTTCAGGTACCAAAAATCTCGTCACTATAATACCATTCCGTCAAATCCCCCGGCCTAGCCATGGCATCATTTTTAAGGGAGTAACGGGTTCATGGAGCCAAGTTTCGGGAGTTTCTGGCCATGTTTGATTACCAAAGGCTATGTTTTTTTTATGGGCCAAAAGTCTGGCAAACGGATGAAGTCATACCATCTCATGCCCATATTTAATATGGTACAGGATGGTGCCCCCCAGTTATAAGTTGGTTTATAACCTCCCATAACTATAGTTATATCTGCCATAAACCATAGTTATTGGCGTTATAAACCAACTTAGCTATCTAGGGGGCCCCACTTTGTATTTAATATGGTAACAATGGGTTTTGACCCATCCCCTTCCTCTCATCTTCGTCATCACCAGGCCCATCTCAAATGAAACCGGACAATATCTAGTGGCATGGAACCATGAAACACTTGGCTCAAACAAAGAATTCACAATCCCGGACACTTGGCTCCAATAATACGGTAGATTTTTTTTGGGGCTGCCCTCCAGGAAAAATTAAAACATTGGTGGAAAACAACCAGTCGTGAAGCTTATGAAACATCCGACTCGCTGGAACATCTTGGCATGATCTCATAGAAGAGATGCACCGGTGCTAGAGGTTTGGTGCCGGGGGCTACAGTACCGTTGAAATCTCGAAATCTCTCCATCCGTTCTGGTTTGAGATCCCCAGAGATGGCGATTCTGCATATGATTACATGACTAAAGCCATAAGAACATATTTATGGAATGTATATTGGCCATCTCAATAATGGATGGATAATAAACCATGGTTTAGTCTCATCCGGGGTTGACATTATTGGGATAAATTATCTACATACATCTGGGTAAATGAAATAATATTTCACTAACCTGAATCTTGCAGCCATTTGGGGATGATTTCCCAATAAAAACTATGATGCCCGGGGTCGGTCGCAGTGAGGTCGTGATCAAATTTACCCAGATTTATAGAATGTAAATTAAATCAAAATAATACGACATATGTTTGTATACATGTACGGTACGGTACGTATGTGTGGTGTACTATTCAAATGTGAGCCTGGGAAAAGAGTAACCCCCTTCCCTTGCGACCTTGGCATAGGAGTGGCAAATGTCCTGCACCATCACCATCATTGGCAAGGCCAATATGTTGCCAAACCATCATGTTTGGATACCCTCTGATAATTTAACATAGCTATTGAAAATCACAATATCCAATAGCTAGATCGGCAATAAATGACAATTTTCCATAGCAATGTTAATTTACCAAAGGGTATATTTGAAGATATTCATGGGTATTCAACTAACATACTTGGAGATAAACCATCTGTTCAATAATGTCCATCAGCTATTTGAAATATTTTGAGACCTTTGAGTGACCAATTGTTTCATCAACATTCGTAGCTCGGGCACCGGCTGATAGGGAATCGTAGGGAATATGAATACCCCTAGCTCCCAACGGTTCCCTCCTGCCCTCAAGAAATACCGTAAAACATTGTATCCCATTATTTTCCATTACAGTTGGATATATACCATTGTGGTTGGTGATATTCCCATCACATCCGAATCAAATGGGCCATAATTTGGTATAATATTCCCTATTGATCTACCAATTTTCTCTCACGCGGGTATGAGTCAAACTTGGGTACCCTAATACTTAGATGGTTACCCTCTGGTAATTTAACATAGGTATTGAAAATGGCCATAGAAATAGTGAGTTTTCCCATTAAAAATGGTGATTTTCCATAGTTTTTTGTATGTTTACCAGAGGGTAATACTAAGAAATGACACAAAAACATATGGTTTTCCACGTTTTCAATGTTGACCCATTCTCCTTTAAACTATCATGTGGATAGAACACGGCTAAAACTATTCAATGGCCATGACTCAGGAACCGATTGATTGGAGGTACCTACCATATATGTTTGGCCTATTTTTGAGGCCTAATTTTCAGGGAATATCCCCACAATTCATATGGCCTGAAATATGGTACGTTTACGTACCTCCAATTTAGGATCCTGAAATTCCCATTGACAGGATGGTTGTTGGGTAAATCACCATTTTTAATAGGTAGACCATCTATTTCTATGGGCCATCTATACCATGGCGAACTGTTAGTCATAACCAGGTTGGGTAAAACTGCTGGAAACACCAGGTGGATCCTCAGCGTCGATCAGCAATCGAAGTCGAGGTCTACCTGAGTAACCGAACTCAGGCTGCCATCCAGGCCTCGTGGTTGGATGTTTGGCTGGATGTTTGGTTTGCAAGTCTGCAGATTTATGGAAACTTGGCCGGAAACTTGAGAAATATCTAGAGCAATCTTTAAGTTTGGGTGAAATTGGAAATTGTTTGGAAACCTTGTGGAATCGCTTTTTTGTTGGTGGTAGCACTTTGTGCTGGGTGGTAAACTATCCTCAGAAAATAATTGCACAACGAAATCTCGGAGGGCAATTGAAGGGAGAATGCACGCGGGCACATTCACCAATAGATCCAAATAGAATTCTAAATGCGTGTGCCAACCGAAAAAAAAATCAGTGAAATGGAAGGAAGCAACCCAAATACGGTGAAGTGTAAGTTAAGTAATGCATAGGATAGCAGGGTATGACTGGGTACGTCAGGGATTGGGCTGTCTAAACACTGGATTTGGGGCATCCCCCAGCATGAGACAACTCCAAAAATGGAGCCTTTAATTGATGATGGAATTATGTCCGACAATTTGTACCGCGATCCTCTTTGTACCTCCAAAGCAATGAGAGGAAAAAAACACACCCCAAAAAATCCGGGCGCCATTGCCTGAGTACGGAAATGGATCATTAAACACCATCAGTTCTTGAAGGACTTGAAGGAACTGTGGAAAAGCAGGTTTGGTCGCCGCTTCCAACCCAGAGATAAGCGAAGACCAAAAAGGGGCATGGGGGGTTGGACATTCCTTGAAGCTGGTCCGAATGCTCTTTGGGATAAGAGATTTATCACTGACTTCATAGACCCCACAACTTATACTTTTAGAGAACGCACTAAAGATTTCCCTTGGCCCAGTGAGCTACTTTCAACGGGAACATATGGGATAATATGATACCTATCCCAGATTGTTCCATTGTTGAAAGCACCACCCCAATAAAATAAGAAATTTAAACAAAAAACACATTTGTTTGCCCGTTTTCAGATGTGAATGATTGATTTATGGTAAACAATTGCAGGACACCACTGTAGATTTCCTAGCTCCGCAGGGCTCCCTATGTCTGATAAGGAGTATGGACACCTCTAGCTCGGAACCGCTTCTTCCATGCACCACGGATTAGTGTAGAGTGTCCCACCATGCATATCCCCAGAAAATAGCCGGTGAACTCCACAAAAAATAGCATCGAATTAACGATTATGTCCCATTATATCCCCATTACAGTTGGATATATAACTTACCCTCTGGTAATTTAACATAGCTATTGAAAATGGCAATTTATAGTGGATTTAACAATTAAAAACGGTGATTTTCCATAGTTTTTTGCATGTTTACCAGAGGCTATAACCATGTATCCCTATGATTCCATCTGTAATTGGGATACACTTCGATGGTGAGGGTCTAAGCAAATATCATGGATCACCATTTTATACCATTATAATCCCTATTTATGTACCCATGTACTCTAATTTTCCAATCATATCCCATTATCAAAGTCAAAGATTCTAAACCCACTATATAATGTAGATATAGCCATATATATAGCCATTACTAAATCCCATTCCTCCAAAGAAAGTGACTCTTATGTTAGTTGAGGGGGTGCACTACCCCATTTTCCTCTCCGAAGACGCTGGGTTTTCCGGACCCCTCTGGGCGTGGATCAAAAATCCGCGCCAGCTCATCCGTCCAGCCGGGACCCGTGATGTTGGCCCTTCGGGCTGTCCGTGCCCGGGCCCGGAGGGCCCGGGTCTGGCGCCTGGGGATTAAAAAATTGGTGAAAATTCCATGGGAATTTTCGCAACACGGGAAACGCTGAAAAATGGGTGTTTTTTTTGGGGACTGAAAGCTTTTGAGAATAGACAATTGGATCTATTGGAAGACATAGATCTGACGTTTTGTCAGCAAAATTCACCCATATATTCAATACGTTCCACCAATGGTTCGTTTTGGGGTATCTCATTTTAGAGCGCTATCAACCATCATGTTTGGTGTGTTCTCTTTCCATTGGTGGCTACACCCTTAGCTTTGATGATCACAAACCCGAAGTGTTCAATATTGTTCAATGCTCAAATTTCCTCATATCATCGAATCTTTGATGATTAGACATGATATATCGTGATATTAAAAAATGGTGCTAAGTGCTACCCTCTGGTAAATTAACATAGACCCTGGCAGTCATCGGGGTTGGAAGACTAGTTTCCATTAAGAATTTGCTATTTTCAGGGTCAAACTGTTTATTTACCAGAGGGACTATAGTTACAATAACATAACAATTACCCTCTGGTTATGACTAACGGTTTGCCATGGAAAGATCCACCAATTTTTAATAGGTAAACCCATCTATTTCAAACATGTGTTAAACCCAGGCTTTCTTGGGCAAACTCTAATGGATTTCCTGATGGGATTGGAGGATTGGATCTCCCCAAAGTGCTCAAAGTCGCAGCCTATGGAAGCCGCCGGCAACCGCAATCAACGCACAGAGAGCCACCTAAGTCACAGGAGGATTCAACCATTCAACCGCTTGGTGAATGAGAACTTGGGGGTGTAACCAATGGATAGAATATGATAGGAATATGAAAATATCTAATTGGATCTGATCTAATGGCTTGATTTGAGATCTGGATTCAATGAACTCTATTTTTTTAGCAGGTTTGAAATATAATGCCATGGGGAATGACTCCCATATTGACCATACACCATGGTGATCATGAATATGTTGTGACTTCGCAGTAAAGTCCTCATCAAACACAATAATCTCACAATTCCAGAACAGATGAATAATGAGCCACGCAAACATGGAAAACATGGACGCTGTTCGGGTTTGATTCTTGAAGACTCAAACTTGTAAAAGTCCAGGACGTCAATCCTACACTCTGCGAAGCAAAACAAGGATACAGCCAGCACCCTTTCAGCAGAAATCAGAAGAAATTTGCAATGTGTACCCTCCTGCAATCAAACATAGCAACAACCAAAATCATGATAAAGACATCCGTGTTGCTCGATGATTTTCAGTGAAAATTGTTTTCAAACCTGGCATGCTGGATTACCAGAAAGCAATATCAACGCGCCAGTTTGCTTTTTTCCCGCGGTGTCGTGGGGAGCTTTGCCCCACTTTTTGCTAAAACAAACGTGGGCTGCTTCCTGGGCATAAGCCTAGCTGCTAGCTGTTTACCGCCCCCGAACCAGACACACACTTGTAAGACACGGGTGTACATACATATATATATATATATATTACATGGTTTTTAATGGTTTCAAAAAAAATGGGGCATACTCCGAAGATGAAGCTCCAAACCATACCACATCATACCACATCCAAAAGGGTTTACATTGTGCTGCGGGACCCATCATCGGACCAAAAGGGAAACAGATTATCTTCGGCACATGTTGCTGGAACCGTGGCTGGTTTGATTCTTCTTGCCTGGAACTAGGTGCCCTGAGGTAACATTTCTTTTCGATCTTGTTCCATACCTAAAGATTGCTGGAAACCCCAGCAATATTCCTAGGCAGTGGTTGATGGGTTGACGATCCAAGGCGTTTTCGTAGCCTATTTGCATTTATCCTGATAAATTGTTAAAAGGTCACTGACCTGACATAGGGATAAACAAAGCCATTTGAATACAATTTCCTTATGAACCACTATTAGCCATTATTAACCATCATTCCCGTGCCGTCGCAATGATGTGTATCCAAAATTGATCCATGGATCTAGCAGTGTATTCGACTGTAGGCCACGAGTCCCTCTAAAACAGCTGGTTCATGGATGATTCTTCCCCAATCATATGGTAATTCCATCACTGGTTGGTGGTTGACCTACCCCTCTGAAAAATGATGGAGTTCGTCAAATGGGATCATGATTATTCCCAATATATGGAAAAATATAAAAGTCATGTTCCAAACCGCCAACCAGATATGATCAGATATGGTAATGTCATAACTTTTGACCATTTTTGACCTATCCATGTAGCAATTCGCGAACGGCTAAGCCGCAGCATAGCCGCAGCCTCTCAGAAGGCTCGACTTGGACCCCTGGAACCTGGGTAACCTGGGCCCCACCATCTCGGTGTAGGCATAACCGCCGGTGGCCTCGATGGAACCACGATTTGGAGTGAATTGTGTATAGTCATCCCTTAAAATAGATGGAAAAGTAAATCACCATCAGATTAGTAGGGATTTACTTTTCCATCTATTGGGGATGACTATAATGTAAACCTACCATTTTGGATGCTTTCTCGCACTCATTGATGGTGACTTTGGGGATTACTATTGAGTGTAACAGTTCCTGCACGGAAATATGGATGTCATTAACCTGCTCGACAAGGGCGGCGAGAATTTTGAGCCATGTCCGTGTCTTGTCGTCTTCAGCGAAAACATGCAACCTACTATTTCAAAGAAAACCCCGATCCTCCTACTTTTTCGCCTAAACAACAAAATGATGGAGTAATCAATCATAAATGATGCAAATGATGCAGTAATCATTCAACATCTAACATGGATTTCTGTTCGCCATACTCATTCAGGGCCCTTCAGTGACAAGCAACGGTCTTGGCGGAATGAAGCCCTTTCCACCTGCCAGCCAGGAAAGGCTTTGACGACGGACATTTGATCATTTTTCCCCGAACAATGACAACTGGCAGGTGAATTAATTATGTTTTGCATTCTCCAACCATTCTGGTCAAACTTAAGGGGTCACATGTCAGGATGATTCAAGATGGATAGCTACCTCAGTACTCACAAAAGCAACCAGACATCATATGTGCCATGGTCCTAACATATCCATCCGAAATCCCTATCATCCATATATAGATCACCATGAAGATGGATTGATAACCATCTTCCAATATGGGCATACAAGGCTATGCCATCCGATTTCATGAAAACATAGTTGCTTAAAAGCATATATTTCCCCACTAAATCCCATCATCTTCCATTCAATCCTCATTCAAATCCTCAGTTCTTCATCAAATTTTCAGCATCCTGGAATCCTGGCAGGCCTTTTCCAGTGCCCTTGGCTGGAAATGCCATAGGTGCCATAGGTGCCATCGGCCCCATCGGCTGCGGCCGATACATGGGTTGTTGGCCCGGCACCTGGAGAAATCAGATTTCAATGCGGGAAATCTAAGGGAAATGGAGGCTTTCATGAGGATTTCTCCAAGGAAAAATTCACCCAAAAAAAATGAGGGTAGTAAGATTTCATGGGAAAATCATTGATCAATGGAGTTTTCTATGGGAAAAAATCACTAAATATGAGGATTTTCCAGACCGCCAGGTTATGACAATCATTGACAATCTATGTCTTTGGCTTGCAGGGTGTGCTCCATTTTGATCTATGCCATTCGATGGTAGTTCATGATCCTGGAAAATATAACGATCCCAAAGGATATGAAAAAAACATTGGGTGTAGAGCCACCTCTTTGAGGATGAAAACCAGTTGAAAACCAATCCCAAAAGCATTCACCCTGGAACTAAATGGATCAAGAGCTCTCAAGTCCCAATCTCTTTTCAGCAGAACTGGGCATGGCCATTTTGCAAAGGAAAACGCCAGACACATTTAGTACTTACGGAGCCGAACATGGTTCCAGTTTAATACATACGCAGGGCTCCCCTAAAAATGCTAACGGCTTCCAATGATATGGTTTTGGGCAAAACCTTCAGTTTTACCATTCACTCTTGGGGGTGTGGCCGGGAATTGTTCCTTTCAATTCTATGCCTTTTTTTTTTGGTGGTTCACTTCTTTTTTTTTAATCATATCTATCTATTCAGTTCTGATTTGAGGTCATCAATTTGTTCATCGTTCCCCTTCCGATTTACATCAAACATGTAGCTTGGTATGGAGTTCTTTGTCACGTGCTGTCCTTAGCGGTAAAACCTCAATATAAATGGTCATATCCATGAAAGTCACCACGTTCCAACAGTTCTATTGGAGCAACCCATCAAAAACATCCATCTCTACATGAACATGAAGCCATTGAAACCAACAGTTCCAGATACCCTCTGGCAAACTAACAGTTTGCTATTGAGAATGGTCATTTATAGTGAGTTCTCCCATTAAAATGGTGATTTTCCATAGTTATGTGGCTGTTTACCAGAGGGTAAACCAGATCAACTCACTTCAAAATGAACATCCAACCTTCATCAACTTTCTACGTGGCCAAAACCTATGAAAAACATGTTTTTTGCTTGAACAAGAGGGTAGCGCCAAATTTCATGGTCCATGAGGATTTTCCGTTGAAAAAAAAAAACACAACTGGGTGTAACCTCATTCAGACGGACTCACAAAAAACTGTGATATAGCTATATGTAGTCACATACATTAATACAGCAATATACAAAAATATACAATACACATACTGTAGATCCGGATGATTCATCCCAATTTTAGTGGCATAAATTTTATGGTTTCTTTTTCTATTTTTTATTCATGAATTCAACATTTCCAAAAATCTGAGTTATGCCAGAATGTTGAATTTAAACATATGTTTCCTTTTTCTAAAATGGCTTACTGGCTGGTAGTTTCAACCCTTCTGATTAGTCAATGGGAAGGATTATTTGATTATTCCCAATATATGGAAAGTCATAAAATTCATGTTCCAAACCACCAACCAGATAAATACCCTCTGGTTATTTAACATAGCCATGGTATAGATGGCCCATTTATAGATGGTTTACCTATTAAAAATGGTGATTGATGATTGTGTTTATGAAATTTACAAAATTCCAGCATTTCCATTCCACGCTTCCAGCAGTTTTTCACCGAGTGGCTGGGAATCCGCTGGGATAGCCAGGGCCAGGACCAGGACCAGAATGGCCAGGATGGCCAGGAGCTGATCGCAGGTGATGGGATTTTCATGGGGAAATCACATTTGAAATGGAGATTTCAATGGGGAAATAGCGTGGACATAGGATTTGAATGGGATTTGACCCTTGTGAATGGAGGGTTGAATGAGAAATCTAAGTCTAAATACAGGTTCGAATGAGAACATCACCTAGACATGATGGGATGTTTAAGTTGCCAAATGGAAAAACATGTGATTTGGCCGTTCCAAGATTGGAAGTTAACATGAGTACGAACCAGTTCCAGTATTGGATCGAGTCGTGTAAGTGGAGTTTGAATTTGATCTAATTACCCTATGGTAAACTACCAGTTTGCTATTGAAAATGGCTATAGTTGATTTAACTAACCATTAATAGCATGGTGATTTTCCACAGTTTTTTTTGTATGTTTACCAGAGGGTAATCTAAAATCGGGAAAGCGATAATTAATTTATGGGAAACTTCATGGGACTTTAATGGAACCAGCCTGGGGATGAACGGTTGTAGGGGTGAAATAATTCCCAAAACTGTTTTCTTTAGTGGAACCGCGCCCCAAACAGCCATAAGCCATCAACATATCCTAACCGTGCCACGTCCAAAACTAGGGCGGACTTGGGTTGCAACTTTAATTCATAAGCCATTTCATTGCAAACCTTACTTACTCTTAGAATCTTAGAGATACCAAAGATTGGAAAGTGTTACAAATATGAACTGGGCATGACAACTTCCAACACCTCTTGCCAAAGAAGAAAGTAGTGAATAGTATTTTTCAATACCCAAACGGTTTGCCCAGAGGTGCTATGTAATACTATGGCACTGTGGATCAAGTACTTTTCTTCAGTCATTGGGGCAAACAAACATCTTCAAACATTGTCATAGTGTCAGTAAACTAGGTATAAACCACCATAGATGCCATGAGGCAAAACACACCTTCCCTGGAGGGATTGGACCTGTGTTTTTCGCCAACACACCCACACACACAAAAAAACATAGACAGCCATATGGATATACAGTATATCAAATAAATATAAATAAATCATATACATACATATGCAGTCAAATCATTATTACTATTATTATACATATACACATAGAGATATGGGTAAATGATAAGAATTCACCCTGAATAGTCGGACTACCATCCTACCTCCGTAGGGCTGGACCGGATGAACTGACTCCTGGAGGGTGAATTGGAAGTTGAATCAATGGATTTCTTGGGGATTTTTAAGCGGGATACCGCATGTTCAAAGAAATCTATGGACAGATCAGTTTTATGATCTTTATGTGTTTTTTTTCTGGCTTGGATTTTGTCTGTTGCCAATGATTTTCAATGATTTTCATCTATCCAAACATATCCAAAGAGTTTCCTGAAATGATGAGAAATTGCATTCCGCTGGGCATGTTTTGACTCAAAAGGCCCCGACGTTGGGCAACTCGAATTGTCCATGCATCCTCAGACATGGTAACTTGTTTTGCTTCCACCAGCCCACATAGGTTGTAAAGTACCACATCTATTGAAACCACCAACTTGGAAGAATCGCACTATTGAAATTTGATGATTCGACAGGGAGATGGGAGACTACTTTCCGAATTCGGAATTCGCAAATCTCAAGTTCTATTTTGGGGCAACGGCAATGAACCTTGTGGTTCTTGGTGGTTCATTGTCCTATACGTTTTGCAGCCCGAACAACATAAAGTGAAACCACCTACACTACTGGGTGCAGAAGTTTTCCATCTGTTCTAGTGACACATGACATTCAACATGTATCATCCAAATCTTGATGCCAGAGTGGCACCATCCACACTTAAAAAACAAAGACGCAGCCGCAATTTTCAGCCTAAAATGTGCGCGCTAGCCATTTTTTGGTGGAAGTGTCCGGTAGTTTGTGAATTACAACCGCACGCATTATTTTCTCTCCAAAAATGTGACGGAAGACCAATTCCGCCTTATGATTTCCCGTTTTTGAGGGCCAGCCCAGGCCCATTTTTTGCAAACAAACCGCAGCAAATCCCATTACATTCCCATTATCATCTGGTTGGTCGTTTTAACCATCTTGAAAAATATCTGTCAATGGGAGGGATTATCCCATATATTGTGGAAAATAAAAAATGTTTGAAACCACCAGTCATCGTTTGGTTGCTTAAACTCCCATTCACACGTGTTAAAAACATTCATGTCCTCACCATTTCTTATCTCAAAATCATTTCAAAGACCCATGAAACGTCCATCAAAACAGTTTGATGTGGGCAACTGAAAATTCGTAGCTCCGCAGGGCTCCTCATTTCATAGGGAATATGGATGCCAATAGATCCTGAGACTTTTCACCACTGGATAGTATATTTCCCACAACAAGCCAGTAAACCATCATTCAACAGTCATGAAACCCCCATTACATTCAATTTAATTCCGTGAAATCCCCCTAAACCATCATGCCATGTGGTTGCAATTACCCTCTGGTAAACATACAAAAAACTATGGAAAATCACCATGCTATCAATAATTTTTAATGGGTAAACCAACTATTTCTATGGCTATTTTCAATAGTAATCTCTGTTTGGCTCACTGCTCAGAAAACCATCCTCCTCAAAGTGTCGACTCTGCATCTCCACTTGAATGTCCTGAGATTTTCAGCTCAAATTTCATCAAAACCGGAGATCAGATGGGTTAAACGGATGTTACCAAGAGCAATTGTTTCTTGAGGTTTCGTGTGAGATCATGAGATGTGATTGGATTTTATGGGATTTTAGCAGGAAATAGCAGGATGGTACCATCTGATTATTTAACAGTTCGCCATGGAAAATCCCCATTTTCAATAGGTAAACCATCTATTTCTATGGGCCATTTCCCATGGCTATGTTAATCATAACCAGAGGGTAAACCGTGTAATGGTTTACATTTTAATGGGCTGTGACTTGGTGATGATTCCCATGAAGACAGCGGTATCCCAACCCAACTGCCACCCCTTCACTAACAGACAGCACCTGAAATCTCTCAGGATGATGTGAAAGTCTACCCCAAACCTGGAGAGTAACAAACCCTTACAAACTAGGTATATTATGGCTTCTATGCTAATATTATCTAATATCTGGCACCTAGGCACACCACTGAGTTGACTGGAGAGTGAACGGGAACATCCGGAAAACAGCTGAATTAAAGCAAGGATTCATTTCATTCCCAACAAATACGACAAATTCACGCATTCATATGGCAGTGTGTCAAAACCTTGTACCCCTGGTGAACATCAAAATAGCTGGTAAATGGATGTTCATCCACCTAAAAATGGTATTAATAGGTATTGACCCATCCCCATATACAAAATTGAAAGAACATGATGGGAGTATTTCCAATAAAGAACATTGATGGGAGTATTTCCAATATTAACCACCATGAACCTCTCTGAAGTTGCCGAGCGTATCCGAGCGTCTTGTGGCTCGCATGTCTTTCCACTTTTATCAAGATGTATACCATCTGGATATTTAACATAGCCATGGAAAATCCATTATAAATGGGTCATTTTCCATGGCTATGTTAAATAACCAGAGGGTAAACATCCAGGGTTGACCCAAAAATCATCCCCAAACCAAAACAGGACAGCTAAATGATTGTCCATGAGATTCGGGGCTCTCCTAAAACAAAGCATACCAAAGCCGTATTTCTATCGAAATCGTAGTAGGTTATGTCACCATTTGATCCATCAATCTCCCCATCATATCCCCATGATGCGGCTATGATTTCATTCTATCCCATTTCTGGTTGGTTTAAATGTCAACAATGGCGCTGCAGGTGTTCAAAAATCACCCAGCATATCAATACATTCTGCACAGTGAATGTTATCATCATTACTCCCTATATACTCATAAACTGGTTTATGATAGTTGGTTGTATCCTGTTTAATCTGGTTTATAACCAACAATGATTGTCAGCAATAGTTCAGAAATCATATGATTCATTCTGATGATTAAACCATGTGTGGAAATAGGTCTCATTGACCAAGTATTCACCCTTTCATCCCATGTATCAACAAAGTTAAGATCCCATTTATATACTGGTTACAGTACATCTCCCACGTATCCCCATTATTTTGCTCATTATGATGCCCATTGAACCAAATTTAAATCCCAATTGTAGTTGTTTGTCAAATTTTACCCTTCAGTAATTTAAGATAGCTATGGAAACTTGCACATTTATAGACATGTTACCTATTACGCGCTGTGATTTTGGATAGTGACGTTGAATTACAGAGAGTAATTTGCGAAGGTATAGTGAAGATATCCTCATCATAGTTGGGTTTATCATAATGTCACTGCCTAGCTGCCCTAGCTCCCCATCATATACCTTTTTGCTATCATGTTCCCAGAATATAGCTAAACTGTAATTCATCATCAGCAATAGCTATAGCAAAGCATTGTCATCATTGACCCATGTGGATCCTGTCATAAACATCCCGGCGGATGCGAAATCGCGCGAGCGTTTTGAGGGTTTGCTGAATAGGACCGTCAGAATCACCTGTAATTTTCAATATAAAATGCTGTTCCGAACTCTTTTGATAACTCAATTTTCGTGAAAAAAAGTGGCTTCAAAATCTATTGATTTTTGACAAATCCTTGTAAATACCATGTGCATCAGATGTGGATTCGGCGAGTTTTTTTTAACACCCATCGTCGGCTCAGCGATCCATCAGTTTGGAAGCTGTCTTCGACAGCACGTTGCCATTATGGCACTGATAACGCCATTGCCAGCAACGCAGGTACAGCATGACATCTTTGTTCTGCCCAGCTTTTGTCTGCAAATTGCTAGGCACATTTTTTTTAGCCAAATTCCACAGAGAGTCAATCTTCCCTGTGTGCACTTGGAGTACGCCCAGCCTGCCACGACGCACACGTCTCACTCACACGCCTTTGCTGTGGTTGCAGAGCGTGACATGCAGAGCGTGTTAGAAGTCACATGGAAAAAGTGCAGAGCGTAACATGCAGAGCGTGTTAGAAGTCAAGCGGAAACAGTGCAGAGCGTAACATCCAGAGCGTGTTAGAAGTCACATGGAAACAGCGCAGAGCGTGACATGCAGAGCGTGACATGCAGAGCGTGTTAGAAGTCAAGCGGAAACGGTGCAGAGCGTAACATCCAGAGCGTGTTAGAAGTCACATGGAAACAGCGCAGAGCGTGACATGCAGAGCGTGTTAGAAGTTGCTAGGCAAAAGACAGAGCGTAACATCCAGAGCGTGCTACGCAAGTGATGTTAGGCAAGAGCGTGCTCCATGCACTCTGCACATGACGTTAATACCCCACCCCACCCCCCCACCCCAACCCCAAGACAAAGAACAATCCTCAAAAAAGTAGCAAAACGCACGTACGGTTTTGCAGCCGTAGGCATAAACATGAGTTGGGCTGCCCATGGAAAATCCATTTCAGAAAAATCTTCATCCTCTGTTATCTGGTTGGTGGCTGACCTACCCCTCTGAAAAATGATGGAGTGAGTAACAGTTGGGATGATGACATTCCCAACTGACTGGAAAGTCAAAAAAAAGTCATGTTCCAAACCACCAACCAGTCATCCTCTATAAATACATCCCTACATCCCATGGCCAAACATCCATCATTTTCCATCCAGATGAACCAAACCGTTTAAGTGGTTCAAGTTTCAACGAGGTCCATCGCCAACGGCGCTTCCGGTTTCCTACCCATGGACGTACCGTGATGGTGGGAGAGGCGATACTGATGGGAACATGCCATATTTTTCCCAACAATGGAACCTGATAATTGTTTCTTTAGAAATTTAGACGCTGACTTGCATATAATCATGTGTAGCAGCAAAAATGCAAAAACTACCCATCATCGCTGGATTCAAGAATAACATCAACGAACTTAAATAGTATTGGCCGGTATTGGCTATTGGTTACTAGCTGTCTCTTTTCCCGCTAAATATCCATCATATAACCATTACATAACCATTATATACCTACTATATCCCTAGTACATCCCATGATGTCCCAACCAAAGAGACAATTCATAGATGGTCATGCCACTATATCACCATTTACAATCATTTGTTTTAGAGATAGTTCTTGACGGCCCATCCCGGGAATCATGTTTGAGAATGATAACCCTGGAATAAACTGGAAACTGTCCCTACTTTCCCTGCTGAATTAACTTGGGTTATAACCCACTTCGAATTCCTGGGATGAGTCACCAACTTACATACCCATGCTATAATATACCCATCTGGTGTGTTGCCATGCTATGCGTCCCGTTGAATCCCATATATCATGCATATAAAATATTTATAGCCATGGCTGGTTGTTCTCCATCTTACTTGGATGGTGAATTACGCTCTTTTCATGCCCATGATACATTGACAATCGTTTATTAACAGTTAGATGCCCATTTTAAACCCATGACATTACCATAATTTATACACCCATAGTATACCCATTATATACATACCCATGATCTGGGAAAATTACCATGTGTCCCAAATCAAAGCTTCAATTCGGAATTGGTCAATTCCTACTGCGGAAAGTTGGTCAGTTCCTACTCAAGAACAGTGACAAAGTGAACCTTTTCGGCATCTTTTTAGGGGTTACTCATGATATTATCCTTGCTGAATTAAATATAATAGTGGCTATCAACCATCCGCTTGCCAGCTGGTTAAGCCAGTGATTCACCTATGTAGGCCAAATATAATAGTTCACTAATATGAAACTAACTGTTGTCATACGGGCCATTTGAGGATGATTCCACTTACTAATCAACCATCATTCCAGCGTTGTTGCGACCTGAGCTCATGATGAATTCATCCCCAGTAAATTTTACTGAAAATACCTAAGCCCCCAATATGTTCTATTCTTCACTATATTTCACTGTAACAATCATTATAACTTTCCACCATCCTATTCATCCAAATGATATATATCTATATATATATATATATTTAGAGAGAGAGAGAACCATGACTTATATCCCATTCCCAACAAACATCCCCCATGATAGGGGTTAGTTACGGTTAATCGGTTAGTTCCCATGATATTCTGAAGCCATGGCCATGATCCAAGGGATCCAAGGTGAAACGGCCTCAAAGGTCCGCGCAACAAACCAATGGTGAGCCCCAGCTGGACTACAGCAATGACGCAGTACCAAAGGGTCCCCCAGGGCATTTGCACCTGAACAAAACTCAGAAATCGCTGGAAAGGCCGATGAAAAAATATGAAAATATATGAGCAATCAGGAAAATGCTGGATTTTCGCAGATAATCTCCATGGCACTCCATGGGGAATCCCAGAACTAAATGGAGGTTTCAATGAGAACGTTATTGATCAATTATAAATGGGTGATTCTACATTGCCATATTTGATTACTGGATTGTATCTATGGCGAAGCTATGGTAGTTCAAGGTCATTTCGAAAGGAAAATATGATGCGACCAACGGAAGCTATGGAGACAACGAAACTGGAGACTGCAGTGACACAAATGGGCCGTAATCAGACGACATTGGCGTTCAAGCAACGAAAAAATAATTACATTGCCTACCAGATTAAAACAAAATCTGTGGTTCTTGCAATCCAATTATCAACTAATGCACATATAATGCATTAATCTCATCAGTTTCAGTGCTCCGTCCCTTGCGAATACTTGCTTGGCGTCATGCCATGTGTCAAGGATGGAAAACAAAAACCACCAAATGAACGAAACCACCCGATTTTCCAGTTTTCCGTGTGTTCCATGAAATTTCTCTAGATCTTTCCCAATTGTGCATGTTTTACCCACAGTTTTCCATGTTTTCGATCAGATTTCTCCCTATTTTTCCGATGAAAAACCCCCAGCCCAACCCACTTTCAGTGGCCTCAACGGATTCCTTGGCGAGAAAAGAAAAGGCCACCTTGCAAACACCGCCGGATTGCTCCAATCCGGCGATACCTCGTGGGATTTTGGCGTTTAGCGATGGAATTTTCAATGACATGTCAGTTACCCTCTGGTAAACTAACAGTTTGCTATTGAAAATGGTCATTTATAGTGGGTTTTCCCATTAAAAATGGTGATTTTCCATAGCTATGTTAGTTTACCAGAGGGTATCAGATTTTTTTTGTGGCAACTAAAACCCAAATCCACCAAATACCATCCGGTTTGTAAGAAAACTGACGTAGCTATATGTGGAAGCCATGAACCATTTAGTTCAATCATTTACCGCTTTTATCCATGGTCATGTTCCATAGCAAACTACTAAATTGCCATTGGGTATGAGCTATGGAAGCTATGGGTATGAGCGGTAAAATATCATGAATTTTTGAAACTAAAATCCCGATCAAAAAATCAATCTCTGTATCAATCTCTGTAAAATTTCCGGACACCCCAGACACCTTTTGGTTGATCTAAGGCTGCCTTTGAGCTTTGGGTTTCGGCAAGGCTGGTCACGCACAATGATTTTTCAGGAGCTATATGCAGTTTGCAAAGATGTGGGGCAAATCAGTGGCAAACCAAAAGGCTTTACCATCATTTTCATTCAGAATATTTTAATATGTGGGCAGGCAAGCCTCAGCCGTGTGACTTTACGGCATCAACTTGAGAGCTGCTGCACAGCAACTTGGCAATTCCAAAATCAACCAAAAGATGTGCGCAAGATACGTACCCTTTTTCGGCTCCTGATTTCGGCAACCTAAGGGTGATTTGAGGAAAGACCCTGCACATGCTAAAGATATTGTTTGGTTCAGTATATTGCCAATGTTCTTAAAGCCACCACTGGAAGCAATTTGTTTGGGGTTATGTTTATTTTTTTGGGCATCCGTTCAGAAAATCCAAGGTGCGATGTGCTAAAGCCACCAAAAAAAAATGTTTGAATCACATTTCAGAACCTTTAGCCGCGAATGGTTAAAAAATGTGAACGGCCATATTTGGTGCTGGACTCAAATTACAAACTCTCAAATCACCAAATATAGCTGCTGGGATCACACCGTTTTAGCAATTTTTGTTGCTTCAGAGCAGCAAACATAGCATATAAATAAATCACACATAGACGAGCAGCTAATGCGATACTGCAGCACACAGGCTGCGGTGCAAATAGGGCATAAGCCCGCAGCCACCTGATGAAATCATCAAAACTCTGTCCTGGAGGGTTGAACCATCCATTTCTGGTGAAATTGGGGGGTGGTTTACTATTGGGTTTGCCATATCATGTAATGTAATAATCACCCATGTCAAGGGACCGGAATTTCGATCTACCAGCGACCTCCGCTTCAAATAGTTGGGGCCTGATGGGTGCAACGATGGTTTAACCATCAAGATTTAGGATATGATATAACCAATGCAACACGAGTCATCACCGGTGAACTGGAACTGCATCACCAGGTAGGGTCCAAGGTGGAAAAATCACCTGCCCCATTTGGGTTTGTCCAAAAATAAAATGCCACAAATTTCATTTGTTTATTGTCGTTTTCCATGTTAGAAAATGGCCAAACCAGGGCTATCGTGTGCATCTTCCACTCTGAACCCTCTCTCTCTATATATATACCCCCACGAATAAACCGGCTAATCCCTCATTAAATCCAATCACGGTTTTATCATCGATGATATCTCATCATCTCACCATTTTAGTTGGATATAGACATAGATGATATATCTCATCCAATCATACCACCATATCTCATCATATCCCTATCATCCTATCGTAGATGATATATACCGTATACCCATCCAACTATGCTCCAACTGGGGATTTTTTGACCTCATTTTCTGTGAGGATAGCCATCACCCGCAGCATTTTTGCCTTGGCCACAGGTCGGAATTTTTCCGTCTTCACCTTTCAGCAGGGAAGACCCGATAGAAATTGTCAGCTTCAACTCAGTGTGATACTTGGCATATTATCTATCTATCTATCTATCAATCTATCTGCTTAAAGATATATATATATTCACATAATTATGTATATATATATATATATCATATGCAGACAGAGAGAGAGAGAGAACGTGTGCACTTTCGAAAACAATTCACAAGTTCATGTTGTGGTTGGTGCTGTCAAACTATTCCCATCATTCCCAGAGCTCGTCCAGCTCATCCCATACCATCTCCAAAAACATGGCTGGTGTCATTCTACGATTCCCAAGTTACCCTGTGGTGACCAACAATGGCCCAGTCATAGAACTTGTTTTCCACTAACACCTCCATTTAGCCCAGGGATTTAAGCATGGAATTGGGCATGTTAATTTGACACAAATAAAGGTATCAACCAGCTCACTGCCAGCCGCACTGACACCCACTAAAAAAACACATGTATAAACATCTGCTAATTTCAGAAAGCTAGGAAAAGAGAGGTACCTTTTTTAGAGGGAAATCATTGAACCGAATGGGCTTACTGTACTAACTGGCTTGACTTAAAATATGTGAAGACTGCAGTTGTAACTGAGGTCAGATGGTTGACTCATCCCACTGTATACCAACTATATCCTGACGGTTATCTTAGTCATCCAAACATAGGTCATCTGAAAGTCATCCCATTGTACTTTCCCATACTAGAACTAGGCCATGGATTCCATAGCTATGTTCCAACAAACCAAGGCTATAACCGCTATGACCCAAAACTCAGCTCCTCTGGTTTTGTTGGGTCCCAGTTGCGGCTGCAACGGCCCAGCGCGGTTTCCAATCCTTTCGGCAAACTTGATGTTCCACTACCACGAAGACGAACCTCTGCACAATGCGGGGTGCAAAGAGGTGCCACTTAGCGTTTTCTTGGGTTTCGGGGGTGCAGTCCCACTTAAGTGGCGACATGGCCACAATCTAAGGAGCAAGGTCCCAATCTAAGAGTGTGTCCAAAAACCGAAAAATTGGCCACAGGCCACAATTCCTGAGATCCATGGCCCGCTTTTCATGGCAAGGAACACCACACTGGACAGCAGAATGCTCAGTAGAACCAGTACGAACCCAATCCGGGAGGCCTGACAAATCACACCTCAGGCGATTTTCGACTTTCTGGCCGAATAGTGTCTTGGAACCCCCAAAATTGCTGATCCGGAACTTCCGGAAGCCCAAAAAATATGGAATTCATGAATTCCCTATAAATTCAGCAGTGAATCTCCCATTTTCAAGGAAATCAGAAATCATCTTCAGCAAATCCAAGTTGGGCCGCTTGCCTGGATTTTTAGTTGGCTGGTTTTAGAAAAACAGCACCGACGAATCAAGGAGACTGCAAAAACACGGAACATATCCATGAACCAGAATACGAGCTAGGCAAATTGGCAAATTCACTGTATTCATAAATCAGACACTGGTTGGCGGTTTTTCGCCACCCCTCTGAAAAATGATGGAGTTCATGATGAAATTCCCAAGATATGGAAAAATAAGAGTCCTGTTCCAAAGCACCAACCAGGACTCCCAGGACATGTTGGGGCAAAATCATAGATGAAAGTCTGATTCTCCAGGGCTAAGTCTGCTTTTTTCTCATCTGCAGATCGGCTAGATCCTGAGAATCTTCCCAAACCTGCTGTCTGTCTCAAGAGGCACAACTTTGTCGGATGCTACGGATTGTAGTATACACATGGAGGTTTCCTAAAATATGGGTATCCCAAACCACTGGTTTTAATAACAAATTTTGGATGATTTTGGGGTACCCCCTAACATCTCTAAATTCAAAACAAAGGGATATCCAACGGTTTCCCTGTGAAACCCTCGCCTTTCCAGGCTGATTCAGTTCCATTGGAGAGTTGTGCTGTAGTAACCAGGCACGCCAATGGAAAATCCACAGTAGCCTTGTGCAGCTGTAGCTATCATATTTTACAATTAAATCAATGTAAGTCATCCGTGTATCATCACGAATCACAAACATGGGTTTTGCCATAGGTTGGTTCGGTTAACAAACGACACACAAATACCTCCCACGGGAGTGAGTCCACCAAATGCCGTTGTCCAAGCGACCCCAAATGGTACCACCCTCAGGGGCTTAGCCGACTGAACCAACGAGGCAACACTGCTTGAGCCCTGGAATGAAAAGCTGTGCCCTTGGCAAAGTATCACTTTCCTATGATGTTGGGACTGTGATAACCGTGACCCTGAGAGCCAAACTCAATTTATTGGGAGCTATATCAAGCTTGGGGAATTCAAAATAGGCAATAGGCGTGCTTGTTCTTTTTTAAGTGGCTCTCATTGATTGACGCCATGATTATCGCGCGACCAACCAAGCATCTTTTGACATGACTTATCAGGATCATCTTGGAATGGAGATAAGGTGGGATTAGTTCCCATTCATCACCTAGTTTGACCTATATTTGCCAGTTGTTTATGCCCCCAGCGGTAAAATTCAACCAGCCTTCCAGCTGAATGAAACGATGCTCAAAAGATATGTTCGGCCGAAAAAAATACACAAATCGATTCCAGACCTGGATTTGTTTCAGGAATTTACGGCAGAAGCCCATGGCGTCCCAGTTTCACAACCGGACAACCCACTGTGTCCAAGGTATTCCAAGTTTCAATCAGTTTGGTGTAGCGGCTACTGGCTTCACAGAGCCCACCAAAGAGCCAACTCCTTGGCGGCGATTTTTCTACTGCTTGGTGGTTTTTCGCCACCCCGCTGAAAAATGATGGAGTTCGTCAATTGGGATGATGAAATTCCCAAGATATGGAAAATAAGAGTCCTGTTCCAAACCACCAACCAGAAATTGAAGTGAGCAAATGTGAGTAAATAGAAAGGAAATGGTGAACCAAATGCCTACGATTTAAGGCGTTCGACCGGTCGAACGTTTTAGTTCATGATCAGGAAAGCCGAGTGACTGGAACGTCGCGGGACCCGTGCACAAGGGCCTGGGAGAAGAAACTCCGGGAGCAACTGGCTCAAGTGGCTTTACTATCATCACTAAGTTTTCTGGAAAACAACTGGCAGGATCACTATAAGTGGTTAATCTATGGTTATAATTAGTAGTAAAAAGTGGTCATATAATATGGTGATAAGATTAATGCCTGGTTAATGTGGGTAAAACAATGCCATAAACCACCCATGACTGGGAATGGTAGACATACCACCTATAAAAATGGTGACTGGGGGGATGGTTGATTATGGTTTTCCCAACATGCACTAAGTTGGTCCAGCTTTATATTATGATATATACTTTTTTGAAACATGGACCACCAATCTCTGGCTGATTGTTTGCCCCAATGTCGTATTAAAATCTGCACAAGGTGGCTTTGAACTTCGGGAAAATTTCATAAAGTGAGTCTCTCTGCGAATTATGGTCTAAACCATGGGAACCCCGTTTGATCAAATGGGGTATACCGGTATACCCCATTATCATCCATTATCAATTGGCCAGTTGTCTGAAATTGTGTTTTGCCAGCCTTGCCCCTATTTTCTTTTTTGCTGCTGCAGCCATTTCACCCAATCTGTCAGAATATAAAACCTCCAAAACCACCGGTTATAGGTCAACTGGATTTTCCATGATTTTCTTCCGTGGAAATCAAATCAAGCCCTCAACATCTTCTGGGAATCCCACAAGCAATACTGGATGTTTGTTTGATTTCTGATGGGTCAAGCAACGGATCGAATTGAACATGTAACAATGTAACATATGTCTCTTTGTGTCCATGTGTCGCACTGTTATGTTTGGCTGCATTGTATCACACCCTAAGCTTACCGGAATCCCAACTGAAGCTGCATAGTTCTGGGTTCAGTCGCCCTGTCTCTGCAATGAGCTAATGAAGAATCAAGAAACAATAACACCACTCTTGTTATTCGTAGCAATTGGGCCCAAGAATTGTGAAACTTGAAATGTCATAAAACCGCACTTCAAAGTCGAAATTGCCCATATAAATCTACCATAAAAATCCTTAAGACCAGGCATTTTCCCCAATGCTATCCATCTTTTTTCACGAAACTTCTCCAAGTTGCAGCTTCGACAAAGGTGGGAAGCTTTCGGGTTTTCCATTGGTGAAGTCCTGCGACATGACCCGAAATTTCGAACGGGATGTGACAGCTGCATCTATCTAAAAATACCCTCTGGTACACTAACAGTTTGCTATTGAAAATGGCCATAGAAATAGTTGATTTACCGATTAAAAATGGTGATTTTCCAAGGTTATGTGAGTTTACCAGAGGGTGATGGAAGAATCCCTGGTGCCATGTTTGATTTCCGGCGGGTATATCTGGAGATAGAATATACCATGCATAATCTCTTCGCCAAATAAGAAAAACCGCATGCTATGGTCCCAAATATGTGCTTTCATCCCCAACATCCACCATAGTTTCTGGGGGGGGCTTAATATGAACGCGGGACAATGACTGGTTGGTGGTTGAGCCACACCTCTGAAAAATATGAGTTCGTCAGTTGGGATGATGACATTCCCAATATATGGAAAAATAAGAGTCCTGTTCCAAACCACCCACCAGATGACTAGTTCCATATATCCTGTATTCTGTAGCATTGCCTCTAGATGAGTCCATCATTGACGGCATGGCCTCTATGAAATTCTATGAATAGAGGCACCGACAGGTTGAAACCACCCAACGGAAAGAAACCCCAAGGGTACCAACGAGTGATCAAAAATTATTGCCCCCCAAGTACCAACTGTTGGGCCCTACTTCCAAGTTTCAGTAACAAAACGCAAAACAATAACTTGACCCATGATTTTTGTGTGAAATCCTCCATCATCTCCATCCCTGCTCAAATCGCTGGGTTTGCCGTTTTTTTTCCAAGTTTTCACAGGGTGAACTCCTCAACTCGGAACTAAAACTCTGGGCGCATCTCTGGCTTTCCCAGTTCACCATTCCGTCGGACTTTGCGACATTGCAAATGGGAAATGCCATGCGCCTTAAACCACTTACCTCGGAGCGATGCCGAGATTGGCGCCAAGCCCCAAACCATATCCGACATATCGTTGGGGTAGATCTTTAAAGCAGCTCATATTGGTGGTTGAATGGGTATCTGGGATGATGGATAAAGTTGAACTACCCAATGCTAATGGGATTTGATGTGATTTATTGTTTAAACAACTGTAAAAATCCCCTAAACAGTAACTGTATACTCCAACCTCCTATCATGTTAGATAACCTTGCATTTTAAGCGCACAACTTGAATAATTATATCCGATGCAGAACCAAGGTTATGCGGAGGTATATATTTTTTTAAAATGGATTTTTGGTGGACTAACGCTCAAGGGAAAAACCACCAAATCACATCAATTCACCCTTTTAACACTCCGAGTTGCTTAGAAGTCGTTGAAATTTCTCGCGCGAAACTTCTCGCGCCTTTCCATCGACCATCTTCTGCAATTTCGGAGGCTGTGAATGGATCAAGCCCCGTGAATGGGCCATGTCGCTGGGATGTGTGTGTACGAAACCTTGGGGATGGATTGCTCAATCATTGCTGGATGAAGCGATGGTTGTTTTTTAAAAAGACACCAACAAAAACAAAAAGATAACAAGACCAACTCAGCCAAGCAACCAGGTTGGGCCCATATTCCAGTCGAAAGCTGCACTTGTCATACTTGAACCTTGGATATGCGATCCAAATGGCAACCCAAAATCTTCTCGTGTCAGTTCCCCAATTTTCTAGGGGATTTTGACCATAACAAATCATCTAGGCAGAAAACGGGTCAGCTTGAAAGGAAGGCACGAACATGCCCAATTCTTGGCCATCAAATATTGAGGAAAATGATGTTCAGATTAAAACCTATTAAAACCGTTGGATTTTCGGGATGTTCTGATATTCTATTTCTAGGTTAGTTTAGCCCCCAAATCACTAACCCAAAGATGATAACTATTTTCTCTGTTTATTTTTTTGGGGGCATAGGAGGGGGTCGTGAACCATTTTTAAACGGTTGTGATTGTAACCTCAGCATCAGTTGAATCCTCATGGTGTTCCATTGATTATCCGCCCATATGGAAAAAATCATGTTATCCCCAGATTTCCTGAGGTTTCCATAAGGAACACTTGATTGGAACATCTGAGCAACTCGTGGTACCACGATTTCTCATGAAAAATAAGCTCCCTTTCTATCGACAGCAATTGAAAAAAACAGAGATTTTTGTCCATTGATGTCCCAGAAATATGTACTGACATCCCGTTCATATTGAACATCCTATTTTTGATCCTATAATATCCTATATATATATATTTGCCAGTTAAACCATGTTAAATCATCATTTTTGCTGCTAGAAATCACAATTTCCCAAGAAACTCATGATAGAGATAGTGGTAGGGATGGAACGGCCACAGACCAGGCTCAGTGTTTTCGGCTTCTGCAGGCATCGTCTCCAAGATCACCTCAAGTTGCGAGGACTTATCCAATGGTTTTCCGCGCCAAAATCGAAAAGATCTGAACAAATGGAAACCTTGAACATCTTAATGCATATTGTTCTTAAAGACGCAACATACTGGGTTTGTATCTTTCCCGTCTTTTTCGGCCCCCTCCAAGGTCGTTTATGGCGAAATTTGATCAACTATAGCACCACCAAAAACATATCGAAAGATAAAGTCCTAAGATACTGGTCAATTATACTCATGAATCTTTTCGAGCGCTATCCATCCATTGTAATCGTTTCTATCCAACATTGGAAAACATGAAGGTTTCACGTGATTTCACATTGGGATATCCAACCTTCTCGATAAACAGGAAGTAGCGACCATCCGCATCCACTGCAAAGGTGTAGGGCGCAAGACTGTTTCCCATAGGAGACGAGAATTTCACCTGCGACAAAAAAATAACCCCAAGTTACGTCAAAAAAACGTCATACGTATCTGGAAATGTGACATGTTTCCTTTTTTAATCCGATATATGAGGATATATCTCCAAAATAGCAACTGCAATTGGGAAATGAGGATCAATTGCAGGATTTTGGAGCTCTTTTTTGAACAAATCCATAGAATGTCAATCTCATGGGATTGTAACAAATGGTCTCTATTTTGCGGCAATTCAGGATTTTTTTTTTACTAAACCAGGGTTGGAACTAATCTGAAATGGGTAGAAGTCACATTGGGTTTATCATCTCAACTCGTTTTTTTCCTCAAAAGGGGAAAACTATGAAAAGCAGGGGATATGCGGGAACTTATCTGAAGGAACGAAAAGTTCCCGGTGTGGAAGTAGAAACTTTTTGAGACCGAACAGGTATAGTTGTTTGATTACCCTCCTGGCATTGTTTTTTAGCTTTCGGCAATGTTGCCCACACTGTATTTCTTTTACTTGGAGGATGACCGGTGTGCAGCGTGGTCAGTGGTCAGCAGGCACATGATTCGATATTTCACAAATCTCAAAGAAGTCTTGCTTCTGACAAGACCCCCTGCAAAACAAACCATATCATTAAGACAGCCTAAAAAAAGAAAACATGATAACATGCCATGCGTTTCTGAAATTCTTGTGATATGTCCTCACGATACTTCCTATTTATATATCCAACATTTGCAAGGTAACATTGAACAAAGGTCTTGTTGGAGGCCAATGTTGATCATCCCTGGATGGAAAATAAATATGAAACAACCACCTTTTTTATGTTTGGCACCCACAAACTCATGGTCTAACTAAAAGCCAAAAAAACACATGTTGTATACCCTTGGGTAATTTAACATAGCAATGGAGAATCCATTTACAGCTGATTTGCCTGTTAAACCTTGTGATTTTCCATATATTGCCAGAAGGTATTCGTAGATCCCATTTCTAGACTTCTGGATGCCCAAGTGGGATTCTTCTTCTCGTTTGACCCACATATTTGGTGGCTAAAGAACAGTGTTTATTGGCTTAAATTTCCTGAGTTTGCAAGGGTTCGTCCGAAAAATTGGGTACACCCAAATCCAATTGTTTATCAATTTTACCATCAACATTGCCAGAAATTGCCGATATCATTTCCACATGCATCAAATTATATATAGTAGTTGTAGTCCATATAGCCCTGTTATCTCTCCGTCTGCTGGTTCCATTACATATGGTCATTTCAGATCTTGATATGTTTCTTAACTCAGCATATTCCATAAATAACAAATACTAAACCATATAATTAAGATACCATGCATCTGAGAAAAAATAAGAAACACCAAGCTGAAGTAAGGCTAGTCGAGGATACTTACCATCACATTCACAATCATTTACACGGAGGTTATATACCAAGGATATCCAAGTCAGCTTTGCATAATTGACTTTGATTCTCTCTGGTTCAAAAAATATATATATATATACATATAAAAACACAAAGTTGATCCAGATTCCAATCCACTGTTGTCCATCAGTTTCCAGTTGTTCCAGATTTTTGCCAACCGACAATCTCCGACTGCGTCTCAAAACCAAACATCTTCTGGCCCAGGAAAATATAGCGATTTTCTCCTGGGAATTCCATGGAATTCCCTTCAAGGATCATTTTAAGATGGTGAGATTCTCAAATCTGGCGGTACAACCCGTGGGTGCCTTTTGGTGCTCCCTTAAATAGGAACGTCTGAAAACGGGATACCCGAAATTATCGAAATTTGACGGTTTGACTGACTGCAATGAACATAACATGATAGGAAATGGATGGAAATCGGACAATTTTAACATGGATCCACCTGACAAACATGTGGAAGATACATGAAAATACATGAGACTACATATCTTCAGAAACACTTTTTTTTGGCGGGGATCAGATTGTGGCAATCTCACCGGACGGGGGCGGCAACAAATAAGCACGGCTTGAATAGGGACATCAAAAACATCCCGAAAACCATGGTGCTTTTCCCCATGGCCCACCGGCCAGACATGTGTCAATGTGTATGTTTTAAAAATTGAACGATTTAAATAGGTCCCGCTACTATCCCCAAAACTATAAGATTGAATTATTTATGGAAAATCCATCCAAGTTTGACTCAAGTGTTCTAAGAAACACCGTATGTTTGCAGTGCAACGTTTGCTTCCCAGAGATTGAGTCAATGGAGAGGTGAATATCATCCGAATAAATGGAAACTAGACGAAAAAATGCTCACAAAAGCGCAAGCGACATGCAACATTTGCCAGTTCCAACCAGTCATCTTCAACATGGCCAAGTCTCTCATCTGTAATAGGATGGAGTTCCCCAAAAATTGAGGGCCGAATGCCCTACTTCGCCAGGTAAAGTGTTCGAGTTCGCTCCTCCCAATGAAAATATCCACAATTTCGGTCTCCAAAATGGGCAAAGCGGAGAAATCTGCCCAGGTTTTGCTGTACCCCAGGTCCAAGTGTTCTTCATCACTGTCCAGGCGTTTTTTCTTCCAGGGGGGACATTCATCTTCGCCATTTTCTTCCTCTCCTTGGCATTCATCTTCGCCATTTTTTTCCTCTCCTTCCGTGGCAAATCTCTGATACTTCGCCAAAAAAACGGAAGCAACTGGCTAGCAACCATCCCCCGTCTTCAAGCACAAAAAAATGCACAAACGATTTATTATTGACGATATAATCATTACTCATCTGACTCATCTATCCAGTTGGTTTTCCCAGCTTCCTTCGTCTTCATCTTCTTCATATGGAGGCCACTCCAGGTCAGGGAATACCCTTACCCTTTTCTGCTTCCCCCGGAGCCATAACTCCACCAAGAAGGGGGTCCGGCCATTCCACATGATCACGAACCGATAAGGCCTTGGCTGGAAATCTGGAAAAAACAGTGAAATCGGTATCCCGTGTCTCATGGATTCAAGTTGCAAATTCATCCCATCCCCCGATTTTTGTGATCAAACGAATGTTTCGGACCTCAACTTGAATAGATCTCTTGGCATTTCACCAGGGATTGTATGGAAAAAATGTTTAAACGCACTTCTGCGATGATTTGTCGGGGTTGAATCCTGCTGATCCCACAAAAAGTACACTTGAAAATTGATCAACAAACTAGTTATACCAATAACCATCATGTGCAGTACTTACAAGATTTAAGAGGGTCTTCTGCACTCTATCATAAGGGAAGTGGGCAGGCATTAAACGACAGCACTGACAACATAGGTTAGCAACTACCCGGAACTACCCATCCAATGTTCGCCCAGAACTATCACCACTTCTAAATTTATCATCGGTAAAACATATATTTATATGCATCACTACCCATATTTACTCAAAGCACATACGATATACTTTCTACTGCTATTACATCCCATGATATTCCATTAAGAAATGGTTATCCGATATCCCATTCTTTGGATGATAGGTAGTTAGATAGATAGATAGATAGATAGATAGATAGATAGATAGATACATAGATTTCTTCACATATCTTCAAAATCTGAGTAAAACCATAAGAAACCTATATTTTCATGGATTGTACCGTTACATATATATGTATATAAATCATGGCAGACTTGGGGGATAAAACATGCTTCACCACGTCGAGACGCCGCTGCGGCTTCGTTTTCACCAGCACCTTGGCCGCTGCGAGCTGCGCAAGCTCTGAAAGCCTCACGCCAGATTCAGTCACCAACCGTGGCTTAATGGAAAAGTCACCAAAACCCCATGGAAATTTCATGGCAAATCTTGACACATGAAATCACCTGTGCATGAAATGGCAAATTTTGTATACCGCAGTTGTTTCCAATAAGAGGTCAGTGAAAAAAACTCATCACTAAAATCAAAATTAAAGGACCGGAAAGCCCCACAAGGCAACTTCTTCCAATAATGAGCACCAAATGTTGTAGCGGGGACGGGGAAAGGAGGAAAGACAAAGGATGTGGTGGAGGACCGCCAAGTAAAACAAAGTTGGGTGCGACAAAGTTGTATGTGAAAGATGGTGTGTCAAAGATGGTGGGTGACAAAGTGGTGTGTGAAAGATGGTGTGCCACGCCTACCACGCGAAACGAAGGTGGACGTCACCAAGTGCCACGCCTGCCACGCAAAGTGCCGCGGCGTCACCGGCGACTAAAATCGGCCCAAGCGCGCCACCAGAGCGAGCCCAGTGCCATAAGTGCCATGCCTGCCATGACCAAGTGCCACCCCTGCCACGCAAAGTGCCGCGGCGTCACCGGCGACTAAAACCGGCCCAAGCGCGCCACCAGAGGCAGCCCAGTGCCATAAGTGCCACGCCTGCCACGGGAAACGAAGGTGGATGTGACCAAGTGCCACGCCTGCCACGCAAGTCGAAGGTGGATGTCACCAAGTGCCACCCCTGCCACGCAAAGTGCCGCGGCGTCACCGGCGACTAAAACCGGCCCAAGTGTGCCACCAGAGGCAGCCCAGTGCCATAAGTGCCACGCCTGCCACACAAACGAAGGTGGATGTGACCAAGTGCCACACCTGCTACGCAAGTCGAAGGTGGATGCCACCAAGTGCCACGCCTGCCACGCAAAGTGCCGCGGCGTCACCGGCGACTAAAACCGGCCCAAGCGCGCCACCAGAGCCAGCCCAGTGCCATAAGTGCCATGACTGCCACGTAAAACGAAGGTGAATGTGACCAAGTGCCACGCCTGCCACACAAAGATGTGATGTGTGTGAAAGATGGTGTGTGAAAGATGGTGGTTGACAAAGATGTGCGTGACAGATGGTGTGTGAAAGATGGTGGTTGACAAAGATGTCTGTGACAGATGGTGTTTGACAAAGATGTGTGTGAAAGATGGTTGTTGACAAAGGCGTGTGTGATAGATGGTGGTTGACAAACAAGTGTGTGAAAGATGGTGTGTGGAAGATGGTGGTTGACAAAGATGTCTGTGACAGATGGTGTGTGACAAAGATGTGTGTGAGAGATGGTGGTTGACAAAGATGTGTGTGACAGATGGTGTGTGACAAAGATGTGTGTGAAGATGGTGTGTGAAAGATGGTGGTTGACAAAAATGTCTGTGACAGATGGTGTGTGACAAAGATGGTGTGACAAAGATGGTGGTTGACAAAGAGGAGGAGCGGGCGGAGGAGGAGGAGGAGCGGGAGGCGGAGCGGGAGGGGGAGCGGGAGGGATACAGAATCAAAAACAAGAACCCCACACAAAGATGTGGAGAATAATTTAAAACATATATGTCTGCATGTAAGAAGGATCCGGCAAGCATCCGCAAGCCAATACTGCGATGTTGAGGACTAGCTAAGATGACACTTTGAAGTATATGTCTATGGATATGACGAACAAGACTCAACAGAGTTGCCTGACTTTCCAGATTGTTTTATGATTCCAGCGAACTATTTTGCTATTGTAACTCCTGCCAAATACTACCAAACATGCTTGGCAGCCACGATTAAGTTGGGTTTCGTATGCCAAATGGTATGGAACTTTTTTGGAGAAAAAACAACTTTTCTGGTTCACATTATATCCCATGATCTACCCCATTTCCTGTTGCTCAGATCCCCATATATAAGGCTGACATCCATCATTTCTGCACCCCAGTGGCTTAAGTGTTCTGGGTTTTCCGCCGGCTTCGTGTTGCCTCGCCTGAACGTAGATGGCAACAATTCATCCTTCAGTCTCAAACTACTCAGTGACAAGCCCCAAGGAAGCCGATTTTGAACTTCATCCCACAACCTCCGCGGAACTCTGATACGCCAAGATGGCACCCTCCAGTGTCATCCAATGTGGCTGGGAAAACCATAAACTCAATGGCAGATGTTTGAAAACTCTCTGGAAATGGGACTATTGTACTTCATTGTTGGACAAGGCTAGGTCCAATGTATCACCAGCAACATAATGTTTAATCAAGGGTGATGGTAAAAAGGTTAGAAAATGAAATCAAGTGGGGACAGAATCTCTGACCTCGAATCCAGGCTCTTTCGAGTCTTCAGTCTGCGGTTTTGCGCATTTACGTCTCAAGATGCTAAACACCGTGAACTTCCCACACATGGACTGGATCAGCCCAACAATATTGCACTGTCAAAGCACGTTGGATACATGGTCATAGTGTGTCATACACATATCAGGTATCAGTTCATACAATGAAATCATATCATACCCATATAACATATTTAATTGCATCGAAACAAAAACCCTTTGCATGTCGCCCCCAGCCATGCACCTGGATTCAGTGTCTGCAGGGTCAACCTCTAAGTGCAGCAAAACTTTGCGCGTCGATACATCTCGGACAGTGACGCGATTCGACATTCCATGGCCCAACGGCCGCGGATTTCGTGATAGGACTTTGGAAGCTCGAACCTTGTCAAGCGCATAAGCATAGAATTTTACGTGACAATTTCTGTGCAATTCGGGTGTTCAAACAGACTATTTCCCAAGCATCCCAACCTGAATCCAATGCCATGCTTCTTAGAAGCATGCAAGCAAAGGATGCTGTGTCAGTCATTTGATTTGGTTCTATAGAATCGTTTTCCTGCTGGAAATTTCATTCAAAACGGAAACTTACCATCAACAAAACCATTTGCCAGAAATGACACTTTCATTCATGCAAAATGTCAGATGTGCATTATTGAATTTAAAAGGACTCCTCCTGTCTTTCCCTCACATCCTCAACCTTTATTCCTTCAGCAGGTTTTGAAGCTTGAGCCCACGATCAATTGTACATAGACATAGATCTACTAAATTTCCCGATAAAAAAGTGAAACGAAGAACGTGCAAACACCGAGCACGTATGAAAAATATGGGAATCGGTTTGTCTCAAATAAAAAGGGATCCATGGGCATAGCGGTAAACTACCAAGTGGTGTCGCCATTTCGGGGTTAACCTTTCTACATAGCGTTGCGAGAAACCATCGTTCGGAGAACTGTAAAGAAAAATCTGGAAAATCCGGGAAGCAACTATTCTTTGATGTTAACAGTTAAACAACTTTTTTCCCCATACCACCCAATCAATAGCATTTAGAAAAAAAAATGTCGCATCATCCAACCCAAATTTGCCAAGGGGGCCCGAAAACATCACCTGTCATCTCTCTGAGAGTACATTGTTCACTACTGATTACATCAGCATTCACATCTTCATGGACACTATACCCCCCCCTAGGCCCCCCCTACTAGCATATATGTTAAGTAGCTACTACCTACTTAGTAAGGCCTTAGCAGCCTTTACACCTTAGGATCTACTTCCTAGCCACTTACCCAGGTCAGGAATGCTTACTAAGTACCCTGGACTCCTTAGTAAGACTTCATGTGTTTGCGAAAAGTGGTGAAGGCGGAAAAGAGGAACAGGATCCTCTAAGAAAAAACGTCTCAGGAGTTTCAGTAAACACGCAGCAGTGGCTTAGTAAGGCCTTAGTAAGGCCTTAGTAAGGCTTTAGTAAGGGCTCAGTGGGGGCTCCGGTGAGCGGCAATAGAATCCGGAAAAAAACACAAATCGAATCTTACATCCGAATGATGTTTTGGCTCCTTGTTTAAACCAACCTTGCGAAAAGTAGTCTCAAACAGCCAACTCATTTCCCAACCTGTGATTTCAGGGGGGGGGTATAGGACCCATGACATCTGTCATAAGTCCCGAGGTTTTCTTATAACCAGTTGACTTCCTAGGTGGCATTTGCCTCCACAGCATGTCAAACAATTGGAGACAATTGGAGTTTTCTACCAAATCTAAACCAACATTCAATGGGTTCATTAATTTGTGGTTGGCCTTACCCCCTCATCAGCAAATCTTGGGTTCCAACCCTGAGGCACTTCCCAGTCCTGTATCCATGTCTCCACTGGTTCCCACTGTTCGCCAGCAAACCTTTGGAAAACGGTTCCATTAGGACCGTATATCACCATCGAACCAGGATAACATTTTTTTTTTCACACCATGCCACTTGACCCATCTTGATTCCCAGGCAGCTTTCCATGAATGCATTTTTGCTGCAAACTGCAGAGGAATTTTTGGTAAAGTCCATGTTGGAGTTCCCAAAAAAAGTGTTTGGCCTCACAGTTGTTGTGGTCGCATAATGTGTGATCAGCAAACGGGGGCATAATTACACGGAAAATTGTGCGTTTGTCTGATGAGACCAAGCCCCACGCCTGCAAAGTAAAATGCAACCGCCCGCCCATATAGTGACCCCACCACAAAAGCATTTGCGTGGCAAATCGCTTGTTTCCGAACTTCTTGGCAGATCTCACCATGAAATTCCGCAAGCCCATTGCGCGATAAGTGCCCGTGTAGCTGTATCCTTACTTTTTGCCGGGGCCAGCCGGGTGCCATCATCTTTCCAAACGATTTACGGGCCAGCTGCTAAGAAATCTTCCAAGCATTTTCAGGTTCCTGTTCTTCAACTTGACACGAAAAAGACCAAAATAAACCAAACATGTTGCAGAACTTCGCACCAACCAAGAAGCTGAGATGGCAGGAAACCAAGGTGCAGTTCCACTCCAAGTAGCCGCCCCAGAGCACACCATAACGTCTCCACCTGCACTGTGTTGCTCCCAGCAATGCTGACGGCTCAAATGCGGGAACCCTGACAACAGGAATCTCGCGAACCATGGGTGGTGAGCGAAATTGTGACGAAAATCGTGGGGAGAGGGAGGCAAAGTATTAAAAATCAAATGTATGTATATAAATAAAAATGTATATCAATTTATCTATCTATCTAATCTATCTAATCTATCTAATCTATCTAATCTAATCTAACCTAACCTAATCTAATCTAATCTAATCGATCGATCGATCGATCTACCTACCTACCTATCTACCTACCTACCTAGCTATCTATCTATCTATCTATCTAATCTATCTAATCTATCTAATCTCTCTAATCTCTCTAATCTCTCTAATCTCTCTAATCTCTCTAATCTCTCTAATCTCTCTAATCTATCTAATCTATCTAATCTATCTAATCTATCTAATCTATCTAATCTATCTAAACTATCTGATCTATCTAATCTATCTAATCTATCTAATCTATCTAATCTATCTAATCTATCTAATCTATCTAATCCATCTAATCTGTCCAATCTGTCTAATCTGTCTAATCTGTCTAATCTGTGAAAATCTGTCTAATCTGTCTAATCTGTCTAATCTGTATAATCTGTCTAATCTGTCTAATCTATCTAATCTATCTAATCTATCTAATCTCTCTAATCTCTCTAATCTATCTAATCTATCTAATCTCTCTAATCTCTCTAATCTATCTAATCTATCTAATCTATCTAATCTCTCTAATCTCTCTAATCTCTCTAATCTCTCTAATCTCTCTAATCTCTCTAATCTATCTAATCTATCTAATCTATCTAATCTATCTAATCTATCTAATCTATCTAATCTATCTTATCTATCTAATCTATCTAATCTAATCTAATCTAATCTATCTATCTATCCATCTATCTATCTATCTATCTATCTATCTGTTTTTTGAAGAACATGTAAAAAAACACATACTAGCGCACATCCTCGCATACAAGTTTCAAAAAAGTTTGCCTTTTTAGAATCTAAAAAAAAAACTTTGTCGAGGAAGACCTGGAGAAACCGCATGATTTAGTGAAGAACGCTCCCGCCAAATTTTCCACCGTCTATTGCCCCATGGCACTTCCAGTTCCCCCCGCGACGTGTCCGAGATGCTGGACATTGAAAACGACAATGCCGACAATGAGCGTCACTGTCTTGGCATTGGGCCGGACCAAGGTGACCAAGGAATAGTTTCACATAGTTTCACCCAGGGCGTGGTAACAAAGGCGACCGCCATGGTCCACATTATGACTTGAGGGCCCTCCCATGTCTCCCATGTGCCGAGGTCGGGAAGGCATGGGCGTCAAGGGGTCTAGGGGCCTACAATGTGAGGCCCCCCCGTTATAAGTTGGTTTATAAGCCCAGGTAACTATAGTTATAAGTATCATAAACCATAGTTATTGGAGTTATAAACCAACTTAGCTATCTAGGGGGCCTCACATTGTAGCTGTGTGACACTTGAAACCATCACTTCCTTTCGCTTCCTTTGCCGTGAGTGCGGCAACAAATGCATGCGTCATGGCCCCATGTGACAACTGTTCCATCTGGAACTTTCTCCTTTGATTTTGCACGACCATCTTGACCTGTTTCGACTTGCAACATCCAAAAAAAGGGAGATTAATTAATCATGTTTTTGTTAATATACCTTATTCTCAGATAATTGCAGAATATCACTGAAAAATGTTGAAAAACATTTGGAATTATTGCCTGCAGAATTTTGAGGACGAGACTTTTCTTGACCTCCCCCGATCATGTCCTTGATCAGTTTCCACAACAAACCCCGGCTGCATGATCAGGGAGGTTGCCCCAAGTACCCTCCACTCTAGGGCAACCAAATGGATATCAAGTTGGGAGTTACACAACCAAATGGATATCAAGTTGGGAGTTACATGATGTGAGCAACAGCAAGCATAGAAAATGACAATACATGACATGCAAAACATGTCACATCAAAAAAACACATATTCTGGGTAAATTATAATATTTCACTGACCTGAATTAAGGCCATTTGGGGTTGATTTCCCTTCTCAACCATGATTTCCAGTGAGGTCGCAGTGAGGTCGTTATGATTTACCCAGACATATTGCGTGACAAGCACCACTGCACATGATGGGCTTAGGATCTGCCACGGGTCTCTGCAAAATGGGATGCGGCCAGGGATCAAGGTAACCGTCAGAAAATATTCTGACTGGTGTCAGCAATAGGTTCTGAACATGTTTGACTATGTGACTAGGAAATGATGATATTAATATGATATTATAGTAGAGGCTGGAGAATAGATTGATATAACCGATGTATATTATATATATATTATACACAAAAACACATATGGATAGAACTGATCAATATAACGGGCTCCTCCGGCAGGTTGCGGTTCCCATAAAGCATAAATCAGAAATAGGTTTACCATGGTTTACCGATGTTGCATAAGGACTTTTTTTTTATATAGCCTCCAGTCAAAGGTGAAGAATCCCCGAACTAGATGAAGGTTTTTGTTGGGAATATCATGATATATAAATATTATATATAATATCTGGGTAAATTATAATATTTCACTAACCTGAAATAAGACAATGTTGGGATAATTCCCCTTACTAACCATGATTCCAGTGAGGTCGCAGTGAGGTCGTTATAATTTACCCAGATAATATAATATGTATACAAAGTGCATTTTCAAGTTTTTTTCAAGCTGATCCAACTGCCATGGGCCGCCTTTTCCCCATCGTCATCCGTCAAACAAGGCATAGCAACCCATTTGGGACAGCGGCAGATGGGACGGCGGCTTGTCATTCACCCATGAAACATGGCGGAAAATATGGAAAATTATGATCATCAGCCATTTACCCTCTGGTAGTTTAACGTAGCTATTGAAAATGGCCATTTATAGTGGATTTACCCATTAATAATGGTGATTTTCCATAGCTACGTTAGTTTACCAGAGGGTAAAGATTGGTGTTTTCCAATGTCTACAGCTCCATGATGAATTTCCCGGCCAGCTATGCTTGATGACAGGAGGGATTTATCGACTATCTATTAAAATGCCATTAATTTTCCACTATCCCATGAAATATCACCATTTTTGCAAACGTTTTTTTTTGGGGGTTATATCCGCATTATACACCTAGCTGCCGGAGGGTATTGTCATTGAACTGTGAAAGTCCTTGATCAAATGGGAAGGGCATCACCACTTCGAGGGCACTGCTAAGCAACACAAGATGGCGATATCATCAGGAAAAGATATTTAACATAGCCATGGAAAATCACCATTTTTAATAGGTAAACCATCTATAAATGGGCCATTCCCATGGCTATGTTAAATAACCAGAGGGGAAGGGAAAGAACCAACACAACATGGAAATAGATGATCCGTATAAAAAGAATATCATCAAGGAAAAAAAAACGAATTTCAGAATCGAGAAATACACCCAAACACATAGAAATACCATGATCTTCCGAAAGTTTGGATGCATGTTTTGATCATCCAAACAATGGAGGATTTCTTCGACTTTTCTCTAGGAGAATCTAAAAGTCATCTATATGGGGTGGAACCCCCCAGCTGAGCTATGGCATATCAGAGGAGCACAGGAAAAAAAGGCTATGGTTCCACGGGTTTTTGCATCTGAAAATGCCTGACAAATGCATGTTCGCTCTCCAAGAATAGTTTTGAACATGTTTTGAACATGTTTTGATTATCTGGTTGGTGGTTGAGCCACCCCTTTGAAAAATGATGGAGTTCGTCAGTTGGGATGATGACATTCCCAACTGAATGGAAAGTCATAAAATTCCATGGTTCCAGTCACCACCAACCAAAATTGAGTACCCCAATTTTAAGGTGGTTAAATACTGAAAATAGACTTAAATCATCTTAAATCTGTGGTCCCCCAGGTCCTAAAAAATTTGACCCATAGCCATGTTTTGATCATTGTCCATCCCCATATCATGCCAGTGATTCCCACATAAAAATCTGGAAGTGGCGTAGATTTTCAATATTTTGGGCCTTGAACCCAAAATGTGGAGAGTTACCCCCCAAGTTGCGAAGGCAAGTATTAAAACCTTGGGATGAAACGGGGTTAGTTTTGAGACAAACTCACCTTAAAATACCTTAAATCTTAGCCGTCCAAGAGATCAAGATGATCAAAAGGCAGTTTTGTTTAAGGGATTGTTTCGCAGTTGGAGCATAGAAGACATGAAAAACCACCAGCCAGTCACAAAAAAAACAGTTGCAAAGTGATTCATCGCAACTAATCGTTGCGGCTTCTAGGATGTAAATCAATGGGAGATCTTCAGGATCCAATTGATGGAGGTACGTTAGTACCATATTTCAGGCCATATGAATTGTGGGGATATTCCCTGAAATTTAGGCCTCAAAAATAGGCCTTATATATGGTAGGTATCTCCAATCAATCGGTTCCTGAAATGGCCATTGAGTCAAGAAACACATCTGAAACCAGGTACAAAAACTTCCCCGGGGAAGCCTCATCCTCCATCAAGCAAGTTCTATCATAAAGTTCTATCGGTTCCACAGTGTAGCAATCCGCCAGGAAAAAATACAGATACTAATAGTGACATACATTGACAAACATACTAATTTTAATAGTTTGTCAATGTTTGTCACTATTAGATAGTGACAAGAATTTGTGGTTCCTTTTCTTTATAACTATACTATATCATACTATCACCTCCAAATCAGGAACCATTGACGAATGGTTTGCCGCGCAAATGTTTACGCTGAACATGCTGCCGCGCAGATCATCGAAATGGGCGTCCCAAGCAATTGCTGCCAGCTAGGGGATTTTTGTAGAGGTTCCAAATCAGAAATGGGAAATAAATGAAAATAATGGGAAACGGCAAACTGGCATACTCCATCCACAAATATCCAACACATATGAAAACATGGAAAAACACAGGAGTTGCTGGCTCTATCCCGAGCTTAGTTGCTGTTGCTATCCCCATCTGTTGGTTCTATCGCTGTGCTCTCCTGCTTCAGCACTCAACCGCTCCAATGACAGAATCTCTCCTGCTATTACGTCCCTGGTGTTTATCCCGGGATAAATCGGTTTAGCACTGAATCCCTGGTTAATCATTGATTAATCAAAATGTTGCCTAAAAAGCCAATTGATGAATCCATTTGGGCCGTATATTTGGCTTGATGTTTGGCTTGATCCAACATCATCCAATCACAAGAAATCGCACATCGCAGCAAGTCTTGACTCCAAGTGACACAAATCACTAAGCCCAGTAAAGTCAAGAACACCGAGGGTGAACAGCCCGGGTTGTCCGTCTTGTGCTTTCGAGCCTGGGCTGGAAGTTCTTCGAATCAAATATCACCCACGCGAAGAACAGCATTTTTAACGAGAGTGTCAGAAAAAAGGATTGTTTATGATGGATTCATTTTGGGATAGGTAGAAACAAACAACCCAAGACTTGAACCAGGGAAGCATCAGGGACATGTAAAAACTGAATCGAAGGGATGCCTGTGACTTGGTTATGCTGATTCGGTGCGAGCAAAAACACCTGATACACTCAAGTTACAATGATAATCAATGATACAACATATTTTTAACAGAGTCCCATTCCACTAGAAATATTGCTTTCATCAACCATTCATCAGCCATTCATCAACCATAATGTACACGAGTGTCAGTGTTGATGATGCAATATACGTACTGGTTTTTCCTACCTCAACTGTTTCCTCGACAGAAAATCGTGGGCTTGGAAGATCCGCCAGGACGGTGCACTGGGTCCAGTCTGTAGGAAAACCTGTGTGACAAATGCGTCAAAAGACTTTGAAAACTGGCTGAAACCAAATAAAATCATCAAAATCTCAGGTGTTTCCGCCAAGTTCTTTGGTTCAAATGAACAATCTGTACTTGAGCGAATCGAAACCATATCTAGCGAATGTACTTTCTCAAAATGTCTCAAATTCTGTTTTGAAAGAATGCCTGATTGCAATTGAAAGGGTATAGCTCTTCCAAATGTAGTGGAGACACAGCAAATGATACAAACACCAAGTCGGTCCCAGCCGTGTGAAACTCAGATACCATACCATATTGAAGTTTCTGGATGGGTACAGGAAGGACTGGGTGTTGTGCTAAAAGAACCGTCTCTGTGGACTCTTTTTTGGGCTAAATAACCAGGTTTTAGCCCTATGGGCTTTTAGCTACGGGAAACCACCTCTACTCGATGTTGAAAACAACGATAAGTTGGTGCTTGAACCATTTTATAAACATCTTCAGACAGATGAATTCCCCTCAGGGGGAAATCTCCAGGAAACCTCAATGTCTAGAGGTAAAAAAACGCCATGGTTTCCCCTAACTTTTTCCGCGGAAATCTGCATGATTTGGGGAGCCCATATTTTTTTTGCCAATTTTGCCAGGTGTTCGTGCGAACTTCGACCCTAATTGCTGGTCGAGATGTTCAACCTAGTAGATACCCTAGCCTACATGTTTTGTACGGAAAAACATGTGCATCTTTGATGGCCACATTCTGAATTTGGCTGGTCGAATCGTTTAAGATTTATGAATAAATTCCCAATGTTTTAGGAGCGAAATCCGAATTTTTGCTGGGTTTAGAGGTTTAGATCCCAGATTTTGCAGTTTGGTTTTGCAATTTTGACACCAGGAATGATGATCTGGTGATCTTCCCGTGGCCGGCCTGGTGGGCCTTTTAAGGTGGACCAATTAGGAGATCTAAGTGAGATGCCTCCGTGGGGTAGTTTAAGATAGCGGAACGCCATTTGGTTCAATGATTTGCATTTTCAGTTCATGGTGATTTCGCAAACCGTGACCAATTATATCAAATGATCACAGGCTAACAAAGCTATTATCAGTTTATAATATGCTTTATAATCAATCTATAGATGGTTACTATTTAAAAAAAAACTAACCTCCATCAACCCCTTTTTTGGTGCTGAATTTTACCGTCCAACCATCCATGCAACTGGGCCGCCAGTTGTTTCACCGTTCGCCTGCGCAGTGCATCTTCATCGAAGCTCGGCGTACTGATCGTATTGCTCTCGTCGACGTCGAACCTCACCTCCCCCTCGTCTCGGCCGTTGCTGATGCCACCAGCTTTATTTGGTGGAAGATTCACTGGTAAAACAGGGATGCAATTCAAACACCGGACATTGAACGACGTTCTTTTGGGATCTTAATTTGTAGTTATACCATGTTATACCCAAAAAACATGGGGATATCTGGGATATCATGAACAAAATGATGGCGGACTTAGCATGGCGGGTTATACTATATGTAGATTTCTTGGGGACGATGGCTGTAAGGATATGCACCTGGGATTCCCCTAAGTATTTGGCAGATGGAAAAAATTGAAGCCCTACCATGGGGGAGATGACCATGCCATTGGCAAAATCGCCGGGTGTATTGATGACAATTGACCATAGCACATATGGTCAGTGTCAAAATCTGATGATTGGAACATCCCAAAATCCCAAATCAGGGGGATATCATGAGATTTCATGGGATATCACAAGTGAAAACTTCCAAAAAATCATGGTTGGCATAGGGATGATTCCCAGCTTTTGGATTCTGACAACCCCAGATTGTCAGATGATGGAAAGAATCCGTGCTGTTTTTGACCATGTTCGTATAAAAACCAAGAAAAGAAAAGAACATAAACAGTCAATCTGTAGATAATGTTTATCTACAATGCAGTTTTTGATTTGCCAAAATATGGAGATGACAACCGTAACATCTGTAAAACGGCATGGTTTAAGTAGCAAACACAGACACTTCAACATCATGAATAAGAGCTTAGACCCTTTTGGAAACTAGACTAAAACACCCCGGTCTTCTTCTCAGAAAGCAAGAAGCATAAGAAATCCCGCCCTACGAAATATGCGGAACCATTTTTAAAGATCAACTGTCGGGGTCCCAAAACTTGACATATCAAAACTGATCAGCACCAAAATGGGTGATTGATCATGATTCAATTGATTTGGTGTCTTTTGTGCCCAGAATGTCATAGCTTGAAACTTGTTGCCCAAACAAAACCCTTTAGCAACCACGTGTGGTGAGGTTTGCTCTCAAAAAGAGCATTCTATTCTTAAAAATCATTGACATAAAAAAACATTAGATAGACAATAGTCGCACGTCCAGAAGGGATCCTTAGCTTTTTTATCGAGTTCGCCCCTTCGAATCGCAGATATGTTCTGTGTCTGGGGGCTTCAAACTCCCTGAAATGTCACCAGGTCAAGTCGCTGATCCTGAAGCCGGCATGATGACATGACTTTGTTGCTGTGACAAAAACTGCAAGTGCCAGAGGCATATGGAACTATGGACGGTTTAGGCACATGTAGAGGCATCAAAATCCATAAAATCCCGCGACTCTGTTGGTGGTTCAAGCCCCTGTGCAACATATTCATGAATTTGGGGACCACCATTGCAACGGTATTTTTCCAGGAATGGGAAGTGATTAAAAGTCTTACCTTGTTGGTGAGTTATATCCCCACATTCTACCCACAAAAAAATCACTATCAAACTGGTCAAGCTCTGACTTTTTGGGGCGATTCCATCCCCCAAGATCAGCGTGATGGGCTGCATCCCTGATGTTTTCAACAGACACGGCTGCGAAGTCTGAGTGATTTTGAGTGCGAAAGAAACACTGCATCCAACATGCCATGTTTTGATATTGGATTGGGGTTACTTAATTGTCATGAAAATCACAATGCGCACACACACACACACACACACACTCACACTCACACACATTCACATATATATATAATTATATACACATATCTGTGTGTTTATTTGTTTCGGGATTTTTTGACGTAAATCTGGGGTTCATCTTCTAAGGAAACCTAGGGGAATGTATAAGATCTAATTACATATGCGCTTTGTCATTTTCGTGGGTCTGTGATTGGTGGTAGTTGAGGTTGGGAGGATGGGAGGATGGGACAACTACAATGCAGATGGTATGGAAAATGATGAAGGATTGAAACACCAGCTTAAGATAGCCCAACACAAACGATCCCAATCATGTCAACCCCGGATGAGACTAAACCATGGTTTATGAAAATTAGGGGGGGTACTCCTCCAATAGTCACAATCCAATACTTAAATGGTACCCCCCCCAAATGACCAGCCGTTTGGGGTTTATTAATCCAGGGTTGACATTAATCCAAGTAATAGATCATAGATAATCAATGATATTCATAAATAATAGGTCTTCCCCAAATGGTGGATTCACATTCCGAGGCCCTCTCCTCACCCCGCGCAGCAAAAAAACACCTACCTTTTTCCGCCGCTTTGCAGGAAACACATTCCCCAGCAAGATGGACATGGTGTTTTTTTCTCCCTCAGGGTTATCAACCAGCATAACGGGAATATCATGATTTTTTATGGGTTAGTAGTGGGAAATAGTTTAATAGTTAAAACCGGATATACATATAGTTAATTTTGTTGTTCATTGTTTGATGGATAGCTTAAGATGGGGAAATGATTATCGCAAAGCGACTTCAATGAGAGAACTACAGCATTTCTCTCTCCAGCAGTTTTCGTGCTACAGCAGGGTTGGGGCCAACATGAAGCATATGCTGAAGCATCTTAAGATATCTTACCCTCTGGTAAATTAACATAGACCCTGGCAGCCATCGGGGTTGGAAGATTAGTTTCCATTAAAACTAGCCTATTTTCAGGGTCCAACTGTTAATTTACCAGAGGGTAACATATCTGAAAAGAATCTCGTTGTAGATTGGAACAATAGAATCATCCACACAAGGTGGTGCCCCCCCAGTTATAAGTTGGTTTATAATCCCATTAACTATAGATATATCTACCATAAGTCCTAGTGAAATTAGAGTTATGTGCACCAACTTAGCTATCGAACGGGGGCACCACATTGCAAGCAACTTCAATCCAGGACGTTGGGCTCACAGTTCGCGTCGATGTCGGGCTACATTCGGTACATTGCCTTGCCTTGGTGGAGAAAGGTCATCCAAAAAGGAAAAAATGTTGTTTTTTTTCCATCTTAGTTTGGTTCCAAAGTGAAAGTGGCTGGTTTCATCTGGTGTCCATAAACCTTTTTGATTTCATTGGGGTGTTCATCTGAAAATTTGCTCTTTTCAAACTTTTCCAACAAGCAAGCTTCGGCTTCAAAAAAAACGTTGTCCTTCAAGACAAGAACATCAACAAATATGCGACACATCAATTGTTTCAAGAGGCGACACATCAGCCCAGAGGATGACCAGCGGAATTTTCATGGATCGCTTAAGGCAATCTATGGGAACCTCTCGGCATTAAAAGTGTGCAGGGCTTCCCGAATCAGACAATTTGCAGGAAACTATTTTTTAAAAAAATAGGAAACTCACTTAGACTTAGACAAAATATAGGAAACTCACTTAAGACTTAGACAATCCAACAAATTTCAACAGATTAAAAGTGGATTGTCCTGTGAAATGCCAAGCGAGATTTCACACTAAGATACGTTGCCTTCACTCTTCAAGCTTTTGCACCTGCAGGAAACCATCGTTTTTCCATGGAAAATCAAGTGCCGGAGCGTTAAACCGGTCACATGCTCCGCCATTTTCTATCATTTTTCTTCATCCAGTTCTTGGATGAAGCCGTGAAATCACTTTTACCCTCTGGTTATTTAACATAGCTATTGAAAATTACCATTTATAGATGGTTCACCTATTAAAAATGGTGATTTTCCATGGCTATGTTAGTCATAACCAGAGGGTAGATACTGAAAAGTCACTCAATTTGTTCACCCCATCACAGTCCACAACAGCACCAACCACCAAGGCACATCAGCTTGGGGAACTCGTAGCCCACAGCCAGGAGGTCCAATATCCATGCTTGAGCAAGCCTGGCGATGGACAAGCCTATCCGTGATTCCCGGTCCGGCCGGAAAAAATAGGGTTACTCAAGAGTCGAAAATTGTGGACTTGGCCGGAGTAAAGTAGTAATTGTACCCCAAAATAAGATAGAACCATATAGAACCGCGTATTTCCAGTATGGCATAGGTGATATTTCCCTCAGAAGTACCAGGCGTCCAAGTTCTCTATGTAAAAATTGCACGACCCAATGGTATGATGCTAGAAATGTTGGCTAATCACAGATACCTCGCGTTTTTTTTTCCGAGGCTTATGTTGCCCCATGTTGCCCCATGGCAATAGATTGAAGCATCAAACATCATCAAACTAGCCTCCCATAGTGATGGCAATGAACAATTCCCCACGTAGTGACTTGGTTTATTTTACCCTCTGGTTATTTAACATAGCTATGGAAAATGACCCATTCACAGATGATTTTCCCATGAAACCTCCATTTATAATGGATTTTCCATAGCTATGTTAAATAACCTGATGGTAGTTTGATGAGTCATTGATGATGACTTTTTGTTCATTTTAGTTTGATGAGTCAAAATTGAACTAAAAAAATGTGTTGCCATTCATAAACTAAACAAAATTAGTGTGACGGATGAGTTGCCATTCAAACAATGTGAGGCCCCCTACAGTAGATAGCGTTCATTTAGCGCACATAACTCCAATGTGACTATGGTTTATGGTACGCAAATAACGAACTAGTTACTGGGGCTTTTGTTAACCAACAAACATCACTGGGGGGCCTCACATTGTATGGATTATGGTAGATACAACGAACTAGATAATGGGGTTTATACACCAACATTCACATCACTGGGGGGCACCATCCTGTATCTTCAAAATGATTCAAAGCTCCAGCCATTCTGTGGGCATTTCCCAACCGATCCGGGACCGACGATCCGGGACCGCCGATCCGGGACCGAACCTCACATCTCCCAACTCCACGAATCCACCTCGCTGGATCTCACAGAGAGGCCCTGACTTTGAGATGCTAATTTATAATGGGATTTATATAATGGGATTTATATAATGGGATTTAAATTGATGGGATTTAAATTGATGGGATTTAAATTGATGGGATTTATATAATGGGATTTAAATTGATGGGATTTATATAATGGGATTTATATAATGGGATTTAAATTGATGGGATTTTTATAATGGGATTTAAATTGATGGGATTTAAATTGATGGGATTTAAATTGATGGGATTTAAATTGATGGGATTTATATAATGGGATTTAAATTGATGGGATTTATATACCGGGATTTAAATTGATGGGATTTAATGGGAATTAATGGGAATTCGAGAGGATCATTCCAGCAAAAATTCGAAGATTAGCTCGAACGTGCGACAGAAACCTGGTAGCCTCAGGGATTTTGGTGTTTCCTCTAAACCACTAGATACGACTTAACGAAACGAGATTTCTGTCACGGTCACCTCATTTGTTTCAGATCGCCCCACTTGGTAGCTGGATAGTTCCCTTAGCGGTACCGCTGTACATACGTATGTATATTACCTTAGTGGGTAGCAACCCCCAGAAAAGATAGAACAGTCACAGCCAATCCTAAAACAATGAGAAAGATTGAATCGTTTCTGCCTTTCTAGGTGTATAGACTGTAAAGATATCAATGTCATTATTGGATCATTTCTGCAATGATCCACCTTCAAATCATTCAAGGCATGGACATGGAAAAACCTCAAGCAAAGTTAGAAACCATGATTTTCCTGCTGTTGGAAAATCGGACACACCCACCAGTTGCATAATTTTACCGCATATGTCACATTTTATCATCTGTATATCATCATATGATGATTTTCTCAAAGGAATTTCCCATGATTTCCTATCCGTTTCGTCCGTTTCCCTCGGGCATTCCACGCCAGCCCAGACACGCGCGTACAAGGCCGCCCACAGCTGTTCAATGCGTTCCAACAAAGTTGGAGCATTGCTAGACCATTGGGATAAGAATTGAACCAAGGCTGTAGACTTCAACCTGACTTTGGCAAAGGTGGATGTTCAGCATCCAGAATTCTCAAGGCAATGATGCAGCCCCATGCTTTTATCGGGCAAAAATAAGGTGGAGTATATAATTGCCCGCAACTTGGGGGTTTCGGAAGAGCTGGAATTTATTCTGCACCTTTTTTTTTTTGATGCCTATAGTTCTGGCAAACATGGAATCCTCACTCATGCGAAGCAAAACATGTTTTTAACATTTTTAACAACATTTCACACATCATCTGGTTATTTAACATAGCCATGGAAAATCCCTTATAAATGGAGGTATTAATGGGAAAATCATCTATAAATGGAACATTTTCATAGCTATGTTAAATAACAAGAGGGTATCATTTTGAGCAGCATGCCACTAGTGCTGGCCATCCTGTTTTGTTGATCTTTCAGAGTCTTTCACATCTAAAACACCTTGCTGTATACCAATCTCCTGCTACTACCGTCCACCAAATCAACAACGATGGTGTGAGAAGTGCAAAAGGCTACCCACAAGAGGTTCTTGTCATATCTTCTCATCAAACACAAGTTTTTTCCATTGCCTCCTCTGATTACAGCTAAACCCCACTTAAAATTTTAGCCAGTGACGAGCCGCAATTTCACTTCTTCCCCATCCAAGATCAAAGATTGATCCAATTTCATTTCCGTTCTTTACATATCTAAAACCGGGCAGTTGTGTTATCATGGTTTATGTCATTGGTTAAACTACCTCGCATGTTGTTTGGTGCCGCCCATGTGAGAATAGGAGGTCACTCAGGCGATACTTGAGCCTAGCCTGATTTTTTAAGCCTTGCTTCCCACATGTTTTTGAAGAAATCACGTGGGGGATGTCAACCCAACCGTTCTATATATCATAAAGGGACGTAAATCAAACACGTCCCCAAATAAAATCACCCCAAATTCGCAAAAGTAAAAAAAACAAAAAAAAACAGCAAAACAACAATAAGAAAGAACAAAAGCATCACGAAACATCCACAAAAAAACACAAGTCACCATAAAATCCACCCGAAACATCCAAGTCACCAATTCGACCATCCCAACAAGTCCCAGTTTCTGCAGGTCAGTTTCACTTTGGAAGTCTTTCAAGTAGTCGTGTGCCACACGGTCATGCACCACATAAGGTGGTAAGAAAGTCACGAGTTGACCCACCTGAGTAGGAAATTCACAACATCTTGGATCATTTTTCAGTTGAAATCATGGATATATACATTGTTTGTGGTTGGTGGTTGACCTACCTCTATGAAAAATATGAGTTCGTCAGTTGCGAGTATTATTCCCAAGGTATGGAAACATAAAAATGTTCCAAACATTTCCAAACCACCAACCAGGTTTTGTTACTGGAGGATATAGCTCACAATGATCAACTTTTCAGTAGCTTAACCGACTTAGCTTGGTGAATTAGATGGTGGTAAATCGTCCTAAGGCGGTAAGGAGCCTGGTGTGGCACAACACGAAACGCCCCAAATTTCTATGCTTTGGAAATCTCTTTCTTTATTCCAAAGACATTGACAAATGAGCCGTGTTTTATTCCGATTTGCCCAATTTCATGGGCATTATCATTAAACATTCGAAAATGGTACCAAAATTTGATCCCAATTCTTGATTCTATGGTGACTATGGTGATTGGCATTTCTTGGCCATTGGGGATACATGGTGACCATAGTAACCGGGATGTGCGCTGATCTCCCAAGGGGGATTGCCGAGCGTCGTCCCAAAGGAGCTTCTGCGTCAAGTATGCCCGCCAAATGTCAGACACCCGGCCGTGCACAGTCACTGGCAGCAGCAAGCCCCAAAAGGCTTCCTGGCTGGCCCGGATTCTGTTCATTTTCATGGCAAAACCCTGCTTCAATGGATTGGAACAATGGAACATCTGGAGGAATCCATTCATTTTCCCATGAAATATCGGGATAGGTCCTGTACCCTCTGGTAAACATACAAAAAACTATGGAAAATAACAATTTTTCATGGGTAAATCAACTATAAATGGTCATTTTCAATAGCTATTTTGACATAACCAGAGGGTATATTGTCCCCATCCAATTACTAAAAATTGTGGCTTTGTTGATGATCCTCTGGAGGTGCAACAAACCAAGTGGGTCTTACGTAAGTTATGTGGTTAAAACCATCAAAACTGTTATGTGTAGGCCATGAGTCCCTCTAAAACAGCTGGTTCATGGATGATTCTTCCCCAATCATATGGTAATTCCATGTAATTCCATAACTGGTTGGTGGTTGGGCCACCCCTCTGAAAATTATGAGTTCGTCAGTTGGGAGTATTAAAATTCCCAACATATGGAAAAATAGAAAATGTTTCAAACCACCCAAACAGACATGACTTATAACGAATATGTAGAAAGGTGTATGGCTACAATCCATCAAATGATTGATGACGAACATCAGAACTCCAACGAAGAGATGCAAGAAATGCGTTCATTCATGCGTCCATTCTGGGCAAACAAAAACACCCATTGCTGCTAGCACTATGTTCTCCCTTCCTGGGGTTGTCATCATTTTTTGTTCCATTCACATCGCAATTTGCAGATATAAATATAATATATATATATATAAACTTTAAACGATTTTTGGACAAAACCACTTGGAAATCAACAGACATTATGTTCCTCAATTTCACCCCATCATCTTCGACTGTTCAGAACACGTTTCGACATATTTCGACATGCGACCCATCACGACCTATCCTTAAGTTCATGTCTGAAACCTGCAGCAAAGCGTCATACAAATGCACTGTGGCTTGCGCATTGTAAGGTGTAAAAAACCTTCACAGCCACAGCCGAGGTGTCCATGATACATGTTACAGCATTTATCATCCATTGGGAGTGATTCACTTGGTTGACATGTGGTCGAAGACTTGCACTTAGTGAGACTTAGTGACTTGCAGTTGCATCCTCTTTCTTTGTTGGTTGTCAAAGATGACTGCCTTCCCATTCTTAGTCATGAGATGTCATGAGAAATCAAGGTTGTCTCAACAAATCCTTTAACTTTGAGATGTCATTGTCCCCCCCATTTTGAGACAAAACTACATTTTTGTTGGCGATATACCCTCTGGTAAACATACAAAAAACTATGGAAAATCACCATTTTTCATCGGTAAATCCAATATAAATGGCCATTTTCTATAGCAAACTGTTGACATAACCAGAGGGTATTTTCGATGATGGAAAAACATTTGGCCCATGCCACAATCATCCAATACAGCCACAAACTCTGGTACCAAGTGGTGGAATGGTGACCGTCACGTGTCATTTGTCATGAGTCTGGGACATACCATCTAGATCATCTAGTGTCAATATTTCCCATGTTCACAAGCTTATAGATGGTCAATTGGGTTGTATTTAAAGTGAAACATGTGTCAAACGATTTTTTGCAGGTTTATGTTGATGAGTTTTCAGGTAGGTTACTTCAAATCAATCCCTCTAATTTAACCATATGGTCAAAACATGGCCAGTCTTATATAGAAAACCAGTTGTGAATCCATCGCCAAATTTGACCCAAATACACTCACCATTCACCTCAGCGTTTCACACACTTCAATGTGAGCCAAAAGAAAATGCAAACAGTTTATATATATATATAAATATATAATGAAGAATCCCAAAAATATATGTTCGTTTCTGGACGCGAACAGTACAAACATATGTGTGCTAGGTCACACATCTTCAAGCATGTTGTTTAAACCGCAAACAAACTCATCGAACAAATTAACTGGAAATGGTTGAACTACCCATTCGCAGTTTCGCCAGGATGTTACGACATGTTCAAAAGGCTCAATATTTGAGAGTTCGACACCTTGGAGTTCAGGACACGAAAAAACTGAGCAAATTGTGCCGTAAATCCATGTCAATCCATGTAACATACTCAAAAAAAACGGGCTTGGGTTGGCCGGTGTGCGATCATGCACCCAGAAGCATCATGTCTTTGGGTGATATCCGCTTGTTTGGTGGAATTATGATGCTGAACCCAATGATGAAATCCAACCTTTTGATAGGTTGCGGTTAAAGTATGTTATAACGACTTTATGTTAGTACGCATTCCCAATAAAAAATCAAAAAACGTATCACTTATCTCATTCGTATTCTAATTTCTATGAATTTCTTATCACTGTCACTATACAGTATATTACAGTATATTTTAGATGATTTTAGTAGGATCTTCACCCACTTCTATCTCTGAGGCTCCAGCCTCCAACCCCCCTGCGCCCTTTTTTGCCGTCAGAAACTGTGGTGGAATGGCCATGGCGGAAGGGTGTCCCGGTTCCAAGCCCGCGAAGTTGCAGGGTAAAGGACGAGTGAGGCGAAAGATGGCGTCAACATCCTGCCATGGGAGGAGCGTATTTTTTTTAAACAAAGGTTACAGGGAAAAAAAACTGAGGACTTTGGAATATTTGGAAGGATTTCGCTGGGTATCAAAGTGTATTTCACCATGATTGGGGATGATTTCAGATTCTTTTACTGTCAAAATCATCATAGCACTGGGAATGAAACCCTCACCGAAAGTGGTTGAAAGATCAAAGCGATGGTACCATCAATTGCTTCGATTATCTTCGATTCAACAGCACATGTGGGATCAAAAGTGAAGAATTTTCAGCACCAAAAATAGTGACTTCTCAAACCATCAGTCCATCTACAGGTATATACACCTATTAAACCATGGTTAACCATTCAACCATAGTGCATCTATCTATCTATCTAATCTAATCTAATCTAATCTAATCTAATCTATCTATCTATCTATCTAATGAATCTATCTATCTATCTATCTATCTAATCTAATCTAATCTAATCTATCTATCTATCTATCTAATCTAATCTAATCTAATCTATCTATCTATCTAATGAATCTATCTATCTATCTATCTATCTATCTAATGAATCTATCTATCTAATGAATCTATCTATCTAATGAATCTATCTATCTAATGAATCTATCTATCTATCTAATCTAATCTAATCTAATCTAATCTATCTATCTATCTATCTATCTAATGAATCTATCTATCTATCTATCTAATCTAATCTAATCTAATCTATCTATCTATCTAATCTAATCTAATCTAATCTATCTATCTATCTAATGAATCTATCTATCTATCTATCTATCTAATGAATCTATCTATCTATCTATCTATCTAATGAATCTATCTAATGAATCTATCTATCTATCTATCTAATGAATCTATCTATCTAATGAATCTATCTATCTATCTATCTATCTATCTAATGAATCTATCTATCTATCTATCTAATGAATCTATCTATCTAATGAATCTATCTATCTATCTATCTATCTAATCTATCTATCTATCTATCTATCTAATGAATCTATCTATCTATCTATCTATCTATCTAATGAATCTATCTATCTATCTATCTATCTGTATATATATATATTTTAAATATGATAGAGCATCGTGCCAAAAAGATGCGGTGTACTAAAGGGGCTATCCAGGGATTTCGGTCGGGAACTCTTTGGATCTAAATCGGCCCAAGGCTCATCTCAGTCATTCTGACTCTTGTACCATGCGTTGTGATTTTCTTAGATGTTGGTTCCCTTTTATATCTTTTATCTGTTTCTTTCCTTCCATAGTGTTTACCTGTTCTCTTTTTTGTTCTATGGTTCATTCCTCCCGGTTTCTTTGTCTTCTCTTTTCTCTCCTTTCCTTGGTGCCAACCTAGGTTGGCATTGCCTCAAAGGGATCAACTTCACAAGGACCAGTTCAGTGGTTCGATCATCATGTTTCAATTGTTTCAATTTTCATTTTTGATGGTAAACTGGTTGGTGGTTGAGCCACCCCTCTGAAAAGAGGGCGGCACCCCGTGGGGGAGTGAATTTTCATTAAAAATGATGATGAAACACTGTAAATACCGATGTTTTATGCATTTGGAGGGTCTAAAACCCTAGTAAAACACACTTTTTTCATCATGATCTTGACATGAGATATACAAAAACATTGACAGGCACCAAAAAAACCAAAAAAAACAAACCACTAGATGCACCAAACATCGACAGGCACCAAAAAAACAAAAAAAAAAACAGCAACTACTCAGAAGTGAACCCATAGTTCCTGGAAATTTTAGTTTTTTTGTTTTTTTTTTGGTGCCGGTGCAGGTTTGGTGCATCTAGTGGTTTGTTTTTTTTTTTGTTTTTTTTTGGTGCTTGTGCAGGTTTGGTGCATCTATTGGTTTGTTTGTTTTTTCTGATGCCTGTGCAGGTTTTGGTGATTCTAGATTGTGTATGTTTGGATCTTGGCCATATTTTAAACTTATGTTTCAAAGAAGCAAACATACCGTTATCTTTGAATAGCTATGCCACCACACAGGTTGCCTGACCTTAATATTCAACAGCTTGACCACGTCTTTGTCTCTTAGGCTTTCTCTCTCTCTTTCTCTCTCTCTGTCTAACTATTGAAATGAGACTGCTGACAAGACTCTGCAAGATAACAATGATAAACGAGATATGTACCTACTTCTTGAGTTGTAACATTCCCACCATCCTTCTTATCCAGAGTGTTAGATGTGCTTGTGTTATATCCACCTATAGAATGTATGCCCTTCCCACCATACTTCTTATGTAGCGCAAATGCTTCTATATACAATATATGTTAAGATGATATCAATCTAACAAGTTCATGAAGAAACACCTATATCATATCAATTGCTTTTAGCAATCGAATTTCTCCATCACCTCCGTCACACTAGTCACCTATTGCTACTGTATATTCTGTTCCGAGATGTGCAGCTACCCATTCTTATGGCATGTTGTGCAGCAGATGTTTTCTGTTATGTGCTGATTGTTTGTAGTTCTTTGCAAGCCTCACAGGAAAAATTGAATCCTGCCACAAGAGTCTGTAAATGCCAGTGATTTATGACAGCATATGAGAGCCTTTGGAGGTGAACTCTATTTTTTGCTCTAAAATTCTAAAATAACGGTTTTAAGCCCACTTTGGTCACAAAACACTGTAAATACCAGTATTTTTGACCATTTTTAGAGCAAAAATCACTCCCCCATGAGGGGCCGTTCTGTTTTTTTTTGGGTATTGACAAAGTATTGGCACTGCATTCTTGTCAACCAATGGTTTCTTGTCAAAATACAATAAATTACACACTTGAAAGTTGATGCCATTTCGGATTATTCCTCTTGAAAAGCATCAATAGCTTGTGCCCGATTTTCAATCATCCCCTGTTTTCACACCGGCTTTTTTTTCGTGCTGACTGGATCTCTTCACTCTTGGCGCCCATTAATTGGGGCCCGTACTTATTTAAAACGGATTATCACATATGATCAACCATGCAGAGGGGTATCTGACTATGACAATGATTCTGGGTAAATGAAATAATATTTCACTAACCTGAATCTTGCGGCCATTTGGGGATGATTTCCCATATAAAAACCATGATTTCCAGTGAGGGAGAACAGTGAGGTCGCTATAATTTACCCAGGTGATTGACTCATGATGAAAAACTTCAGCGGTTTATAACAGTAAGCTTTAAGGATGGTTTACTCTTCTTAATTTTTGCTGATCCGGAGCCCCCGAAAAATACACCTAATATTCCCTTAATCGATTCCCCAGTCATAGTAGGTTTCCCGTTGGGAAACATATCAAATCTTCAGCGAATCCAGGCATTAGGATGATGATTGGGATAGTAGCTGGAACAATTGTGATGTATATATATATAATATATATATATGTAAAATTATATATACAGTATATATACAGTATATATACAGTATATATACAGTATATATACAGTATATATAGTTATATGTATATATAATTATATAATTATATAATTATATAATTATATAATTATATATATATAAAGTGAGATCGACAATTGCATAAACCATGCCCAAGAGAAACCACAGGGAAACCACAGCAGTCCAAGGAGGGGTCTTGACACAGTTTCCTCAAACATCATAGGGGATGGTTTATGCCATTGTGGATTCCACAAAAAGGAATGCAGGGCTGCGGGAAGAGGACACTTGCTGGTGGGATTCATAGATGCTCCAAAATGCAAAACACCCTCCGGTAATGACTAATTGTTTTTTTCCCGAGAGCGTCTGCGCGCAGGGTTCTTCCAATAGTGGGGGTCTGTATCTCATCTTCTCATCTTCACATCTTCTCATTTTCACATCTTCTCATCTTCACATTTTCTCATCACCTTCACATATTCACATCCTCACATCTTCACATCTTCTCATCTTCACATCTTCTCATCTTCTCATCTTCACATCTTCTCATCTTCTCATCTTCACATCTTCTCATCTTCACATCTGCTCATCTTCACAACTTCTCACCTTCACATCTTCTCATCCTCACATCTTCTCATCTTCACATCTTCTCATCCTCACATCTTCACATCTTCACATCCTCACATCTTCACATCTTCTCCTCTTGCCTTCTTGCCCTCTTGCCCTCTTGCCCTCACATCTTCACATCTTCTCCTCTTGTCCTCTTGCCCTCTTGCCCTCTCCTTCTTTTCTATTTCTCTTCTGAAGGCGGGGGCAGGGGCAGTGCCAACGAGACGGCACAAAACGCAACCCTTTCGCACGAAATGAGGTTCATTTGCCAAAAACTGAGGTAAAATTGCAATTTCAACTTGTCCGGCGCAACCCTTTCGCACGAAATGAGGTTCGATCGCCAAAAACTGAGGTAAAATTGCGATTGCAACTTGTCCCGCGCAACCCTTTCCCACGAAACGAGGTTCGATCGCCAAAAACTGAGGTAGAATTGCGATTTCAAAGTGTCCGGCGCAACCCTTTGGCACGAAATGAGGTTCGATCGCCAAAAACTGAGGTAGAATTGCGATTTCAAAGTGTCCGTCGCAACCCTTTCGCACGAAATGAGGTTCGATCCCAAAAACTGAGGTAAAATTGCGACTTCAACTTCTCCCGCGCAACCCTTTCGCACGAAATGAGGTTCGATCGCGAAAAACTGAGGTAAAATTGCCAAAAACTGCGGTAAAATTGCGATTTCTTCTGTGTGTAAACGTGTCTGCGTAAAAGCTTCTGTGTGCTGTGTGTAAAGTGTAAAAGCGTCTGTGTGTAAAGGCGTTTGTGTGTAAAAGTGTCTGTGTGTAAAAGTGTCTGTGTGTAAAAGCGCCTGTGTGTAAAAGTGTCTGTGTGTAAAAGCTTCTGTGTAAAAGCATCTGTGTGTAAGAGCTTCTGTGTGTAAAATCTTCTGTGTGTAAAAGTGTCTGTGTGTCAAGGCGTTTGTGTGTAACAGCCTCTGTGTGTAAAAGCGTCTGTGTGCAAAAACCGTCTGTGTGTAAAGTATCTGTGTGTAAAAGCTTCTGTGTGTAAAAGCGTCTGTGTGTAAAAGCTTCTGCGTGTAAAAGCTCCTGTGTGTAAAACCGTTCGTGTGTAAAAGCGTCTCTGTGTAAAAGCTTCTGCATGTAAAAGCGCCTGCGTGTAAAAGCGTTCGTGTGTAAAAGTGTCTAAGTGTAAAAGCGTCTGTGTGTAAAGGCGTTTGTGTGTAAAAGTGTCTGTGTGTAAAAGTGCTTTGTGTGTAAAAGCGTCTGTGTGTCAAAGTGTCTATGTGTAAAAGCTTCTGTGTGTAAAAGCTTCTGTATGTAAAAGGTTTTGTGCGTATAAGCGTCTGTGTGTAAAAGCTTTGCCTTGATACTCCTCTTCTCGACTGCCTATAACACATCTTTAATATATTGTTTTGTAATATGGTGTCTCCATACTAACCAGAGAAGACCCTGCTCCTCTACGCTCTCGGGCCATCCGTCGTCTAGTTTAAATCACCATTTTGTTCATGCTCCAAAATTTGCAAGATCTGCAAGTCACAAAAACATCCAAGAAAATCCCAATGGTTTCATCGTCTGAGCAGAGTCGCCTCCACCACGGCCCATCTTCTGGGAAATCCATTGCTTGGCCAACTGGGCTGCACTGCGCTCCTGACGATGGACGAGCTTCTTCGTTGAAAAAATGCTGAATCAGTGGTTGGGAAGAGAAGCCTGAGATTGGGAGCAAAGCAACTTTCAATATATATATATATATAATGTATATATATATGTTACGTATATATATATATATAAATTATATATATATATATGTATGTATATATATATATATGTATATATAGTATATATAAATATATTTATATGTAGATGTAAATATATATATATATGTATCGCTTTAATGAATGGGCTATTTGCAAAGCATGGAGGAATGACTTGGCCAACTTCTCGTCTCTTCCCCTCGTCTCACCAGGTCTCACCAGGTCTCACCAGGTCTCACCAGGTCGCTCCGTGAGCTGCAGAATCAAGCGGTCAATGCCGAAGACCGAGACCCGCGTGATGTAGTCCACATCAAAAGCCACAGACAGAACCTGGCAGCAAAGCAACTGAAGGGACTGAAGGGCAAGGGCCGCAGCATTGATGTCATGAACATTTTTCAGGGATTTGAAGTGATCCGCCTAACCATTGACTCGAATTTTTGACCGACTCCTCTTTGGTGTGGTCATCTCTTTCGGGCAAATAGCCCCACCATGTGCGGAAGTTTCAATGGATTTTCCAGCCCCAAGCCATCCCCCAAAACGGACTTTCTAGCCATCTATCTATCTTCTCTGTCCTTTTCCCCAAACATTGCCATTGCCATTTGGCCATGCCATTTTTCAACAGACTCAAACTTCCATGGCAACCTCCAACAACCAGTCCCTGTCTGGAAGACTCATCTTCCACATCCAATTTTTCCATGTCAGTTCTAAGATGTTCTAAGAAAGGCTGCAACCACTATACTTCACAACCCCAAAATGAATTTGGAATGTGAATGCCAAGAAGGTTGTGAAGCATATTGGTGCTATTCAAAATGATTTGGAATTTTGGTGTCATTCAAAATGTATGCCAACCCCCAGAATTTCTCGCACCGAAGCCAAGAAGCATAACTGGAGCATCTTGCAGCCAGCTGAGGGGAGACGATCCTGACAGGAAACACAGCTTCCCCAAAATGCTTTTGGAATGTGGATACTGTAAATTCATCTAGCCATGGCATGTCGCTATATTTAGCGATCAAATGAAGGGGGGATTAATTAATTAATTAATTAATATACAGTATGTATATATTATATATATATACAAACCTTTTAATATAACTTTATGATCAGCACTTAAAACAGAGTTTGATACTCCGAGTAGCCAGTATTGACCTACCCGGTATGGATATTCACCCCGAGGAAGACAGGTCAGGATAGCCCAGTTAGAGGGATGGTGATCGTAAATCATGGACACAGTCTTTGGGTTTGTGGCGGGTTCGTGGGTCTTAATTCTTGACGCATATGAAGTTAAGGTACAAGACAACGCATGGAATGATACTTGAATCGAACATTGTTTGGGTATGTCTTCAAACTGCGGAAGCCAAAAACAGCACCGGCCTTTTTAAAGCAGACCATGATCAGCTTGAAGTGGAGAATCGGTAATATGTCGTTTGTTTATGTTTGAGGTTCTCAACATCAATCATCATGTTTGGTTGGCCTGGATGATCCTCCATCCCAGTACCCAAGGTACAAAAGCGCTACGCTACCAGGGCGCGGGGAGGCGCCAAAGCCATAAGCAAAGGCCCGTCGCATGGCTGAAGGATATGCTGGAGCCACGTGCGGCTCTGCATCCTGGACGAGGCCAACAAAAAAACAGTTTCTGTGGGGAGTTCGGCATGAGTTGACCGCAATCATCTACGGGAACATTGTCACAATCCTTGGGAAAATCATGGAAAATCATCGAATTCTATTGGGACAAAATAAATCATCAAATTCTATTGGAAAATCATGAAATTCTATGGGAAAATCTATGGGAAAATCAGTGTTTTGCGGCTGCATTTTCTTGACAAGTTCAGATGTTTCAGGTAGACTGTCGTAGAGATTTGGGTCTAAAACCTGTTCCAAACAAACGCAATGCTTTCTGACCCTTCTTATGAATCATAAATATCCAAAGGTCACTTTTACTGCTTCAAGAAGCAGATTTCTACAATGTGAGGCCCCCAGTTATAAGTTGGTTTATAAGCCCCAGTAACTATAGTTATAAGTACCATAAACCATAGTTATTGGAGTTATAAACCAACTTAGCTATCTTGGGGGCCTCACATTGTACCATTTGGCTTGATTTAGTGTGGAACTTTCCACCGTCCATGGCAAACTCCAGATGCCCTGCCTTAAACAGTTCTTTTTGGCCTCGTATCAACATATTTTTTCAAATGATCCTGAATCAAAAAACATGTTTTTCCCTTCACAAAGCATTCACTTCACATCTTCCCCTTTGCAAAGAAAAATGCCATGTGGGCCCCGCCCTGGCCCTGGCCCGCCCGTTGGCGCCCCATAGGGTCACCTTGGCTCCGTAGCCCTTGGTTGGCGGTTCCACGTTCAGAAACGAGTCCAATGCCTGGGAGAGGGCGTTTCCTCAATGGGGGGGTATTAAAATACCATATATATATATATTAACAATATAACATATACAATATATAATTATGATATATAATATATGATAATATATATATATAATATAATATATAATGTATATATAATAATAAAATATATGTATATTATATATTATTAATCATCCAAAAAAAAATGTTTGGTTATTTGAAGATATATTTAAGTAGTGAAAACATATTTCCCCACCTGCCAGGTGAGGGTTGTTAGATTTTATCTAAGTTGCCTGGTCCTCCTCCTCCTCCTCCTGCCGCCTCCTCCTCCTCTCCTCCTCCTCTCGTTGTCCTCCTCGTCCTCCTGCTCAACTGCGACTCGCGATCCACAGTGTTCGCTGTCGGACCTCAACCACGACCATCCACGCCCAGTGTTCCCTGCCGGACCTCCACCACGACCATCCACGCCCAGTGTTCCCTGCCGGACCTCAACCACGACCATCCCCGCCCAGTGTTCCCTGCCGGACCTCAACCACGACCATCCACGCCCAGTGTTACCTGCCGGACCTCAACCGCGAGTATCCCCGCCCAGTGTTCCCTGCCGGACCTCAACCACGACCATCCACGCCCAGTGTTCCCTACCGGACCTCAACCGCGAGTATCCACGCCAAAAGATATGCCACATAGAGTGCCAGAAGATATGCCAGATAGAATGCCAGAAGGTATGCCAGATAGAATGCCAGAAGGTATGCCAGATAGAATGCCAGATAGAATGTCAGCTAGAATGCCAGAAGATATGCCAGATAAAGTGCCAGAATGTTTGCCAGATAGAATGCCAGCAGATTTGCCAGATAATATGCCAGAAGATATGCCAGGTAATATGCCAGAAGATATGCCAGATAGAATGCCAGATGGAATGCCAGAAGATATGCCAGAACATATGCCAGAAGATATGCCAGAAGACATGCCAGAACATATGCCAGAAGATATGCCAGAAGATATGCCAGAACATCTGCCAGAAGATATGCCAGAACATCTGCCAGAAGATATGCCAGGTAGAATGCCAGAAGATATGCCAGATAGAATGCCAGATCGAATGCCAGAAAATATGTCAGATAGAATGCCAGAAGATTTGCCAGTAACAAAATGTATAAATGTCATGGTGGGGATCACACGAAGTAAAGTATTTTTTTTAACCCATGGATACTTGGGGATCCTCCATTAAAGCTCCCGTTTGATGGAATACCTATGGAATATGAATTATATACCTGCTGGTGCGTTTTACGTAGGGAATGAATGGGTTGCTGGGGGTTGCTGGGATTATGAGTTTGATAGTTAGCGGCTAACTAAGCACTAACTGTTAGCCAGTGGATCATGCCCGAAAATTCCCTAAGCACAAGTACAATGTGAGGCCCCCCAGTGATGTTTGTTGGTTTAGATTCGCCCCAGTAACAAGTTCGTTATTTGCGTACCATAAACCATAGTGACATTGGAGTTATGTGAACCCCAACTGAACGCTATCGTGGCCGGGGGCCTCACATTGATAACTAGCCAGATTGATACCCTTTCATCAAAATTACTTTACTTCGTGTGATCCCCACCATGACATTTATACATTTTGTTACTGGCAAATCTTCTGGCATTCTATCTGACATATTTTCTGGCATGCGATCTGGCATTCTATCTGGCATATCTTCTGGCATTCTACCTGCCATATCTTCTGGCAGATGTTCTGGCATATCTTCTGGCAGATGTTCTGGCATATCTTCTGGCATATCTTCTGGCATTCCATCTGGCATTCTATCTGGCATATCTTATGGCATATTATCTGGCAAATCTTCTGGCATTCCATCTGGCATTCTATCTAGCATATCTTCTGGCATATTATCTGGCAAATCTGCTGGCATTCTATCTGGCAAACATTCTGGCACTTTATCTGGCATATCTTCTGGCATTCTAGCTGACATTCTATCCTGCATTCTATCTGGCATACCTTCTGGCATTCTATCTGGCATATCTTCTAACATTCTATCTGGCATATCTTCTGGCACTCTATGTGGCATATCTTTTGGCGTGGATACTCGCGGTTGAGGTCCGGCAGGGAACACTGGGCGTGGATGGTCGTGGTTGAGGTCCGGCAGGGAACACTGGGCGTGGCTGGTCGTGGTTGAGGTCCGGCAGGGAACACTGGGCGTGGATGGTCGTGGTTGAGGTCCGGCAGGGAACACTGGGCGTGGATGGTCGTGGTTGAGGTCCGGCATGAGGTCCGGCAGGGAACACTGGGCGTGGATGGTCGTGGTTGAGGTCCGGCAGGGAACACTGGGCGTGGATGGTCGTGGTTGAGGTCCGGCAGGGAACACTGGGCGTGGATGGTCGTGGTTGAGGTCCGACAGAGAACACTGTGGATCGCGAGTCGCAGTTGAGCAGGAGGACGAGGAGGACAACGAGAGGAGGAGGACAACGAGAGGAGGAGGAGAGGAGGAGGAGGAGGAGGAGGAGGACCAGGCAACTTAGATAAAATCTAACAACCCTCACCTGGCAGGTGGGGAAAAACATAAAATTTATGGGCATCAAAGATCATCCCCATATGGTGGATTTTCCAGCCATGGGCCATGCTGGGCTTGATTGCCAGAGGATAAAAACTAGGATTCCAGCCATCCCGAGTCGTTGCGGATCTCTCAAGCATAAAACTGACATCTTTTCCCAAGACAGTAAACATCATAAATATATCTGGTGAGGTTCTTTGAGGTATCAAGTATTCTTGCTTTTTTACCGATGGATAGTGGATAACACCAGTTTTTATCATCTTTGCCACGATATATACCTTTGGACCATAGACTAGTGAATGCGATTTACAGTACTCCCCACCAAAGTTAGGGGCTATCATAAGTTCCAATACGCCAGAGATCAGCTAATAGCTATACATATGTATATATATATTAGTGTTGTCACTGGCCACTGTGATTTACAGGCTTTGTGTACAATTTGCCCTTTAAAGAACCCAAAAGACGTTGGTTGACAAATAGTCACTGTTTTTGCCACAATGCGGTAAGCCCCATAAAAAAGCCCGATCTTCGGTAAGTTTTACCCAAATGATAAACCTGGGTTCGAATGAGGGATGGTTTAGGTTTTCCTGCTTCAATTGAAGCATAAGTGGTCACAATTATAGCTATCAAGGACATCAACTATGCGGGTTCTATGGACCCCATATCCCAACTAGAGGTAAATTTACCACGGTATCCCCAATAGCAGTTATCATATACCTGCAATCGGTTGGAGCAACCCTGACTATGATGGGTTAGAATGGGTTTGGGCCCCCCACAAACACAAACGAATGGGTTAATCAGAAATCACCAAACACCTTGCTATAGTATAACTCCCAATCACCAACCTTCTGAAGCATCAATCAGGCAACAATCAAGCATCATTTACCCTCTGGTAAACTAACAGTTTGTGAACTGGAACATCACTATCGTTTCATAGGTAAATCAACTATTTCGACTGGGCCATTTTCTATAGCTACTGTGGATGGGCCAGCGAAATCCGAATCACCAGTTGATAGATGGTACACATCCCATTATTTATAGGGTTTCAACATGTTTCAACCATCCAAAATTGGTGGTGAATCGGATTTCGCAACCTTCCATCCGCGTGGTATGTGAGTAACTTTTCTTCGAAAGTCGATTCGGTTTTTATGGCTCGTTTAACTATAGTAACTATAGCTATTTCATAAGTAAATCAATTCGGTTGGTAATGATTATCAGTTAACTAGTATTATCTTATAGCTATTATCAAAAAAACTGGTAAATTATGATTAACCCTGATGATCATATAGCTATTTTCCATAGGTAAATTACCAGAGGGTATCATTTTTGATCCCCTGGATCTTCCAGCCTCGAGATCCTGGCGCCCACCCAAGCACTTGGGGATGTCCGTGGGGCTTGTGTCGCCTTCCCTGAGCATCACTGCGACCTTGCAGTGAGGAGGGGGGTATACCATACATGTATGTGTATATATATATATATCATATAATATATATATATAATATATATATATACAACATAACATAACTATATGAGATAAATAACACAATGTATATACTGTAAATCTGTAAATCAATAGTATATAACACATATATATAGCTCAGTATAATATATATATAATTATATAACAATTCATAACTGACGATATTATATTATCTTTACAAATAATATCGTATGGACGTTGCTATATGATCACTCTGTAGAATCAAATATCTATTTGGTATTTCATATATCTACATCGTAGCGACGATGATAGGAAGTTCTTGAGATTGAGACAATTTTGTTAGGGTATCTAAGTATTCCAAGTATCTCATCCTCCTCAAGTCTAGTTGACCAAGTTTCTTAACCATCCAATGTCCGCAATGTCCAAGTTTAACCCATACGAGTACCAAACAAACAACATGCCAATAAGACTGGGTGTGTGATATGCAAACAATGGGAGAGAACCGGGATTTAACTTAATCAGCACAAAAATCTAGTACAACGCAACAAAGGCAAAGTAACACGCAACAAAACCATGGATTACTTGCATCTATATACATAAATACACATGGATACATGATGAAAGGTGGGGAAAACCAACTCAAGAATGGTAAGTCCGGGACTTCCTGTAATTCTTCCCACATGAGGTGGGTGAACCACTACATAATGTACATAGCCCAGTGGTCCCAAGCCATCTATGGTGCCAACAGAATGCTTTGTGGGATCGCGCTGCCAGCATGTATGTATAAGTCCTTGCAAATCGGTAGAAATCATGAAGTCTGAAATGAACTTATTTTGGAACTGCCTAGTTACAAAACTATTTGGACTTTTCGCCAAAACAAATTCTTGACAAATGGTGTTTCCTAGGTCAGCAGCAGGTCTGCCTTACATGTGCGCATGCCCAGAAAAACACAATCACTTTTGGAGAATATGTCCCAGGATATCCTCCCGTAATTTAGCAGTTTGCTATGGAAAAGGATCCCTTTATATTCAGACCCGAAGAAACATGTTGATTTTCTTTAGCAAACTGTTCAATTACCAGTGTCTCCATGTATCTTGCCCTGGTCTCATGCTGGGAAGGTGGCACTTCACCTGGTTAGTGGTTTCAGCCCCTCTAAAAAATATTAGTCAATGGGAAGGATTACTCCATATATTATGGAAAATAAAAGCCATGCTTGAAACCACCAACCAGTCACATTCATCTCATTGCAGAGGTGCAAGTTCAGCCACATCGGCACCCAGAGAATGGCCAGTACAAACCAGGCGATACCTCCAGCGACTTCCACAGAGGGCAGGGTGGCGGAAATCCTTACTGAGGTGGATAGTTTTGGTGGTCTGTGGGGAAGGCTATGTCCAATATATATATATAGAACTATATTATATATATATATATCTTACATCATGTGTATATATATATATATACATACATATTTTTTTTTATATTATATTATATTAAATTAAATTAAATTTTATCATATTTATATTATATTATATTATATTATAATTATATTAAATATAATATATTATATTATATTATGTTATATTATATTATATTATATTTATATTATATTATATATATATTGTACATGTATATATCATTACAGTGTTCGGTTTTGATCCTTTATCCACCGGTCACTTGCCCAGTTGAAAGCCACCCTCGCTTTCGCGTTTAACGCAACTTGGACACTCATCTCGCTCAGCAAGAGCTTCAGCCATGCACTGCCCGGCCGTGGTCAAAATCCACCTGCCACAGGACCGAACTCACGGCAGAGTCCAATGTGAGGCCCCCGGCCACGATAGCGTTCAGTTGGGGTTCACATAACTCCAATAACTACAGATATGGCCATTTACCAGTTATAACTGGTTATAAATGGGATCATACATTCTATAGATGGGGTTATAAGTACTTATAACTAATAAATGGCCATAACTGTATGGTTTATGGTACTTATAACGAACTAGTTATACTGGGGCGAATCTAAACCAACAAACATCACTGGGGGGCCTCACATTGTATCCAATGCGGACTCTTAAGTGAAGGGCCACGGGAGCCAAATAAATGCATATGCAGTGTCTATCCAAAGATGAACAACAATCCATCTTCGTAATGCTTAATAATTCAGTGATATAGTTGGAATAAGCAGCAATCGAAAATAATTACCGGACCTACTGTATCCGTTCATAATTGGTTGGTACCACATTTTGGAGGCTTAAGGCGGATTTTGGAAGGTTTTTTTTTGCTTGTCGCTTGTAGGAATCCCCAGCAGAATGGGTTTTAAACCATCCATCAATTCCATCCCTTCAGTTGTATCATACAGTTATGGCCATTTATTAGTTATAAGTACTTATAACCCCATTTATAGAATGTATAATCCCATTTAAAACCAGTTATAACTGGTAAATGGCCATAACTGTGGCAATTGATCACAATTTACCGAACTGAAATAAGGCATAAGGAAATACTTCGCAGATGTAAATCATCATTCCAGGCTTCGGTCGCGGATCTTAGTGAGTCAGTTATAAATGGCTGAAATAGGTATCGGGGTATCCCAACAATTAGATGGTGAATACTGAAAATTGACTCAAACCTGAGGCCAGGTGTGAAAATGTTGACCCATACTTAAGGAACAGTGACTATGGTGTCAACCACATACACCTTGGACGCACATTCAAATGTAATATGTTATCACAATACCAATCTAAATGGCAAACAGTCCGGAACCATCCTCTGCATATTCATATTTTCTCTGCAATTTCAGGGTCTATACATTGGACATGTATATCACATCATAGAATAGCATATCATATCATGTTTACATACGTATACACACATAAATATACATCATATACATCTTTGTAAACCAATATATCCTAGTACATACAATCATATGCATATACATCGTATACAATCATCTACAATCTTACATGCATCATTTTTCTACATTCATATACATCATATATAAAAAACATCTTCCCATCACCATCTTCTACCCCAAGAAGGGCGCACGGGGGGCCCACGGGGTCCACCTGGCAGCCCGTGCCATGCCGCTGTGCGCCAGGCCGCCCGCCAGCAAGCTCTCCTCGGCCGCCACGTCCGTGAGCACCGAGGACCACTCGCAGCTGCCGCGCACCGAGAGGACCAGCCTCCGCCATAGGTGAAATGATGACAACGTGGGATGAAATCATGGCCCAATTTGGCATTTTTTTCATGGGTTTATATAGGTTTATAATGATAGAAATATGATATATAACCTTAGTATACCTTAGTTCTGGGGGTGATATTTCCATTTACAACTGTTAATGGCCATGACTGTGGGATTTTTCATGGGGATTTTCATGTGACTAGACTTTTCATGTGTTTTTTGTCTTTTTTTGAGTGGGATGTGGTGGATGAGTGCCCCCATAGCTAAGTTGGTGAACATAACTAGGTTAACTATGGTTTATAGATATGATATTTATAGTAGATATATCTATACTATCTTAAGATTACTTGATGGGATTTATACGTCAACAAACAAAACTGGGGGGCACCACATTTTTCTTGGGACCCCCAACGATATCAATGATGGTACTGCTATGCCCATACGCTTCCCATACAGAAGAGGGGTTTCTTCTGGGACTGAGAGGCTTATGGCAAGAGGAGTACCATGGCAAGGGGGTCCCTAAGAATTCCACCAAAATTAGATGAGGTAAGTTGATAGGCTTTTCCCTCATCGATTTTTTCTTTATCCCCTACATATCTAGCATAGTATAATCCCCAAATCATCATCAATCAGCAGTAGGGAAGCCATGGCTAATAGCTAGAAAAATACCTGGTGATTTCTCAACGATTTTTATTAGGGTGATTTTCCAGGAAGCCACGTTTGAAGTACCAGGATATATGGGAAGATATGATATACCCTCCGGTAAACATACAAAAAACTATTGAACATGGCCAATGGTCATAGAAATAGTGGGTTTACCTATTGAAAATGGTGGATCTTTCCACAGTTACGTTAACGTTTACCAGAGGGTACTGTTCATGGTTACCCCACTGAGGCTTATGAGAAAAGTGCAGCCCCACGGTCGAAAAAGAAAGTCACTTGCCATTTGGCAACTGCGCTTGCCCCTAGAAGTGCTGCTTTGAGCTGTTTTCCGACAAGAAGTGGCCAGCAAGAAAGGGTAAAAACACATAAAACCATGCAAACACGCGTTAACAAAAACTAACTAAAAGGACATAGGGACACACTATCTAATTCAAGCGGTTTCTTTAGAATCCACAAACATCAATGGCGACCCACTGTTCTCCCAGCTCTGCCCAGTAGCCAACGCATTCGGTGGACCCAAAAGACCACATAGGCAGGTTCAAACGGCTTCTCAGTCCTGAGAGGAGACCCTCAGGGTGAATTGAAGGGAATTCGGACGATCATCCGCAATACAAATGGTACCCTCTGGTAAACTAACAGTTTGCTATTGAAAATGGCTATAGTGGATTTACCCGTTGAAAATGGTGACTTTCCATAGCTATGTTAGTCATTCATTACCAGAGGCTAGTCTAAACTCCAAACGAATCAATGGCATTTTTCCAGTCTCGAGGAGAAAGAGTTGGACCGAGCAACTTCTGTGAACACAGCCTAGCCATTCAACCAAGACATACCAATACATACCAATACACTGTATCAACATGAATGATTTCTGAGCAGCTACCCACAACTACCCAAAACATCCCAAGACACAGAAGACTTGGGAGATCATCTCACGGTCGTAAGAGGTTCATAACCACTGAATTTGGTTCGTGGATGAATGGCTTCGAACTAGGTATAACTGGTATGACTTATAACAGGCCAGATAGGAACCACTGAATTTGGATAAATGTGGTCATGTTTAGGGCTTTAGTCGTCCTTGGTTTTGAGTGCCCAAGTGCTTCGCGTCACAGTCAAGGGACCGGCTTTATTTCAGTCAGTTCATGGCTGTTTCAGCCATCCCATTGGTTGAACTATCCCAATTTCCATGGTCATTAATGCCTCTTTTTGCGGTATTTAAAAAAAACTCAAAAAGAGGAAACAAATCAGAGCGCTACTAAATTTTAGTGCAGAATCGAAATGATGTGACCTTGTCACCATTTTGGTGGGGCTTACTATACCCAGCTGGCACCCATAACCCATCACAAGGCTCCAATGTGCCATGACAATATCTTCACGTTTGGCACCGGTGAGCTCAACGAAAGCCTGGAGATTTATGGGATATGCGGGAGCCACGTACAGTAAGTGAATGCAAGTGATCTATAATATATACATATATAATGTTGGCCAACATAAAATGTATTATATAATATATATATATATAATATTATCATATATATATATATTAATGTGTATGTGTATATATATATATATATTAACGTGCATGTATATATATATATATATACTGTATGCATATTATAGGAAATATATTATATATATATATATACATATTATAGGATATATAATATAGATATATAGGTATATATAGATATATAGGTATATATATATATATATTATATATATATATTATCAAACCCTGGTACCTGAATGGTACCCTAAGGCATAGCTCGTTAATGGATGGTTCTTCACCCAGTTATTTGGTAATTTCATAGCTTTTGACCATTTTGATCCATCCGGCAACTCCTCGGGAGGCACCTGATGTATCGATGAATCTAGGGATTCCATGCAATCTGGCTTGTTTGTTACGTAATGAGATGTAGGTCCTCGAATTCTCGAACGAATTCTGTGCTCTTTTTCAGACATCTCGGCAAGTCGTCCATGGCTTTTTTATGACCCCCAAGATCTGGGCCTTGGCCACGATTTGAATGGTCGAACTGCGGATGGAAAATTAAAAACACAGTTGAAATGCTTTGCTGAACAAAACTTCATCATTCTGAAATGGTTCCAACCTCCTCAAAAACATAGATCTTCACAGCCCATTCCCATGCCAATCCTCCCACTTTTTGGATTCAACAATAACTAATAGTGGTGATTTCAGCCCTAGCACCTTTGAATATGGCGCCCCAAACAAATTGTGGCCCTGTATCATGATAATACTCACTTCTAAGTATCATGATAATACGGTGGATGGAAGAAATCCTGCACCAGTTGATAGGTGGTTTATCCCATTATTCATAGGGTTTCAACCATCCGTTAGGTGATGCAGGATATCTTCCATCCACAGTATGTCTAAACGTTGCCAAAGATATCTGGTTGGTGGTGCAATAACCATCTTAAAAAAATGAGTTCGTCAATGGGTTTGGGATGACATCCCATATATAAAATGGAAAAAAGTACGCAAACCATGTTTGAAACCACCATCCAGATCTCATGCGATCTCCGCCTCCGTGTGGTCTTCATCCTTGAAGTTCCCGGCATAGGACTTCGCCGCTTGACCCAGGAAACCACTCACACGATCGCCTGCTCCCTGCTGCCGCTGCCGGTAACGGAAATCGTGACATCATGGAGTTTTTGGCCATCGAAGATGTAACGAAAGTGGTGAACACATGTGCAAAATTGGATTGGTTTAAGGGAAAATCTACAGGAAACCATGGTTTTTACCATTAAATATGGGGTTTCCTGTAAATTTTACTGTAAACCAACCCAATGAATGTTTTTTTTCCCAACATGTTGGGATTTTTCTTCTGAAAAATGATAGAGTTCGTCAGTTGGGATGATCACCTTCCCAATATATGGAAAGTCATAAAATTCATGTTCCAAACCACCAATCAGTAGTTGATTTACCCATTCAAAAATGCTGGATCTTTCCATATAAATCACCATTTTCCCATGGTTTTCCCTATTTTCCCTATGTTGTTTTTTCAGCATGGTTTGAAGAACTTTGAAGAAGAGCCCTGGTTGAACCACTCCGAAGCTTGGTCGGATTCAGTGGCTTTTGGCGAGGGATTGCCTCAATGCCGCGAGCCATCCCGGAAGTTCCCCCGTATCTGGATGGCTGAGCCAGCCCATGAAGAATATGCCAACTGTGGTTGAAACATGTTGCTTGAAACTAAGGCTTTATCATAGTGTGTCCCATTCAAAATCGCCTTTTTGGCATATCTGTGTATAAACTAATATATAATATAATATAATATAATAAAATATAATATAATAAAATAATATAATACAATATAATATAATATAAAATAATATAATATGATAATATAATATAATATATATAATATATATGTATATAATTGTATATATACGTATATTAATTATAGAAATCCATGATTTTTGAATAAACCATGACAAACCCAGCTGCCTTTTGCATGAGAGCACCATAGGCCGCTCGGGCGAACACCGCACAAAGGGCAGCCCGTGGCAGAAAGCCCTCGGCAGGGCTCCCCAGAAATTCTCTGGATTTTCCCACTAGGAAACGTAAAAAAACATGCAAAACACATCAGCAAATCCACGGATCGGTGGGTTGATCATCAACGAGTTTTCGGCGAGTTCCCCCAATTTAAGGGTGGAAATCTACAGACTAACATCCAACTATATGATGGCAATATTGGTTCACTTTGCATGCTAAAACAACGGTAAAGCCCAGCAAAATCAAGGGCCAAAACATCGTTTCATCCGAGGATCTGGATATCAACGTCGTTTCAAATCATAAAAATCAAGGTATAAACCTTAAATACGGTACCCCTCTGGTAAACGTTTACATAGCTATGGACAATCCCCACTTTTCACAGATAAATCTACTATTTCTATGGTCATTTTCAATAGCTATGTTAAATTACCAGTAGGTGGTTGCGAAATCCTGCACCACCTAACGGATGATTGAAAGCCAATAAATACTGGGATAAACATGGAATTTACCACCGTTTTCAACTGGTGATTCAGATTTCGCTGGCCCGTACACAGTATCATACATGCATTGGATTACAATGATGGCTTCAGTTGAAAGATCTGGCTGCAGACAAAAAACCTCCTCATCGATTCGCTCGGAAGCGCCCTGCAATCTGACCATGACTGTTGGGACTTGAAACTCATTGAAAGCCATGGTGACGACTCTGACGACTGGGGATCCCCCATCTTAGGAAACCATCTTAGGAAACCTCCATATACTTTGGATAATGGTCATGAAATGAACCAATCGTGGAGCAGCTTTCTCGGGTTTTTCCGGTTTCTCAAAGCCCGGCCCTTTTGGAAGAAACACTTTGCAGCACGGCGTTGAATTTCACTGAACATCACCCCGCCAATGCTTGGAGAAAGTATCTCCAAAAACCATCTGAAGGTGACCGTTGAAAACCCTAGACGCCTTGCACATCAAAAATTTTGGAAAATTGGATCGATTCAATTCAGCAACCTGACTCCAGGCAATTCTCCCCAGAACGTTGAACATCCCAGACGTTCCATCATTGCAGGCATCAGTTGAAGTCAGTGTTTTATTCTCTCCTGATTCAATGTTAATAATTTTCAATTTATATCTTCATCTTGGTTATATCTTCATCTTGGTCCATCTTTGGTTCAATTCCATCACTATCATTTTGATAAGCTAACATTTGGTTGTGATATAATGGGATGATCACCAACATTGCCATCATTACCACCTCTCCATTCCGCTTCCCCCTCTCCACCGGCCTCGACTGCCCGCCCCAGCGCCACCGCGTAGTCAGGATCGATCACTTCAAAGGCAGAGAGGTAGTCCTCATATCGCCTGCCGTGAGTTCAGTGGCTATCTGATGGTGATTTATATGGTGTATATGGTTTATATGGTGATTTATATGATGTATATGGTGTATATGGTGATTGATATGGTGATTGATATGGTGATTGATATGGTGATTGATAATGGTGATTGATATGGTGATTGATATGGTGATTGATATGGTGATTGATATGGTGATTGATATGGTGTATATGGTGATTGATATGGTGTATATAGTGTATATGGTGTATATGGTGTATATGGTGTATATGGTGTATATGGTGTATATGGTGTATATGGTGTATATGGTGTATATGGTGTATATGCTGATTTATATGGTGATTTATATGGTGACTTAGGTAGTGCAGATATGAACATATCTCAACGATCCGGTCTACTTTCGGAGGGAGGTTACTTCTATGGCTATGACCATGGGATTCCGATCCCCATCAGCTGGAAGATAATCCTGGAAAAAACAACTTATTATAACTATGGTATACTATGGTTATTGGCATATTCACTTGCATACTACATATATATATATATATGTACAATATGTCTATTGTAAAACTGGTATCACAAATTCTATGGCTACAATGATGATGATTTATGGTGATATTCTGACCACGATAGAGGATTTATGGATCATTGGTGGGGGCGTACTGCCCCAAAAAGTTGGCTCAGTTCCTGAACATAGCTAACATCTTGTAGGATTCACATTTCTATGGCTTCAGGTGCACGTATGTTTTCCAAAGATTCAAAATCTAAGACTCAATCGTGGACCCAGTAGAAGTCAATGAACAACCATGCAGGAAGCATTCAACTCTCCCCCTTTCCATGCCTTTGGTGCTCAGGGTATAACCTGAAGGGCAAACTCGGATCTGACATAATGCTGAAAATGTCACCTCAGTCATCCAGGTCACAATGAAACCCTTGGAGATCCCAATGATCGGAGCTTGTGAGCCGATCACATTGTCCACCCAGCAGCGGATCCAACGACTGGTTTTTAAAGTCTCCAAGGACTGGTCTTTGGAAGAATCGTTGCTGTGGAATTCAATGGCTTGTTTTTTTGGGCTTAAAGCCAAGCCGACCATTGAAATGGACACTAAGAAAGACACTATTAATGGATAATGACAGGCTTCTCAGGACCACATTCCCAGCTGCCAAGACTTGGAAACTCGCAAGACTAACCCATGGCCAATGCACAGCCTCATTTCTTTATCGAATGTGTATTTTTGTCACAAATCCAAGATTGGTGCCCACCATTCATCTATGAATGGTACTCTATATGTATATATATATACACATACAATACACGCACACATATATATATATACACACTATTACTATAGATAGTTACATCTACAGTTCTACTATAACTTGGCTGCTATATCACTATATATAATCTATACAGGACAGGTTCATCCGTTTTCACCAACGCATCCCAGACTGACGGCAAGAAACTCTTGGAGCGTTTCCCCAAGTGGGTAAACAACAAGCTGCGCAGCATTTCCAGCGCCTGAGATTGGCTCCACTGGGTGATTCTCATGTGCCTATGTGCAAGAGAGTATCTATAATGTGTATATATATATATATATTAAATATATATATACACATACCAAAACATGTTAATCAAACATGTATACATTTATAGATCGTATGGCCACATATATGATATATATATATATGCAATATATATATATATATATATGCTATATATATATATATATACGGCAAATGCCTGGGCTTTGCCGGACCCGTAATGACGACAGGCGACGCATCATCATCATCATCATCATCATCATTTGAAGATCAGAAGTTTAACGAGGGTGGGAGAATTAAACCCTTATTGAAGATCTTCAATGAATGTAGAAGTTTGACCCGGGTGGGAGAATTAAACCCTTATTGAAGATCCTCAATGATGGTAGAAGTTTAACGGGGGAAGAATTAAACCCTTATTGAAGATCCTCAATGATGGTAGAAGTTTAACGGGGGGGATGATTATATAAACCCTTATTGAAGATCTTCAATTAATGTAGAAGTTTAGCGGGGGTGGGAGAATTAAACCCTTGTTGAAGATCTTCAATGAATGTAGAAGTTTAACGAGGGCGGGGGAATTAAACCCTTATTGAAGATATCCAACGCATGTAAAGTTTAACTGGGGTGGGACTTTAATATTCCCTAATACCTTTGTTGATCTTCCCAATCGAATGTAAAGTTTAACGGGGGTGGGGGTTCAATATTCTGTAGTACCTTTGTTGTTTTTCCCAAAGGAATTTAAGGTTTAACGGGGGTGGGGGTTTAATATTCCCTAGTACCTTTGTTGTTTTTCCTGTAGGAATTTTGTGAAGTTGCATCAACATTTCTTTGGGAATGGGAAACCTCTACGCTGCAACACCTGGGCAAAGCCCAGGTGTTGCGCGTATATGCAATATAGATATATGCAATATATATATATATATATTCAATAATCTATATGTATATATATATTAATATAGAATTGAATTAGTCTCCATATTTCAATGAGGAGCCATGAAATCTGCCAGAGGCCTGCAGCTTCGCTGCTTCGATCCCCGCGCCTCCGTGGACGAGGCCGAGTCGGAGTCTTCGCGGAGACGTTCCATGAGGGCGACGCGGCGACGACGTTCCGTGGCAGATGGCAAAGTTGGGACAAGCGACCCGTTCGGCGCAATGGGTTACTGGGTGGCTTGGCTGGGTGGCTTGGGAACTTTCCGGGAATCAATTTAGGTGGCTGGGACTTCAATGGCTTTTTTGAACAAAATAAGGGGGATAGAATGGGAGATTTTTGAACCAGGTCATCTGATTTGGGTCTGAAAATCATGTATTCCCACATAGTAATTAGCCAGTTTAACAGGAAACAACAATGATAGACAAATTGGATTTGGGGATACCCTATTCTCAGACAAACTCGTATTTCACAAGAAATTTCTTGTAAATGTACATTGTGTATTCTTAAAATAAGACATCAACAGGAAGTCTCTTACGTGTTCGATGTTTCAATGGAAAGAGGTCGAAACTCAAAACTATTTTGTACTAAGGACAGTCGGTTCACCTTGGCATACCTTGGCTTAAGGACTCTTGGTGATGTGTATCATGCGTGCGACACTTTGGCACTAGCGCTACTCAGAGTGCTGTGGCTTGGCAGCTTAAAATATCCTGCACAGTGAAGATCTAGCTGGTTCTGATGTGCAGATCCTCCACCGCGCCAAACATACGTAAACTAAAATATTCACAAGTATTTGATTCAGCACTGCTCGATTCTGAAATCTACTGCCATGACGCGAAACTTGGCTGCCTAAATATGGCCGCAGGAAAGCCACAGGAAGCCTCAACAAAACTCTTTGCTGTTGTTGAAAGAGACCCATATGGGTGGGGTGATTGGGCATGCCCAATTTCCAGCACCCATCCACCATAGCTGATCGACAAGTTCTCAGGCATTCAAAAACAAACAAAAACCATACAAAAACCATCAAACTTTGGCCTGCCCGGGTAATGACAACCCCGGATTAATAAACCATGGTTTATTGATTAGGGGGGTATTCCCTGAATAGTCATAATCTGACACTTAAATGGTACCCTCCCAATTGAACAGCCTAGGGGTTTATTAATCCAGGGTTGACATTACCCCGTTCTCAGATAAAGCCACGTACTGGATGCAATTTTTCGTCTTAATCAGCTTGACTGAGAAGCTACCAGACTTCCCCTCCTTCTCGTGCAACTTTTTGAGGTATTGCGCCACGTGCCCGATTCTGCCAGGGACGTGTTGCAAATATTGCAAATTCTATCGGGTGCCAATGCTACCCATCTACCCATCTCACTGGAAGTGGATTGGGTCCAATCAGGTTGGATAGTTCACAATCTCATGCCGCCAAACAACACATATAGCTGGATCACTGGATCAACTTCGCGCATGTAGAGTCTTTTTTGTTTTACTGGACAGCTGAGGTATGCTGAGGTGGCCTCAGAAAAATTAGAATGCACTAGAGCAAACCACTCATGCATTCTGCGTTGTTGGCTGGCTCTTGAACAAAATCCATTAAAGATCTCCAAACTTACCTGAAAACAACAATTTACTGCCATTTAACTGCTGATTTTACTCTCAAAAAACAAAAACACCATGGCCAATCTTACAAACCCTGCATTTGCTTATAACGCTCACTATAATATATGCATATAAAAAATACAATTATATACATACATATACAAATGTACAGAGAAGATGGTACAAACACGTTCACATGAATCTTAGATACCCCTGCAACAACAAAAATAGCGCCTTGGGTATACACATACAAACGTATTTACTGCCAAATCAAAACGTATTAATAAACTGTAGCGGTCCAAGATTTACCCCATGAGGTTGCGCTGAATGGAGAGATCTGGGATGAATCCTGGCCCTGTGAATACCGTATCCCCAATGAGGTGCAGGAATAGAGGTGGCGCAGAGACCCAGTGGAAAGATCAATTCCTGCCGAAAACGCAGGACAATTTACCATACTTCTTGGATAATCTGCGAACATCTAAGGTTGACTTGCCAGAATTTGACAATGTTACTCTTAAATTTCGCATGCAGCCATATATTATTTGCCCATTTACCCTCCAGTAAATTAACATAGACCTTGGCAGTTTTCGGGGTTGGAAGATTAGTGAAACCACTCAAAAATGATGATTTTCAGGGTCAACAAGTGAATTTACCAGAGAGTATATACTTACCCAAGATCCTTACAATGTGGTGCCCCAGTTCGTTAGCTAATTTGGCGAACATAACTTCAATGACTATGGTTTATGGTAGATATATCGAACTAGCATTCATGGGGTGAATCTAAACCAATAAACATATATAAACATAAGGTGTGGGGGCCCCACATTGTACTTTGTATAATTTATATATTCTATCTTTGCAGCCATACATCCCTCAAAAACTCGGCCTTTGGGCATCTAAATAGCGCTCCACCACATAGGATGGCTCCAAGGGTAAACCCAGCTCCACCGTCTTGCTGTAGATCTGAAGGGCCTTCGAACAGTCTTCCGATTTCACCGAAGTCACTGAAAAGTCAGGGGCTTTTGAAGTTGGGAGTTCAAAACCAATATAATATTATATAAAATTCATTGATTAATGTAACAATGTACTATACATAGGCTACATTAAGTTGGGAGTTGTACATGATATTCCTCTGTTGTGGAACCTCCAAGGAACAAACATTTTAATGGTCGGAGTTGGGATTTCGCCATCTCAAAAAATGCCATGATTTCGTCTCTAAATATGACGAACCCTAGTGGAGCTACTTGGTTTCAGAGCCGTGGAAACCGAAAGGGTAGATACCAAATCCTTACGTGGACCCCTGTGGCTGTGGAATTTTAGAGGGAAGTTAAGTGAAGTATGTTAAAGTTACTATTTGATTTATTTGAGAGGACTTCGGAACGACTAAAATCTGAAACATGATGAACACAACCAACGCCTAAAATGAATCAGCTCAACAGCGATATTCAGATGCTCTTAATGGCATCAATAGACATGGTGGTTACATACCTGTCAAATACCAGCAGCGAAAAACCAGGCAGTATCAGCAAACTGACTGGGCTGGAAGTTGTGAAGGTGCTCACCGACACAAAGGGGCTGCAACAAGGGGCTATGATTGGTGGTTATACCCTCTGGTAAACTAACATAGCTATAGAAAATCACCATTTTAATGGGAAAATCCACTATAAATGGCCATTTTCAATAGCTATGTTAGGTTACCAGAGAGTAATCCAATCCCCATAAGTTGGAATATAACCCCCAAAATATAGCCGATAGTGTCAACCCTATAAATTAATAAACCCCAAACGGTTGTTGAAAAAAGGGGGAATACCGCGGAATACCATACTTTTTCTATCAGATGAAATGACTATTTGAGGAGAACCCCTCTAATTTCCATAAACGATGGTTGAGTCTCATCCGGGGACATGGATCATTGATGTATGGATCCGGATGGTTGGGAAAAACGATCGCCTCGCCTGGTCATAGGCTCTCTTTTCAAAGAGCGCATCACCGTGTTGCCGATAGATCTCTGCTGTGACCTGACAATTGGTTTCGGTTTCGGGCAATTTTTGGATAGGTCTTGAAAAGTCAGGGAAATCTGCTTGATGGTTTTAACCCATCTCAAACATGTGCTTGTCATTTCAACCAATCATCCCAAGCATGGTTGAAACCAACGAAAACATGTTCGAAACCTCCAAGCGGTAATGTACTGATCCAATAAGAGAGTCGTTCAAGCTGAGGTAGAGGAACAGGAAGTATATTCCCAGCTCAGACCTAAATCTAGGACCGCACATGATGGAGGTGGCTCCAGATGTGCAGGTGTATTTGTACACAATATATAGAGATATAATGGAGGTTGCCGTATATAAAAATCTAACATGATCCAACAATATGGATGCCGTTTTGTCATGGGGCTACCCCTGCTTCTCATCCATTTCATCTTCTGATTTTCCATGTAAACCCTCCAGCTATTGCACGGTAGCCCCATGGGCCCCATGGCTCAGGACACACCCCTACTATGATCTCACCTGTGATCAATCCCTGGCCCCCTAACAGATGGTAAAATTTGGGCTTAAGACCAACTTTCAGCCGGGTCTTATCCGTAAAATCACAATTTTTTCTTGCTGGTAAATTCCGAATCACCAGTACACTTAGTTGGTTTACCCATGTTTACACATTATATATATATGAATGCATATGAATGCATTGCTATGAGAGAAAACATATAGGACACCTTACAGAAAGTCACCAGGGTTCCCGTAGATGTTCCCAAGTCCTGGATTTATCCTGTCTTTCTCAGTGGATCAAAAACCCACTTCCCAACCAATGGGTTATCATGTAAACTCCCAGTAACGAATCAACCATCATTTATCAGTTAATTCATATCATCTTCCCAGATTTCAGCGGCTTTTCCAGATGTCATCGTGGTTAAATCATGGCTAAATCATGCTTAAATCAGGTAAATCAGGTATATGAATCCCTACTGAATCAGCAATCAGCCAAGGTATTTGTCATGGCTCAGCCATGGGCTTCCAACAGCTTACCCCCTTCAAAACGCCGCGCCTCAGGAGCCGCTTTGGAGGTCAGCGCCACCTCTCGTCCGGGAAGTTCGGACATGAACAACCACCGTTGTTCAAGGATGGCCTTGTTTTAGCCTTGTTTTACCCTCTGGTAAACTAACGTAGCTATTGAAAATGGCCCAGTCGAAATAGTTGATTTACCCATTGAACATGGTGATTTTCCATAGTTTTGCGTATGTTTACCAGAGGGTAACATGTTTTAACAAACCAAAATCTGATGAACAAAAACGCCAAACATAGAAGAACATCATCAACATTATACGGATCATTAAGAAAATAAGTAACAGTATGAAGGATTTTTTGTTGAGTTGATTGAAGTTCACTGTCAATGGTGAAGTGTCCACTTCAATACTTCTTCACCATCCAATTTTTCGGCGTGCATGCTGACCCACAGCGACATATCCGCATGTAGCATCCCGTTGTCTTGGCAAACATATCCACATGGGAAACGTTTCCTAAAATGGGATGCCTCCAAATCCTTCAAATGAGACATGACTTAGTATCCCAAGCGATGGTGACTGGGAATCCCCCATTCTCAGAAATTTCAAGCCCTACTTAGAGGGTAAAACCCTGGTTCCTGCCCTACTTGTGTGGAAAAAACTGGCAAAAACCCAAGTGCTTGTGTATGCTTGTGTATCAGTCTCGCATGTTGGCACCTGCAAGCGGTTTCATTTCTGGGGGCTAGTAGCAAAAAAGTGGATTGACAGGAGCACCAACCAATGCTTGAAATGACGAGCCACATCACCAGGCCATGAAAGTATGGATCATTTTTTCATATGTTCACATATTGTTTCCTTCACCCATGATTAGTCATTTCTGGATCCATATATTCCATTCTTTGTCTCCCAAGTGTTCAATCTCCACCTCTGCGGCCCATTCGAACATCCTCTTCTTCACCAAAACATCCTGGAAAACATGGAGGGTGTGAAAAATCTGGGAGCTGAATCAGACCTCCTTTGGAAGTCACAGCATGTTGAACTAGAATCTAGAAGTAGCTACAAGGTTGTGCCCCCGAAGTTGTAAGTTGGTTTATAACCTCCTTTAATAACTAGAGATATAACTACCATAAACCATAGTTATTAGAGTATTAAACCAACTTAGCTAATTATGGGGCACCACATTGTAGCTACTAAGAATTGGGCTGATTCGGGATGAACAGCACTTGTTGAATCGTGCAATTTCAGGCTTAACAAAAACGGTCGTGTATGGTGAGCTCATCCAAATGAATCCTCCATTTGCCCTCGGAATTCACATGAGAACCCAAGATAGTTTCGAACATCTACCAAAATCCGCAGTTCATGATTCTTCGAAAGTCTGGATGTACGCTCTGGCCTTCAAGGAAGGTAGACAATCCCCATTCAAGAAGTAAGTGAACCATCAAAGTAGGCTTTTCTGCTGAGAAGGTGCATTACCAAAACGAGACTATCCATATTTATAGATGATTTTCCCACTAAAACCTGCATTGATAGGGGATTTCCGAGCGAGCAGCTATACCAAGCGCCCAAGATCCAGCACTGAGCACCCAGACCAAGCGTTCCGTCAAGGGCTTCTCTCGTAGTTCGAACAGGACCTCAATAGTTCAGCCACGAACATAGACCTAGCAACTAGCAACCAAAATTACTTTACTTCGTGTGATCCCCACCATGACATTTATACATTTTCTTACTGGCAAATCTTCTGGCATTCTATCTGACATATCTTCTGACATTCTATTTGACATTCTATCTGGCATATCTTCTGGCATATGATCTGGCATATCTTCTGGCATATCTTCTGGCATTCTATCTGTCAAATCTTCTGGCATTCTATCTGGCATATCTTCTGGCACTCTATCTGACATATCTTCTGGCATTCAATCTGGCATTCTATCTGGCATATCTTCTGGCAAATATTCTGACATATCTTCTGGCATTCTATCTGACATATCTTCTGGCATATATTCTGACATATCTTCTGGCATATCTTCTGGCATATCTTCTGGCATATCTTCTGACATATCTATCTGGCATATCTTCTGGCATATCTTCTGGCATATTATCTGGCATTCTATCTGGCATATCTTCTGGCATATCTTCTGGCATATCTTCTGACATTCTTTCTGACATTCTTTCTAACTTTCTTCTGCGCATTCTTTGTCCCATATCTTCCTACATGAGGTCCGGCAGGGAACACTTGGCGTGGATACTCGCGGTTGAGGTCCGGCAGGGAACACTGGGCGTGGATGGTCGTGGTTGAGGTCCGGCAGGGAACACTGGGCGAGGATGGTCGTGGTTGAGGTCCGGCAGGGAACATTGGGCGTGGATGGTCGTGGTTGAGGTCCGGCAGGGAACCCTGGGCGTGGATGGTCGTGGTTGAGGTCCGGCAGAGAACACTGTGGATCGCGGGTCGCAGTTGAGCAAGGACGACGAGGACGACGAGGACGACGAGGAGGACGAGGAGGAGGAGGAGAGGAGGACGAAGCAGGAGGAGGCGGAGGAGGAGGAGGAGAAGGAGGAGGAGGAGAAGGAGGAGGAGGCAACTGACATAAAATCTAACAACCCTCACCTGGCAGGTGGGGAAATATGAAGACAAACATGGGGATCCCCAAAACCATGGTTGTGTCAATACTATCAAAGTCCCAATGACTTAGGAAACCTCCACATAGATGCAGGAAAGAAAGACGGAGGACAATAATTAATGTTTTTCAAATGGCGCGTTATAGCTCCAGGTACCTCAGCAGCTCGATGCCAACCATGCAACATATGGGGTGCATTTCCGGGGTATACACCATTTGATTCCTTGTGCAAAATGTAGAAAGTAGGAATCCAGGAATTCCTAGTTTCTACATTTTGTACAAGGATTCTGCTGCTGGGCTGCTCCTGGGCTGCTTTCAGACAGGCTCTTGTTGTGGAATGAAAATTACGTGTGCCATTATCTAAGCATGGTCCATGGGGTATAAAATCATCCACAATTGGAATCCAAACGCAATGGGGGATATTCATCCTATCAATGGGAGGGTGACCATCGCCCTTTATATGGGCAGATCATCCAATTTCAAAAAAAGAAAGGTATTATAGTTAACGTTCTATCCCATGAACTTCTCTATCTAAACCTATCTAAACCGCCATGTCTACCAACCTGTTTGGCACTTTCGCCAAGTTTTGACCTTGGCTCCACACATGCCGGGGTCATCTGGACGCTTGCATCCCAACTCGTGGCCATGACTTCGCGAGAAAACCATATCGTTTGCGATGCTGAGATACGGTGGTAACGTGATTTAGACCATTTCACCTCCGGTCACTTGCTACATAGTTATGGAAAACGGTCCATGTATTGTATGGGTGATTTACCTTATAAAATCTTGCATAAATATCTGAAAAATCCTACAATGGTGATTTTCCATAGCTATTGCCGATTGCAATCTCAAACATTTCGCTGGAACATCGGAAAATCATGGTGGATTTTCCAGCCACCTTTGGATTACCGAAGGCTGCCCGGTCCCGTTGCGTCAGATCATCCAAGCTACGGTGTTTCCATCTGCACCGCCCCGGGAGACCAGATAAATCCGACGCATGGCAGGCACCACGTGCGTGACGTCCGTGAACTGGCTACCCTGGGAAGATCGCCGGGGCCGTTGTAGCCCCTTATCCCAGCCCCCATGCTGATTCGTGGCGAAATTTTCCGATGAACCAATCAACTCTGGTATTTGTCTAGTTGTAATTGCACAATTTGGGAATGTTAAGATGATTTAAGCAGAAGCAGTTGGGATTGAACTGGTTACATTGGGATATAAGAAGGCTATTTTTCTATGGATCACATGATATCAAATCTGTGTTTGTGCATTTTGGGTTGTATGAGTGGATTCAACCAATTTGAACAAAAAACAATCTACCAACCAACATCTAGACTTCACCTAGATGAATGGTGGAAACATGGGACTGTCCCATTTAATTGGGGGATATAGTGTCATATGATTGTTGACGTTTAGCTAGGGAAATGTCGCATTAAGATAGGGATCATGATGGCATAGCATAGATACAATCCTCTCAAACAATGCAGAATACAATAAATTATGCCTTCAACGATTTCCAAGTCAATCTCATTGTTCGACCCATTCTAATGGTCTCTCCAGGATGTACCATCATGCTAATGATTTTGATGTCACCAACTATAACCTGATGTCAAATGTCTCAGCACCCGCTCTGTCAACAAGCAGGTGATGAAGTGGTTTGACGGGGCTGGTCCGCTTCAAACGTATTTGTCAGGGTCTCTGCCATCTTCGCATGTGGAACGTACAAACAACAAAAAAACACTAACATATCTCAAAAACACCAGCCAATTACCTCGCTTGTCCTTCCGTGTGTCCACCAATGTGTGAACCACAACTCGTAACAGCTCCTAGTGATGGGTCACATTGGGCGGCATGGCCCCAAAACAGGGATAAGACATAATTCTGAGCTGACATTAGTTGTGATCCAGAAAGTGTACCCAGTGTTCATCATCATCATCATCATCAGTGTCATCATAGTCATCACCATCATCAACATCATCATCATCGTCGTCGTCATCATCATCATTGTCATCATAGTCATCAGTGTCATCAGTGTCATCAGTGTCGTCATCATCATCATCATCATCATCACCATCATCATCATCGTCTTCGTCATCGTCATCGTCATCATCGTCAGCGTCATCATCGTCATCATCGTCATCATCGTCACCACCAGCACAAACACCAGCACAAACACCAGCACAAACACCAGCACAAACACCACCACCACCACCACCTCCACCACGACCACCACCACCACCACCACAATCATAATCATCATCATCAACATCATCAACATCATCGTCATCATCATCAACATCATCAACAAGATCAGCATCATCATCATCATCATCACCGTCATCGTCATCATCGTCATCATTGTCATCATCATCACCGCCATCATCGCCATCACCACCAGCACAAACACCTGCATCACCACCACCACCATCATCATCATCACCATCATCGTCATCAGCATCACAATCAACATCATCATCATCATTATCATCATAATCATCGTCATCATCATCATTGCCATCGTCATCACCATCATCACCATCATCACCATCATCACCATCATCACCATCATCGTCATTCTCATCATAATCATCGTCATCATCATCATTGCCATCGTCATCACCATCATCATCATCATCGTCATCATCATCATCATTGTCATCGTCATCGTCATCATCATTATCGTCACCATCGTCATCATCATCATGATGATTGTGATGATGGTGATCATCGTCATCATCACCACCATCACCATCACCATCATCATCTTTATCATCATATTCTTCTTCTTCATCATCTTTATCTTTAGTTACCGACATCTACATCTGTGGAAGGCAAGGGATTCAGAATCATTGCCAGTGTTTTCCCGGTCATTGTCCCACTGTGTGCATGTTCAACCCCCATGGGTCCAAAGAAGGTTGGTTGATAAGCTTTCCCAGTTCATGGAATTACGGAATCATCATAATCGCCCTATTGGATGGTATAAGACAACTTGTTGGTGGTATACCTACCCCTCTGAAAAATATGAGTTCGTCTGTTGGGATTATTATTCCCAATATATGGAAAAATAAAAAATGATCCAAACCACCAACCAGCAATATAACCCCTTCTCACCCCTATAGCCCCATACAATCATCAAGGGCTTCTGAACACATCACGTCCCAGCCGCAAATGCGATGAATCGCATGGCTTTCTGCGCCAAGACGACAGTCACCTCAGGTTACATCACTACCTCGACCAAATAGATAATGGCCATAGAAATAGTGGTAATAGTGGATTTACCCATTAAACATGGCCATTTTCAATAGCTTTTTCTATGTTTACCAGGCCGGGTAACTGCGTGTAATTTCCAAATTTCGCATCATTTTGTGGTGAAAATCCCGAGATTCGATGATGTTTCCCGGAGGTCCCATGGTTTCAACCATCATTTCCCACAGTTTTGATGATTGAAACATGTTGAAACCGCTACAGACAAAGATTAACAAAAATCACCATGAAATAAATTCAAAACGACTCATCGAACGGGAATATTCAAAGATTTCAAAGTGCTGATGTGAGCACATAAAGCTCTGTTGAACCCTTATACTAGTATAACCCCATATAATCATCAATCAACCATCATTTACCAGTTATATCCACTTATATCCCCATATTTTGATTGATCAGATTTGCATATCCCATGACTAGAATCATCAACCAGCAGGGCTTTATAGGACCCTGTGGATGCCTTGGAGACAACATCCCAATTCTTGTGGAAAAGCACCATAATTTTAAACATTCACCTACTCCAAATCTTCTTTCAAAGAAACATCTTTTCTAGTGGTGAGTAAATTCACACTCTGAAGTTGTTTGTTTTTTGTTATTTATATATATAAATGTATATATATATACTTATCCCAAAAAATGGGCAGTGACACCCCTTTCGGAGCTACCCTTCTCGAGTCATCGCGAAGGACAGCTTTTTTAAGCGCATCGCAGGTCTGCTGTGACACTGGACGTATTTGTCCGCTTCGGACGGGGGGGCTATCTGTCAGTTGCACAAGGCTTCAATGAAGCTGCCGCAGTCACGTGCTAACTCTTGATGTTCGAAAAACGGAAACGTATGGACACTTCATGAATCTTCTGTCTTCTACTTTGCATTAATTCACACGTCCATTTAGTCGTCCTTTTCAGGGTGGAAAGTGGATGTTATGTTGTTTTTTTGTGCAGGTCAAAACGATCAAGAAGTGGATGGTTCAATAGAGATTTGTGGACTCACTGGTACAACCCCAAAGCGTTTGGATGTGTGTTTGTCTACTCCAAATGGCAATTACGATTGGGAACATGATGATGATAAACCATTGGAATGGGGATACACTATTCCAGACAAACCCAACTCTTGAATTTCTCTTCATTTTAGGTATTCCAACTCAATATGTTTCATACCGTCTGAAACTGGTGTGTATATATAATATACCCACTGAAACTCTGATCAATGGATATCCATGCTACTATCATTTGGTTGGGAAACTCAATTCGTAGCTTCATATTGGATAAACAAGTGGATACAACAATAGCATCATAGCTATCCATAGCTCCTGTTTTCTCCTCAAAACTCACCATGACCGCAGCGAAAAACCTTCAGCAACCAGCCCCAATCAGTGCCTGCATCGGCCGTTAGTATCCCTCTTTCCCTGGACGGGACGGGACGGCCATCGCAGCATCTGCGTCATAAAGCAAGAGAAACCAAGTGGCCACGACTGCATCTGGCGGCATCTGGACAACAACACATAGATGCACCGATGCTCCGGTCAGAATATTGTTTGTGAAGATGCATGTATAAATATGTATACTGTAATTCATGATGTATATTTAAATATAATATTATATATATATAGATTGTACCTCTGGACATGAAATGACAATGGCTATGACTATGACTGCCGGCCGTCAACAGGATTGGCCTGCGGGTCCACTAAACTTCTACCCACAAACCTTGGAATCTCCCAGCTGAACTCAGATCTCATCTGGAACGACAGAGAACTGAGAAGTGGAACGACCGAAAGCTGACGACCAGTTAAGCTGACACGCTGCTGGCGTCCACGTTTGTCGCAGAACACCACCATGCCGGCCGCAACGCGATACAGAAATAAAGTTAACACACAAAGGTGGCAGCCATTTTGAGCAAATCCGGAGTTCCAACATGTTCCAAACATAAAGGGTCGACCGGTCAAAAGCCTACCGTGCGTACCTTTCTATAGCAAAATCAACCAAAACAACTGGCACACCATGACATGGGGGTTCATCCAAAATGTGGTAGGAGAGGTGTTCATCCAAAACGTGGTAGGAAAACTGCTGGGATCCTTTTTCACAGATCTTTCGATCGCTTTGGGAAAGGACTCTCGTTTGGTAGCCCCTTTATGTCAAGAAAAACCTATCATTGCAGCTATCCAGTCGGAATAACTCATGCACGCTGGAATTATGAACAGACAAGTCAACCAGAATGATCCAGAATGGCTTGGTTTCATCAAGATGGATAAACACCAGAGCCAATGTGCCTACCAGTCCTACAATTCAAAAAAAACCTGCCATCAGGATGCAGATAGCAGTCATGGCTTTTGTGCGGATCCCATCCAAAGCAACGGCTATAGAGGTGAATCCTGGCATGGTCCTTTTCGGAAGACACATGAAGACACACAGAGAGACACATGTGACACGCATTGACACTGAGAGCTACAAGTACTGAATGATTCATATGTTGGGTAATGATCATGCTGATCGTGGCATATCATTGCGAATCATTGCGACGATGACATTTAATCATTTTGATGATGGCAGCAAATTTTGTTGATGATCCCTATAGCAACACACTGGCAACAAACTGTGGATGGTTATTTGCTTACTTTTATGTTTTTCCATGGATTTTCTGTGATGATTTGGTCCTGACCTGCACATGTGCGCTCCATCATTTCCCGCCAAAAAGTCGAAAACCCGGAAAATAAGAATGAAATTCCATCATGTTGTTCCGCATCTTTCCAGCGACCCCATGGAATTCTAATTGAACATCGCTTCCTCCTACTAGAGTCGCTGTTTCTGACTCTTTCAAGTCTCTGACATCTCGTGTCCAGCTTGAACTGAAACCACATGAAACCAAAGAAAAACATCTAACATCTATTTATGAATTTGGCAATTTGGTCACCACCTTTCACGAATGCTGTGATTCGTGGCTTTTCTTCATGCAATGTGATTCGGCGGGCACCTCCAAAAGTCACAGCAAAAAGCCTTGAACGTGGATGTGCACGAGGCTCAGAGATTCTTATCAGCGGCGCTGGGCGATGCGTATGATGCGTGCGCCCCAAGAGAAGACCAATAGAAATGTAGCGAATGTCAACCCCGGTTGATCAATGGCCATTTCAGGAACCTAAATTGGAGGTACCTACCATATATAAGGCCTATTTTTCAGGCCTATGTAAGGGAATATCCCCACAAAATATGGCCTTATATGGTACAGTACCTCCATTTTAGGATCCTGAAATTCCCATTGAGTTGATTCTTCATGTGGTTCCCAAAAAGTATCTTAAGCTTTGGAGGATCCCGAATCGTCGTCACCAAAACGGTGAAACCCCGTCTTGCTACGTGATATGTAGACATTATAATTTTGTTCAGTATGTATATATATATAATACTATAACGTCCTTATGTATAGAATGTATTTATATACATCATGTTGTCATATTCAATGGAACCAGACGTCCACAAACCTATGTTAACATATCCACCAAGATCCACCAAGTATACAAATCCAAGATTTTCTCTCTCTCTCTCTGTAGAAAAGTACACAGCGCAAGTAGTTAGTTGTTCCCCCAACTTTACTCTGGACCAGCCAGTTTATCTTAGAACATGGGTCGTGCCCAAATCCACATGTTCATTTTGTTATATAAGTCATCAGATTGTTCACAACAATATACACTGGAATTCTGAAGGCACTTTCAACTATATATACACTGAATGGTCGATTTGGGCATCCCCCAAGCAAAAAATAAAGATAAATAAAAAGACTGTTTTGTTGGCAACAAGTCGCCAATATCAACCAACAATAGACCATGTTTCAATTAGCCATCTGAGGCTGACCCAAAAATATGCCATGCACTGCAGCTTGGCGCTGCTGCCCGAACACACCCAGCGGCCTGAAAAAGACTAAGCCATACCGCTGAAAAATTGGAGGCTGCGAATTTCTTGAATCGGCAAGTCCAAGGCAAACCCACGATGAGGGGGCAATGTTAAAAAACACACTGAACTTCTTATGGGGGTTTCCATAAATGGGGGATCCCCAGTAGCTGGTTGGTTTATGGTGGAAAATCCTATTGAAATGGTTGATTTAGGGTTACCCCTCATTTATGGAAACCTCCATATCTAATATTATACAGTATAATCCAGCAACCAAAAAACAAATCATGTAGCTGGCTGGAAATATCATGAAACCATGCTATTTTGGAGTGGATAAACTCAATGGCCATTTCTCCAGCATCAGCAGTCATCAGTCGTGTGTGCGGCACCACCCCCATCATCTCTTGGACTCAGGCCCTTTCTAGTTGAGCCAATCTCAACTTCGGCCGAACTGCCCATTACAAGACATTGCAAGAGTTGAGCCTCAGCAAAATCTGTCCCGGGGACTTGCGATTGAGTCATTCTCTGCCGAAGCAAGAAAAAGCATCCGAACCATGTGTAGATACTGCATTTAAAGAAAATGTGCATGACAACTTGTTCAACTCAAGATGCCGTTTCACGTAGGTAAACGATATTTCAGAACCATTTTGAAGATTCATGGTATAGATCATCGTCTTCCCATATAGATCCATATACTTTGAAGATTCTACCGTTAAAACCTTCAGTTACTTCGGGGAGCCAAGCGGTTACCATCGTTACCTCCAAGTCGTTGGCCCCAAGTTCCCAGAGAACATGTCCAAATCTCCACAGGATTTAACGATGTATGCAATAATATATATATATATATGTACATATATATATATATATGTGTATATATATATAACAAGTATAAACGAAGTTATTTAAACCTATATATACATCATAATCATACACATTGATAAATGTACACATATAAACATGTATAAACATATGTACATAAATACAAACTCATGTAATGCATCCTAATATTTCAGCATGTCTATTGTTTGACACAGTATCCCTTTACGAAGCACGCTGATAGACCATACCAAACGTTGTTTTTTTCTCTCGAATTTGAAGCTGAAACGTGACATCATGAGAATGAATCATCAAATTCTGGTGTACATTGGTGTACCCTATATTCAGACAGATCCATATTATAGTGTGTAGTATTCTTCTCCAACACTACGGCTGCGGGTGATCTGCAGTACCTTAATCAACTTTGTAATCTTGATCAATCAAGGAGATGGGGCCTTGTTGACAAATGTGAGAACGGAATCAGGTATCCTAGCATCTTCCAACCAAACCTCTAAATTTCATCTTTATTTAAACCGGAACGATATGGATCAAAATGGACAAACTTCTTGACTTTGCCAGGGGCCAAACCCCTAAACCTCCATTTTGTTCAATCCTCGAGTGCCTCAAAAAATTGTCCAGCCACTGGCTGGTTACCCTTCCAACCAGAATACCCGACATGACCTGCAGGTCAATTCCGACAGTCCTTGGATGTCCTTGGCATCAAAAAGGTGACTCCAATCGCTACAAATGCATCACATTTCTGTTGTGATACACCTGTACATCCCTTGAAGCCAATGAAGCTCGTTAAAGAATGATCTGTACGTAGCCCAGCAAAACCCCGTCTTGAGAATGCGGGGAACATGGGCAGATGGGAAAAATGAGCTGCGCATGCACTGCTACCTTCACATGAAAAACCATCGAGATTCCTCGCAGTTCAAACTTTGCACACTCTTTCATTTGGAACTAAGCGATGTTTATGCAACGAATCTCAAGAGATTTCCGTCTGGGTAACTGGAGCTTCTCAATTCCCCGGACATCAATTAGTATTAAGTCTCCGTACTTCCCTCCTATCTATCCGCAGTTTCTATGCATGGCGAAAGACTCGACTCGGGGCAAAGCACCCCACCGGCTGCTTGCAGCCGCTGTGGCGCAGCCACAAAGGAGCCTTCGCACAGTTTTCGCCCCGCTGTTCTGCAAACACCTGCCTGTATGCCCTTCAAACACCGAAGCACGCCATTGAGGCCTCAGAATGTCGCAACAAGGATGTCACAAAAAACCAAGTTGCGATCACTTAAAGTGGAACCCGAACTCTTCTTTTGAAGTATGTCAGTATGTCGAACGTGTTTTTCTTTGTGAGTCGATAAGGTCCTTTTTAAGGCTTCACACATTCGGTTCCTGTTGGGCACACGTATTACACACGTTGAAACCATGGTGAGGATAGGTGCCCAGCTGCTCTGTCGCACTCCGTAAAACTAATTCTTATTCGCTACAACGTGATGCATGATAGGGTCAGACAGGGGGGTTGTCCAAATATAATATATATATATGTATATATATATATATATGTGTATATATATATATATATATGTATGTATATATATATATATGTGTGTACATAAAATCTATCTATCTATCTATGTCTAACTATATCTATCTATCTGTCTATCTATCTATCTATCTGTCTATCTATCTTATCCAACTACATCCATCTATATCCATCTATATCTATCTATATCTATCTATATCTATCTATATCTATCTAGATCTATATCTGTCTAAATCTATCTATATCTATCTATATCTATCTATATCTATCTATATCTATCTAAATCTATCTAAATCTATCTATATCTATCGATATCTATCTAAATCTATCTATATCTATCTATATCTATCTATATCTATCTATATCTATCTATATCTATCTATATCTATCTATATCTATCTATATTTATCTATCTATCTATCTATCTATCGATATATATATATATATATATATATATTATAGATTTATATCTATATACAGGGTATCCCAAACCCAGATTCTTGAAACATCATTTTACAAGTCGAAAACACCATTGCCATGGCCATGGCCCCTTCTGGAACGACCTCGAATAACCAAAGGACGATAGAATGGTGAGGCATCAGGAAGTGTCCACCTCCGCTGCCAAAAATAAACGCCAACTCAGCCCTTCAGTAAGCCCCTAATCCATGGTGGTAACCATATATCCGGGTAAATTATAATATTTCACTAACCTGAATTAAAGCCATTTGGGGATGATTTCCCTTACAGTATTAACCATGATTCCAGCGAGGTCGCAGTGAGGTCGTTATAATTTACCCATATATACCTTGAAATTCATACTACCAAAATATATTGGTCGTTTGTGTCGGTACTATTTTGTTTGGTCGTTTCTTCGAAAACCAGGCGTTTCACAAAAAACACATACGAACTTGATGAAAACTAGGCGATATGCGATGAAAATAGGCGATGCGTCTGGCCTTCCAATGGTTCTACCTTAAATCCAGGTCACTCCTGCTTGTTTATGCGGGTG